GACACAGCTAACCTCCTCCAATCCATTATCAACAGAAATGCGTTTCTGTATCTTTGAGGTTGTTGCATGCGAAAGGATGCACGGTCATTAAATGAAGGATATCTTCAAGAGGTCCGCTAAGGCGTCCATACTCTCGCGCTGATGCAGCACTGGCCCTGGGTATCAATAGACTTGCGTAATGTCTATCCGCTCGAAGAGACGAGGAAAAGGACATTTGTTTGTTTCCGCATAAACAAGTCGACTAGATGGATGGTTTGATGCGTAAATGGCAGCGTCTAAAGCTATGGATGCCGCTGTGGACGCGCATGAATATATGAGGGGGCGGGGTGAACGACGATCTCCATCTCCCACTCCCCCCCAAAGTCTGGACCCTCCCTCCCCCTGGCTGTGTAACGTCTTTTGGCTGCTCAACTGTACCTTCTCAGCCAACCCAAAGAAGAGCACACCCTTTTTTTTTTTGCTCCCTTGCATCCTCCCTCTCTCCATCATCCTCATCTCCATTCATCCTCATCATCCTCATCCTCAACCAACCAATCCTTTCAATACACATACCACATACACACACAAAAGATATACCCCCAAACTATTTATTTTTTCTTACTGCTGCTGCAAACAGTTTTTTTTACACATATAGCTTGGACCTACGTCCCTCCAAAACTCTTCTTACCATTCCGTTCCTGATGGCGCCAGTTGCAGGAGGCAATGCCATAGACGATACACCTCCGGGAAGCCCTACCACGCCTATTACACCCTTCCAGGCTCAGTATGGACAGCAGCATCAGCAGCTCCAACTCCAGCTGCAACTGCAGCAACAAAGGTATCCACCCCGACATATCTCACAATCAATCCCCAGTGTTCCGTGGTTTTTTGGGTTCGCGTGGCATTCCAATTGCTTAATGAGTTAAATATATTCCCCTGACTTCCACTATCTCGGACGCAGACCCTTATCCTCAATGATATATCAGCAATCCCTCCCCACATGGATGCTTGCAAGAGAGTCAAAAACAAAAGATAATAACCGTACCTAACATGTCTGCATTTCGGCTCTTTACTTTGCTTCTCTGTAGGTCCAGAGTGCATTCCCCTCCGCCGCGAAACAGAAGTCCGGCATCTAGCCGTGCATTTGGTCAGACATCTAGCGAGCCATCCCAACGCTACACATCGGCAAACGCTTCCGCGACAGTGGCACCCGGAGCGGACACGAGCATCAACAGTATCAGTAGCACGCATAGCTACAACAGTATTAATAGCAGCAGCCAGGGACACAGTGGCAGCACCAACGACGGGACCACGAGCATCATTAGCAATAGCATCCTCACGAATGCAGTCAATCAAAGCATGGTGAGCAACCCCTCAGGAGGAGGGATAAGCAGCAACAACAGCCTCTTTTCGGTCAAACAGAGTGGTGGCAGTACCCCCCGAGGCATCTCCAGTCCTATAGGAAGTCCAATGCTGCAGCAGCAGGAGAGAATGCCCAGCAGCAACACTTCGCCCATCACATCGGGAGTTATTACTCGACCACCCATGTCTTCACAACGGAATCGCGACAAGGAGTCAAAGAATGCCAACCAGTCTATACCCGCACATGCGAATACCTCCTTCTCGTCTGTGGGATCGGCGGAAGGAGTCGTCTCTTTAACTATCCATCCTGGGTCCATCATTCCAAGTGCGAGCGCAGAGGCGGCCGCGCAGGAGGGCTCTTCAATGGCTCATGCATCCAAACCTCCCACCGCGGTATCAGCCGCGATCGTGAACACCATACAATCAACGGCGGTCGTCCCTGAATCAGAGACGTCTGCCACCCCCACCTCTGTCGTGGCAACGACACCTACTTCCTCAGCCCAGCGCTCTAACCAATCAACAGGACCAGCATCGGCGATGACATCCCATCATCGACAGCAGCAGAATCATAGTTCTGCTAGTAATGGCCACAGCCACAGTGGCCATGGACACCATCATTCATCCAGGAAACACAGGAACAAAGGAGAATCGGGTAGAGACGCCCCCAGACCCAGTGCAACGGTTCCTCCAGCACCTACTCCTGCCATGCATTGGACTCGTGCAAAGGTGCACGGCCAGACACCACCTAAGGACCTTCGTGCGCAAACTGTCAACTTGGTTGGAGAGTCCATCTATGTGTTTGGAGGATGCGATGCGAAGAGCTGCTTTAACACCCTGTACATCTTCGATGCCGGTAAGCAGCAGGGCCTTTGATAAGTCTTCTATGCGCAGGGTCAAGCCTCCGACTGGTTTATGCTAATAGCAACCCATATTGAAAACTAGACACCATGCACTGGTCGCAGCCTAAGACGTATGGATCGATTCCTCCGCCTTGTCGTGCACATTCGTCTACATTGGTCGAAAACAGGCGGCTCTATGTTTTTGGAGGCGGTGATGGACCGCAGTATTTCAATGAGCTCTATATGCTCGATACCGGTACGTTTCTCATCATGTTCAAGCATTCAAAGATGAGGGAAGGGATTATCAGTTTATTAACTCATTTTTCGTTTGCCATTAAGATACATTGACGTGGACGAATCCGCAAACAACAGGAAATCGCCCGTGTCGACGTCGCGCTCATACGACATGCGTCTACAACAACCATATCTATGTCTTTGGAGGCGGTGATGGAGTGCAGGCTTTGAATGATACCTACCAATTGGATCTGAGCGAGATGCGATGGAGCGAGGTCAAGACAACGGGTCAGATTCCCATCGCTCGTGGATATCACACCAGCAATCTCATAAAGTCTCAGTTCATTGTCTATGGAGGAAGCGATGGCCACGAGTGTTTCTCGGACGTTCATGTGCTGGACTTGGGTAAGTTGGCCTTTTGTATTATCGCTTGGGAGTTCGGTCATAAGTTTCACAGCTTGGCAGAAAATTAACATCGGCAGCTTTTTTTTTTTTTTTTTTGTAGACACGAAAGAGTGGACCAAGATCGACATCAAGCGGCCACTATCGAGGCTGTCGCATACATCGACACAGGTAGGGTCGTACCTCTTTGTGATTGGTGGACACGACGGCAATCGGTACTCGTGCGACGTGGTGATGCTGAACCTGGTGACATGGTCGTGGGAACCGCGTAAGGTGTATGGGGTCCCTCCAGCAGGTCGAGGATACCATGCCTCGCTGCTGTATGACTCTCGGCTGTTCATGTTTGGAGGATATGATGGACAGACGGTGTTCGATGACATCTACATTCTGGATCTTAGTGCTTGTGCGTACCTGCCTCAGATAACAGATTTCCAGGTACGACCTTATAGCACTATAGTACTTGGCCCCTTTTTTTCACTCTTTGGACCCTGAAAATGAGCAATGAGCACCATGACTAATGAACTGGCCATCATTTTTATTATTTATTGGTGTTCGATTGACGCATTTAGATCTTCCTTCGGCATGCGGATAATGCGATTGAGGGTGGCGAGGAAGGACAATAAAAAGCGCTAGGGCGGTGTCGTAATTATAATAAAAACTGTACTAGTAAGGAGTTTTCTCTCCGCGTCCCTGGGCTCGCGCCAGGGATGGGTAGCTGCAAGGGAAATTTCACGATAATGCAATCGACTCGGGCGCAACCCAGGCTTCTACCATGTGGCATCTGATTAATGACAAGCTTGGCATGAGAGCCCGCTCTTCTGTAAGAGATGTCGTTCAAGGAATAGCGCATAGTGGCCTGAACTTGCTGCAACAGCAAACGAAAGGGCTGCATTACCGCACATTCAGAAAGAGGTCTATTGATGAATGTCATTATTGCTTCGATCCTGCGTTCCTGATTGTTCAATTGTTGGCGTGAAAGGAATAAGCATTGCTATATAGTTCATCGACGGATCCCCTTTGTTCCGTAGCCGCTCTTTTTTATTTTTTTTCTTATTTTGTTACGAGAGAGCCAGCGCTCGAACAATGGTAAACTCATTCTTTTCTTGCCCCTACTTCATATCATACCTTTTTTTTTTTTTTTTTTTTTTTAGTTCCCTCTTTCCTTTCTTCTTGGCGCACGGAACAAGGACAACAACTCACCAGTTCTCGGTAGCGCACTTTTCAGGGTCGAGAAACAGCACAGCAAAAATAAATAAAATAAAGAAGAAAGGAATCCGCCATTCATGGGAAACGGAACGAGCAGGGATCAGGATGACTTCTTTAACAATGAAGGCAAGACTTTTCATCACCTCACCTCGTCTCTTAAGATGCCGAGCGCTCCGGTGGAAGAGGTCTCTGAACTGACCGGCATGCTCTATTGTGTTATTGTCTTTACTCAGTCAACTTGCTGCAGTTTCATATGCTGAGAGTAGTCGGCAAAGGATCCTTTGGCAAGGTAAGGTAGATAGGAAGAATGCAGTGGCAATGCAGTTCAGGAACAGGTATTTGGAGCTTCAGGAGCGTCTTTTCCAGGATCAAGCAGATTATCTTCAAACGGAAACATGGCGGGACATGTGGAAGTATACTTTAGCCATGGCTGTGCTCCTGGTGAAAGTGGGGAGGGGGGGGGGGGTTTTGTTCTTTCAACGGCCCTGAAGGACCATTTAGTGACAGGAGCAGCTTGCATGAGATAAGTGGACATGGGTATACGCCATTTCGGACAGATTTACCAAACATTACCACCCCTTGGAAGCGACACAGGCGGACTGTACGGCAATCAGTCCGGAATAGACCATCAATCAACCGAAAAAATCAATAACCGAGGCGCGACTACCTCTTCCTAGCTATCATACATCTCCAGCTAATTGCATGTCTCTCTTCTGGTGCGGGAATGGTCGCCACAAAATTAGGTCCGCATGGTCAAACGACGGGAAACAGGCAAAATGTACGCCCTCAAGTATATCTCGAAAGAGCAGGTCATTAAAATGGACGCCGTACGGAATATCATTAGGGAGCGGCAAATCCTTGAGTCTGTCGATCATGCCTTTGTCGTCAACATGCGGTTTGCTTTTCAGGACGACGAGTACATGTACATGTGCATGGACCTTATGTAAGCCAGGTCAACCTGTTTATCAGGAAAAATATTCATTGTGAGAATGCGCTGCCCAAATTGTAAACTCGACTAAACATCTCTGCTTCAAATTGTCGATGAATTAGGATGGGAGGGGACCTTAGGTTTCATATGAATAGGAGGTCGTTTGGCGAGGATGTCGTCCGGTTTTGGATTGCAGAGATCAGTTCGGCTGTGAATCATCTCCACACTCTTGGGATCGTACATCGAGACATCAAGCCCGATAACATTCTTCTAGACGAGAAGGGACATGCCCATATCACGGACTTCAACATTAGCTGCAAACTTACGCCCGAGAAACCAGTCTTAACATCACAATCGGGAACGATGGCCTATATGGCGCCAGAGGTATTTAAGGGGACAGGATATGGAACAAGCGTAGATTGGTGGGCACTCGGGGTGATTTTTTACGAGTGCATTTATAACCAGCGGCCGTTCCTGACGGAGAGCGTTGGGGAGCTGAAGAGGGCGATTCCGAACCAGACGATCGAGTATCCAGCTAAAGATGGCATCTCACGAGAGTGTGTCATGACCATTCAAGGTGTAAGTCAACAATAAGCGCAGTAGTCGATGTCGATATATTACTTTGCTCATGAATTAACCATCAGCTTTCAAAATGTAATTTATTTTAGTTCTTGACGAGGGATCCCACGGAACGTTTGGGATCCAAGGGAGGAATGGACGGAATTCGATACCAACCGTTTTTTAAAACGGCGGCACATGAGACCCAGATAAGCCCGGAGCAGTGGTGGTATCTACTGGAGACTAAGCAACTCATACCCAAATTTCAACCACCGTCCGAGGCAGCCAACTTTGACGCAACCTACGATCTAGAAGAACTACTCTTGGATGAGGATCCACTTACATACAGGTCGACACGGAAACGAGCCGAGAGACTGCAGAAGGAGAGGGATCAGGCCATTAAGGAGGAGAATGCGCGACTTAAAGCCGAACACGAGGCAGCTGTGATGGCAGCGCTCGCCGCAGAGGCGGCCATGGAAGAGATGAACAAGAAATTGGAGGAGAGCATGCGAAAGATTCGAATATCTTCGTCTTCGACACGTTCTGCAGCACCGGCACAACAGGATTCGGCAACGGCCGTGAGCAAGAGGAAATCAAGGCTGCAGTTATTTGGGGGCGATAATAACGACAGCGGCGGCGACGGGCAGCCCATGGTGCAGACACAGCCACCACCGATACCCCAGCCCCAGCCTCAGAATCACCATACGCTTTCGCAACTCGCTCGACAGACACAGTTTCAATCCATACCCCTGTCGCCAATCGATTCAACAGGCGCACATAGCGAGTTCCCGATACCCCCGGTTCCATCGTTACGGTTCCCATCATCGCCGCCTAAAGAAGATTATCGGTGGCCGCTGCGGGATCAGTCACCACTGCACACGGCACAGGATAGGCAAGGCCCTTCATTATCTCGGCCGCTGGATTCAAGTCCTCCGCCGGAACACCATCCATCTTCATATTATCATCGTCCGACAAATCCTTCGAGACCACCTTTGCCGACATCTGTGCTGACACAGGAAGCGAATGGAAGTACAGTGAACGGATATACATACTCGGCCAGTGCTGATGCCACAGGCGGGGCATCCGTTCCGGGTGTCACTGCGGTGTATCTCTCGAAACCCACCGTACCTCCTTCGAGAGTTCCAGCCAAGAAGCGATACGACGAAGAGAATGCTGATCAAGCAAACTACCAAGGAGAAGAGTCTGGGCAGTCAACCAGAGATATCGTCCCATTGTCAGCAACGATCCGACGACAGCCATCGCAAGAACATGTTATTGTCCATCAGAATCAACATCCGTTCCAGGCAGCACACCCTCAAATGGCAATAACTTCTCCGGTGATCATCCCCACGCCCCTAGACCATTCGATCTCGCGACAGAAACATATCCCGACACAACAACCGCAGCCGCAACCGGTTCTTCGGCACCAGACTTCGCAACAGATGCTGCGACGGCCAACAGCACCGACCCCAGCACCGGCTTTGAATATTGCAGCGGCGGCGGCAGAGATGGCGGGTATGTCCGAGAAGGGCAAGTTCGAGTACCAGATGGAGCTGATTGATAGGGAGTTTACGACGTTTGATTATACGGTGTACGAGAGTTATCATGGACTTGTCGATCCTGTCACGATGTCTGTCGGCAACCCGCCCGAGTGGGTGCGTTCTCGCGATTGAAGACAAAAAAAAAAAAACGCGTCGATAATAAAAAGGATTGTTCAAGGCATAACAAATTGATCCGCAAGTTAATACTGAAGGGTATAAGCTGTACGATTTATTCGCAACGCTTTCTCTTTTTCGAAAAAGCGGGGTCTACGTTTTTTTATATCTGCACTTTTTTAAGTGCTCGACGAACACGCTTTCCAGCGCGCGTTTCTTTCTTTTTCTTTTTTTTTGTTTGTGTGCGATTTTTAAATAAACACCTGGCTGGGTCCGAGGACTGCCAGGAAGGGGACCAATGCGAAGCGTGTGGCAAAGTAGAAGAGCATGCCGAAGCAGATCGAGATTGGGAGTGCCGGTAGAGCCTTTTGGTAGATCGCCAGCAAAAAGATCGTCGCGTTCATGCCCTGAAAGATATACATCATAAGATATAGTACACAGGAAGGGTTAGAAATAGTGCGGTTAGAGGAAATGTGCCCTGAGTGATGAAATGAAAGGGGTACTTACCGTGAGAACTGCGACCATGCAACACATGGTCGTCACCCAGTCGAACATGGCTATGGTGCGTTCACAAAGTAATTGACATACAAAGTCAGTAAGTATATTGGTACAGAGATAAAGTGAGATAGCATAACGACATCCAAAGCTCGATCTCGGGCGCTCTCCTTACCTGCGCGAGCAATGAGCACGCTATAGAAGACAAAGTCACCCAGTCCCAACTTCAATCCCCCACCTAGAAAGAATCAAAGTAAAACGCCGTAACAACATATCAGTCATAATGAACAGATCGCCAGCCGGCCGAAGATGGAGCAGTGCTCATATATGAAATGCCATTCGAAAAAGAGACTCATACCATCATCGTCATCGTCATCGTCGTCTTCATGGTGGTGTCCTGATTCCATCTGCTCGCGTGAAGGCCTTCCTTGACTAGATATCTGCGCCTGTCTCGTCGACGCAGACCGTGCTGCTGCCCCATTCGCAGCGGGGCCGCCTGCCACTCGGGGACTAACCGGTCGTGTCCGTTCCCTTAACTCGATATGATCCCTTTCATCTGCAGATCTGTTCGTCGTCGTCGGTGGCTGCGAGACCAGCGCCATCGTCGAAGAAGCATCCAGCCCACTGTTCCGACTACTACTAATGCTCGCTCCGCCGTCCCTCCCCGTCGCCCTCGAATGCCTGCTATTATTAGCATCTCGGCTACTGCTGCCATCTACTACCAGAGTTTCAGCATTGTCCTCGTCTTCGCCTTCGGTTTCCTGCTCCTTCTTCATCCTTGAATCCGGTGGTGAAGCCATGAACCAAACCGCGTTCACTGTATAAAGCAACGCCGGCACATCCTGGTTCTGAGTTCTCGAACTCTCAACCAAGATCTTGAGCGGACCAAACGGACAAAGCACTGCGATTAGATCCCAAACGACGAGAAGAGCTAATAACATCCATGTCGTCCATTCCGCGAGTCCTGTGAGCGAGAAGGCCATGAGAGAGGACATAACCGTCAAATAGACCTGTTGCAACCACATGGGACCCTTCCAGAAGACGGAAATTAGGCCCGTGACGGCAAAATTCCAGAGGGCGAAGGACATGGTGAGGTAGTCGAGTGGGATCCGGAGGACTTGAATCAGGTTTAGGATGAGGATGTAGCCCATGAACCCCAGCAGCATCGCCACCACTATCATGAAGAATCCAATCAGGACCTACAATCAGAAAACATTTTAGAAATGTAAACATGTTAAAAATTTTGGGGTCTTGGAAAATAAAATGGGAACTCATTCATACGAAAGAGTCTGGCAGCGCATCTTCATTTACCTTGATATGGCCACGCTTGAAGAGAACGACGATGATGATGGTGACAATAACAATCTGGGCAATAATAATTCCTGCGTTTGCAAGCGATCCCAGAATATTTTGCGATACTGTCGACGTTGACGATTCCATGTACACCGTGTACGACGACTGCGTCGGCCTAAAATACATATCGTAAAATGAACAATCGACAACAGAAAAATCCTGATTAGTTCCTCGATATCAACAATGATCGTATACACCCTTTGTCTCTGTGTCTTTTTGTCGACGGATCCTGGTCATTTACCGGTAGTCGCTTCCGGCCATGGAAATTTTAACCCAGAGAATACTGAGACAGATACAGATGACGACGGGTTTGATGATTTTATAAATCTGAAGCATGTAGAACTTCATGTCCGCTATCCGTTCTGCTTCTTCGTAGGCGGCGCGTTGCTCAGGGGTCAGGCGTGGTCGTGTCCGGGGTTCCCGTGGTCGTCTGCGAGGTTGATTCGCAACCGCCCTGACATTCTCTGCCTCGCCTCCTAATGAATCGTCTAGATATTTTTGAAACGAGATCGAGTTATTAGGTCTTTGATTAATTCATAGTGCTTTCTGTCAGCTGCAAGACAGATGTACCTGACGGTTTAGTTGGGGTTTACCTGCGTTGTTGGCGGATCGTGGTTGAGTCGACCGTGTGCGACCGCCTTGCTCGATATCCATGTTCCCTCTTTCGCCTGTGGCTGCGCCAATAGTAGCAGCGGCGGGTCCAGCCCTGGCACTACTTCCATGACCAACAGCAGCGTCATCTGCCGTACCCCGCTCTTGCCCCTCTTGTTTTCTGACTCCAAGGACCTCTTGGCACTCTCGATAATGTATCCTCCAGTCTTCCGCCTGACATTCTTGAGAGCAGTACCGGACGGATTGACAAGCCGAACACTGAAATCGAGCTGGGAAGGCCCCACAGGCTTGACATGGTTGGTCGTCGGCTTCGTTGGCGTTGTCTTGGTTTGAAGGTGAGGATGAGTTGGTTTCGTGTCCGGTTTGGGCCTGAGTTGTATCTTGATTGGTTCTGGGTGGAGTGTTGGGACGGCGTGATGATGGGTCGGAAGTGGAAGAAGGAAAGGGGGGTGATGAATGGGGAGGCGGAGCCCCATTTGAGGAGGGGGAGGACATTCAACAAGCACTAGGCACTGAAAGTTGTTACGTGCGAAGGAGGAAAGTGGGCTGTTGCTTTGCAATTGAACAGTTGTGTAGCGTGCGGTGCGATGCGGCGATATGTACGGGAATGAATATTTCGTTATGGACAGGATAACGACAGTGAGTGGGGTGGTATAGATGGGGATGGCAGCGGCTGTGGGCGATGAGAGAGAAAGGAGCGGATGATGATGTCAGAGGAGGAGGAGGAGGAGTGGAGAGGGGGATGTGATGTGTGTGAAGAAAGGGCTCAGCCAAAAACTAAATTTGTAAATTATTTCTGCAACTCTATTGGATTCATCTTGCAGACAGCCTAACACAGTTGGGCGACATGATGCCTGGTTCAACCGCCCCCTTGGCTGCAAGGGTCGCAAAACCGCAGCGAATATCATCCCTCACACCCATGGTTGCATAAGCAATGGGCATGCTTCTCACTCGACAACGATATCTCTGTGGGGAATCTCACTTTCAGTGCTAAACTCTTCTGTGCCAGTTGTATCTTTCATAACGCACATGCATGCACCGAACCCATTGCCACCAAAATGGTGCTCTGTGACTGCCAGAAGTATGTTGTTTGTTTCCTTTTCTTTTTTCTTTTTTCATTTTTCCGAGGCAAACTCGCCCAACAACAACCACCATCAACAACAACAACCACCATCAACAACAACAACCGACCACCGCAGCCATGCCGCCATCAAAGAAGAACGCGCCCTCAGCGTCCATCTCCAGAAACGCAAAGGCAAAAGCAAAAACTGCCAGCCCGTACAACAAGAATGCCAAGGGAGGATCAGGACCAACGGCAACCAACAACAACAAAAAGGCACACCTTAACAAACCAACCCAGGCCAGGAATAAGCACTTGAACACGAACCTCACATCCGAGCTAGACTCTCTCCTAGGAGACCTTAACAGTACACTGCAGCGGAAAAAGACAAAGCGGGATGCTCGTCTTGAGGTATGTTTGGTCCTTGTCTCTGCAACGCAGTTTGCTGTATCATTTAACTTGAGTGATATGTGTTGCTGACTATATTGCGGTGTTATTCGTATTAGACCGGTGGCTCTGGTGCGATGTCTGAGGCGGAGATCAAGCTGAATGAGGCACAGAAGAAGCATGAATCGTTGCAGAATGATATGATAAGTGCGCTGGATGGCATTTCGACTCTCTGAAAGTAACATTGCCGCCCACTGGAATGCTCGCAAAGGCGCCGAAACAATCCAGCATGTACATTACTAAGACCATAATAAAACCATCTTTCGCATTAAGAAAACGCGCTGTACTTCAGGCCGAGAATGACATGCGGATAAGGCGCTGTGTTTGCGCAGTTCAATTCAACCGTGTGGGAACGAACAATGGCCGAACAAAATGATGGAATGGGTTTATTGAGGCACCTTGACAATGACATAAATGAAAGGACGAAGAGACAAGGATAGGCACTACTACCCTGGGTAGAACGATACGGATAGACATAAAAAATATAGTGTGCGTAGTTGTGCGTTAGACAAATTATTTGAGCATTCAGGTTGGGAGTTTCCCTACTCCATTCAACTATAAAAGAACCATGCATCGCTCCCTAACTGCACGAAAGCAGGGCACGTTCCGTATCTGCATCACTCCCTGTTGCAGGCGAACAAAATTCGCAGGCCAGCCCTTTCAAGATCATCATCCAGATCGACGACAACGCATTCAAGCTGGATCTCCCACCGGATTTTGGCGATCGTACACCACCTCGAGTACCGCTGGAGTTCGTTGATGGTGTGGAAGAATACGGAGTGGAACGTATCCTTGATTTCATGATGTTTGGCACGACACCAAAATGGCTCATTCATTGGAAAGGATACCTACTAGAAGAGGCAACCTAGGAACCAAAGGCATCGTTGGTCAATGCAAAGAGGCTCTAACAGAGTTCGAGGCCAACCGCGAAAAAAGTACCTTTTTTTTCAAGACGAGGTGCAACAGGTACAAGGGTTTATTCGAGAATGATGTCATAATCATAAGAATGCTTCGCCCAGTTATCTGGAGCACTCCAGCTGCTTTGCTTCACCATATCCTTCGTATATAATAGCTCCTCAAACGTAGGATTAGATAGCAACCATCACCGAATAAACCATTCTTTTACCCTAGATTCTCTTAACCCAGATTTTCTTGATACTTAGGTCTCTATGACCTCGGTCCCCTACGACTCTAGAGCACCCAGATGCTCAAAAGGTTTGCATGGTAGCAAAGCAAACCTCGAGCCACCCCTCGAGCCTCAACTTGGCACCACTGACCCATCGAACCATGGAGCCATCGAATTACTGACCCTCTGAACTACTGATCCTCCGAGCCACTAAACCACCGGCACTCCTTCCGCCCTTTACAAAAAAAAAAAAAAAAAAAATAGAGAAAGAGAAAAGAACATTAACAGTTGCGTTCAACAACGCTCTGCCAACACCGTGCAACCAGTACTCCAATAGTGTCAGGATGCCCAAACCTGACGACGTCTATCAGTCCATCACTCAGTTCAATGTTGCACAGACCGGCCCAAGAAGACCTTGCATATCACAATCGTGCCAAGTCGCTGTTCAAGCGTTCCTGGACAAGAACCAAGCTTACCTGTGCATTGCCAGGGTAAATGACAAAAAGAACAAAGTCCTGAGCCTCAAGCAGAAGACTCCAAGGCCCAAGGACTATTCGATCAGTATCACAATGTCTTTCCACATTGTGCACGTCTTACCAACAACCCGTTCTATTATTCCTACCTCGTCAACACTCGTCTCTGAGGGTAGATCCTCATCCCTACTGCCAACTATACTAAGGACCATCAATCCAGTATGATGGTCGATGGAAACCACTACAAGTCACTCCAACCGGAATCGTACAAACCCTCGATTTCCTTACGTCCAAGGAAAAAAAAAACATTCGATCGTTACGCTCGTCCCAATCTACAAAAAAAAAAAAAAAAAAAAGACAGGCCATTAAGCACATTGAAAACAATTGCCGAGCGACCCGATCACTCCGATGATCTCTACCACAATAGACCTTCGTTCCAGTCGTCAATCAAGTCAAGCTCCCTCTTGTTACCACTGCCATGTCCCCCGCTACAGTACCTTTCATTTCCTTCTACCAATATGAGACGACTTAAAAATGAGTGTCCACCATTAGACTGGATGACCTTCAGCCTTGCTCGCATTGAACCAACCAAACGATCTGGTATCTCGGCACCAATGCTGTTCCATACACCCTCGAGGATCCTCTTGAGTTCATCGATACTCGTTGGTTTGTGACCGGCCGTGTTAAGGCGATCCGTGAGGGTGGATCAAAGGTTCTCGATTGGGTTCAAGTTTGGTGAGCATGCTGGCCATTTCATCTTCTCCACGCCGTTCATACTGCGCTAATTGCTCGCCATCAATATCCCGTCGGGTAATTGACACAGGATCTCCAATTCTCCTTTATAGATCCTCCTAATAAATCCGGCACTTTTGATGTCTTCATCTCCAGAAAAACCAGATTGGACGTGCGTTGTCCACCAAGCAGTGGGGATACCCCTCCCGCTTCTGAAAGTACATGTTATATTTTTTAGGTTATACTTCTCGTCCTTTGTTCTTCGGACCCTGATCTGCCGAGAATTCCCCAACTTAAGTCCCTCTTCGTCAGTCCATATAATTCGTCACCATTGATCTGGTGTCCAATCAGGATGCTCCCACGCGAAGGCCAGGCGTGCCGTCTTATAATCATCGGTGGAGAAGGTTTTCTTTGCTGCCACAAAGCTGAGAATGCCCTCCTTGTGGAGCTGTCTTCGAACCGTACTGGGTACTTGGTTTAAAAGGCAGTTCATTGGTGATATCATGGAGAGTTGCACTGTTGTTTTTGGCCACGATTCTTCTCAGGGCTCTTGTCGAAGCACCCCAAATTATTCCGCGATTGAGGGACTAACAGGAGTCAGGGATCGCCAAGCGTTGCTCCAGGGAATGAGCTAACGATGACTGTGGAGGGAGGCTGTTCCCCCGAGGATAGGCTATTCATGCGGTTGCGGCTGTTGGCTGGGCCTTGGTGTTTTTTCTTTTAGTGGCACGGTCTCAGAGTGGGGTAATCGCAACCTGCCCGTCGTGGTGTCAGTTGCATTTCTGAGACGACCCCAGGAAATTTTTTCGGCGCATGGGCCAACTTGCCCCACACGACAGATCATAAATGAACAGCACCCTGCGAATCTTCTTTTTTTCCCCTTCCGCACCCTTTCTTCTCTATGCACACACACACATAACTTCAACGTCACGCATGCTGGCAAATTAAACGCATCATATCGACCAACAATAACAGCGGCAATAACTTCTCTCTGCATCCCATCCATCGTCTCAACTCAACATCTGGCTCCTCATGCAACTCGGCAGCAAGACCCAGCGTTCATTGAACTGGCGTTTGGCATCTCTCTCGCTGGGACTGGCCTTGGCTCTCTTTGCCAGCAGCACAAACGCTTCTCCAGTCTCACAGAGCTATTTCCGAAATGGCGCCGTTGTGCAACATCAACCCTTCGAAACGGGGGCGACGACTATTCTTGATGTCCTGGGCCAGCGACCGGAGTTTACAAAAATCCTTGAGCTCATTCAAAAGGACAAAGGTAATGCAACAAACTTTTACTATCGCGGTTGCTGTGGCATCAAAAGAATACATGAAGTTGTAGCAAATAATCTGATCCAGACTACACATACAACTCTGATAGACATGACCAAGATGCTGGGTGACCCTGTTACTCAGGCAAGCGAGATAAACCTTGTTCATTTTGCTTAGCATGTTGAAGACTGATGACATACAGCTAATGATGTTTATTTCGCTATTCGAATCCGATTCAGTCGACGCTGTTTGCACCAACGAACGAGGCCTTCGACTCGGTCTCAGATGGAGACTACCCAACGCGTGATGTGCTCATGTACCACATCAGCGACCACGTCTTCAATACTTCGACTCTCCGCTCCAGAGCCATCATCAAATCTCTGTACGAATCCCCCGGCCTCAACTACTCCCCCCAACTCCTGCGTATCTCGCTCGAGCCTCCCTGTATCCCCTCCACGAGTACCGTTCGGAACTCGTTCTGGAGAGTTGAACCCGAGATCTGTATCACGGGCACGGATGAGGTTAATACTGAGGCTGGAGAAAGCCTGTATGTGAATCGTGCTAAGGTTGTGATCCCGGATTTGAGGGCCCAGAGTGGTGGGGTTGTTCATGGGGTGAGTCAAATTATTTGGCCGCCCGGAGAGACGATTTTGGATGAGATCGAGAGACATTCTGCGCATTTTTCATATTTGAATAAGGCGTGGAGTGAGACGGGGGTGGATGAAAAGGTGAGGGATGGAAAGGATATGACGCTCTTTGCAGCCCATGACAAGGCTTGGAAAGGTAACAATTAGATCAGGGTTGCTATCTGATGCTTTATATGTTGTTGCGATTACTGTCGACACTAATATCTATGTGATCTTCACGGTCATGGTTCATGCGCAGCACTGCCGAAGAAACTGTTGAAATGGCTGTTCTCAAACGACGGCCGCGAACACCTCAAGATCTTCTCCATGTACCAGGTTGCGAACAGGGCTGTCTACACCCCTGAGATCTTCAACAAGACCCGCAAGGACGGAACCCCCGACGACGATTACCACGAAATCATCCTCCAATCACTCCTGAACTCACCCTGGTTTGAGCTGCATGTCCTCGCCAAGCCTAGGAAGTCCGTTCCAGCCCACTCAAACAGCGAGTCTGAACTCGAGTTGTATCCCAAGAACCTCGCAGATCTGATCGAAACCATCAAGGGACTCGTCCAAGGAGATGAGGACCCTAAGAATCCAGATGATGACAAGCAGCTGGGTCATCATCACCGTTACCGTAATCCCAACCATTCGCACCATCATCCTCACCGCGGCAGCAAGCGCCATCGCCATCGTCACCATCATCATCGCCACCACCACCACAGCGGTTCACACGATGGAGGTGGCTGTAAAAAGCCTAAGCTGCCGACTCCTACACCGACTCCGCGCCGGGACGAGATCTTTGTGAACAAGAAGGCGCGAGTGCTCCATGGATTTGAGAACTGGATCGCGGGCAATGGTGTGGTCCATGTGGTCGATCGGGTGCTGATGCCTCCGCGTAGTAAGGGCTGTGAGAGGATGACGGCGGCTGAGTGTGCGGCCTGGGAGACGATGTGGGATCTGGCGAATGTTGGAGTCGAGAACGTAGTCGATGATACGATCGCATGGTGGGAGGATCTGACACTGTTTGATGTGGAGGACGGAGAGGACAAGGAGGGTTTGGAGAAGGGTTTTTTTGACCTTGAGAATGATATGGACGACGAGGAGCTGGATGCGAAAAAAGACAGATAGGACGCGACTGAGCAGGTGGAAGAGAGCCATGCCTTTGTCAAGTTCTAGGCAATGCAGCCGTGTGTTGTACATAGTTTAGCTGGCTTATAAAAAAAAATAAAAATACGTTCAGGCACGAAGATCGCACGGAGCCAAATGAATCGAAAATCTTCCCAGGGGTCTCTACTGTCGCACAAGGAGCAATGAAAAAAACCCCCCGGACCTGGCCTGATCCCTTTTCCTTTTTCACACATCAACAAATCACCCATCGCGATGCTTCCTTTCTCCCTGTCGCATCACATCCTTCGCCGTACACCTTCCCTCCCCACCACTACCATCACCCGCATACCCCGTCAGCAGCTTCACCAACGCAGATCCTATGCCTGCCAAATCCACCACCCCACAAAATTGGGTGCTCTCCGCTCAAAACTCCGTGCCTTTGGAGGGGGTCACATCGAATTCGACTTGAATCATTCCCCTGGACTCGCCCTGTTGACATTGTCGAATCCCGCCAAACATAATGCGCTCACCGGGAAGATGATGGCCGAACTTGCAGACTGCGTTGACTTCTTGGAGCAGGCTACGACTGACTCTTCGGCTTCGGGTGCAACGGTGTCGGCCATGGCGAATACAGGAAAGGATGAGCAGGGAGGTCAGGCACCGCAGCTGCACCCGGGCTCGGGATTGGTGCTCAAGAGTGCAGGCCAGGCAATTGAGAGACTTGAGAAGGCCCACGTCCAGATTCTACAGGGGCTGGTCGGCGTCATTATCACAGGTGCACAGCACAAGTCCTATTGCGCCGGACTTGGTACGTTTTGCGCGCTCGCACCATGTCACCTGGTCCTCCTTCCCTGAGTTCAACTCGCGAAACCATTGAGCGCTTGCTAATTTCTTTACCTCCATACCTGGTTGAACCGGTCTTTTGTAGATCTCTCGGCTGCAAAAACGACCCTACTAACCCCTGAGGCTGGGTCTGAGATGTCCGCCCTAATGGTCTCAACCCTGACCCGATTCCTTCGCCTCCCACTCATTACCATCGCCGCGATCGAGAAAGCCGCCGTTGGCGGCGGCGCCGAGATGACCACCTTTTGCGACCACCGTTGCATCGCCGAAAAGGCTCGCGTCCAGTTTGTCCAGACCCAGATGGGTGTCGTCACTGGCTGGGGTGGCGCCAGTCGTTTGCTCAACCTCGTCCCCCGAAGCAGGGCATTGCGACTTTTAGCGTCCGCAGAGCCGATTATGGGAGGTGAGGAGGCTGTGAGGGAGGGGTTTGCACAGCTAATTGCTCCATCGGGAAAGGCTGTCGAGAGTGCGACCGAATATATGCAGCAGTATGTGTGGGAGCGTCGCCCGGTTGATGGACAGGAGGAGGGCGCGAGGAGGTGCGTAGAGGCTGCAAGGGCATTTAAGAGGATTGTGAGCTTTGGGGTCGATGATGAGAATGTGGAGAGAGTTACGGAGTTAGAGAAGGATTTGTTTAAGCGGTTGTGGGGTGGGAAGGATAACCTAGCAAGAGTTGAGGCGGCTTCTTCAAAGAAGAAATAGCAAAATTGCTATACCTTGGTTGATATAGAGATATAGAAACTAGAGCGCATTGCATACGATAAAGGATGCGGAACAAATTATCGCAACCATCGTTAAAAAGTACTCGGTGTTGTACATGCAAAATAGATTCGTTTTTTTTTAAGAACGACGAACGACGAACGACGAACGAGACTAATCGGCCTGCATCTCAGACAACTGTTCTTCAGCGACCTTGCTGGCTGCGATGGTTTGAATCGCCAATGCATAGTCCTCGAGCGCATACATGCTCATCCTCGGTCCACCATGCCCCGAATACCTGAACTCGTGCATCTCCCAACCACACTTCTGACCCATCTCGTATGATGCCTCGATCGGCACTACGTTATCCAGATACCCGCAGTATGCGTTAATGGTTACTCCTTCTGGAAGAGGAATGCTGGCGAGATCGAACCCTACGTCCGAAATGGACATCTGGATCTCGGAGTTGTATCCATTAGAATGTTGTCGATTCTATGGAGAGAAAAACAACGTTGATATCAGTTCATATGCCCCTTCTTGGGCCATAAATGCATTCACTTGCTGCTGTTAGCCATAAGCCCACTCCTTACCATATCGTGCACGAGAGCTGGGAGGACGACTTTATCAAACGCATCCGAGAACTGGAGAATAAAAGGATCCGCCGGTCTCTTGAGCTCATCGTTGCCATCCTCATCATCGCTTGCATTATTATTACCATCGCGATTCCTCCGCTTATCCCGCCGCCTTCCTCCCGTCGTAGTCGTACTCTCCTGTTCATCATCACTGCTCCCATTGGAATTCCTGCTCGATAACGTCCCCGAAAGCGCGTTACTCGATGACATGATCATGGATCCTAAATGGTTCATCGAACTGGTCACAGCCCACACGAGACCGCGGGGGACATGTTTCAAAAACTTGAAGGTACTGCTTGTAGTATTGGGGCATTCGTTAAAGGGCACCCAGGGGGTGAGGAGTGAGATCGGGCCTGGTCGAATCCGGTCGGGGAAGAGATTAACCATATGCATGATATAGTAGATCCCGCAGGAGTGACCCATGAGACCGAAGCGTGCGCCCGGGAGAAGATGGTCGATCACGGCCAGGGTTTCGAGACAAGTGTGATGTAGACGTTCGTTCAGTTTGCGGTTTGCTGATGGCTGTTGTTGCTGCTGGGCTGCTGCTTTGTTCGGGGCTCTAGATTTCCTGTCCCTAGTGAAGGAGCGACGTATGGACTTTGTGTGCGATTTCCGTTGCTCCAATTGCTCGGTGTCATTGCCCGAATCAATATCCACGGCAGGGCTGGAGATGTTCGAGTGATCATCGCTACTGCGACGACAATCGTCTGTTCGGTCGTTGGCCGTTGTTGCTGCTGCTGACGCCGTTGCCAGAACTTCGATGGACTGTCTTTGATCTTTGCTGGGCTTTTCTTTATGTTTCTGCCGGCGATTCGATGGAGGTTTAAAGGGATCTGTGAAGCCGGTACCAGGACGGTCGACACAGAGCAGTTTGATGTCCAGACGCACTGCTTGCGCGTGAATACTAGCGAGTTGACGACTGCTGCCTCCCAGACCATAAAAGTACACGACGGGTGTTCCTGTCTTTGACCCACAGGCCGTGTATGACACCGTCCTCCTACATCCGTCGAAGAGAATGTATGGAGCCGAGTTATTGCTGAATGAAATGATACGAAACCCATTTTCCTGTTGGCACCGAAGACGTACTTACCCAGAAGGAAGGATGATGGTTTGCCGGAACTGGGGCGAATCGATAAGGGCTTTGAGACTGTAAGTTGTTACCAGTGGCGCAGAGATAGGATCGAGAGTATGGTCCCTTGGCTCAGGCACGCTCTCTTCAGACCACCGTAGCATCGTTCTTTTTCTCTTTTGCTTACTCGCTGAGCACTCAAATAAGCAACGAGTGGTGAGGGATGAAGCAGCGATAACGAAGGCAAGGAGAGACGTAACAGGAATGATGAATGACAAGAGATGAGGCGAAGATGAGATGAAGATCTTAGCAGCAGCAAGTTATAGATTAGAGGCTCACTCCCACTCTTTTTTCATTTTTATGTTCATGGGTGCTACTGCACCATGGAAGCCGATAATTATCACCCCGAGAGCACCCTTACCACAATAAGCGTTAGGTTGCAGAATGCATGTACCTCCTAGCTACGTTAGAGAGGACGACACGGGCGCTGCCGTTGGGATTCGGCCCCGAGAAGCTAGCTAGTTTGCATCCTTATTTTATTCAATTGATTTGCGAGACTTGCAGGAGTAAAGAAGAAAAAAAGAGAAAGGCTATCAAACATTGACCACGGTCGAGCCATGGTCCGTTCCCTGTTCCCCGTTTCCCACTCCATCAGTCGATGAACTGTAGACTACGGGGAAGGCGGCTCGAGCACACCGTTGCCCATGATGATGTGTCCGAGGCGCTCTTTTGATGGCCACCGTTACTACTGTTATTCGCTCGACCACCACCATTGTGGCATCCATGCCTATGGCCCGAATCCCGTCCGTGTCTTTGATGGTGCCTCGTATGCGGATGATGCTCCCTCTCACATCCCGCCCACATCAAATTACTCTTCTGCACCGTCTTTACAAACGATTCTGGCAACGGATCAACCTGTCGCCAGCCTGTGCCCCAGATCGAGGCCGAGAGGGCAATGCACCCGTTGGAATCACGCCGTGTAGTCGCTGAGGACGGCGGCGGAGGTAGCTCAGAGACGAAAGGCTTTTTGTTGGCGTTGTTGTTCTTAGATTTAGTATTGCCCTTCTTGTTGTTGCTCTTGTTGCCGTTGGTCGGCCCTGCTCGCGCGGATGTGGAGGCGGAGGTACGGCATGCGGAGGTGCGGCAGCAGTGGTCGGGAAAGAAGAACTTGTCCATTTTTGGCCAAGCATGCGAAAGAGACCCTCCGTCTTGATGACCATCCTCATCACTCTTATCTGACGAGGCCAAACCCGAAGGTGTCAAAGATAATGGCGAAATCGCACCCTTGTCACCGGACGATGGCGCAATCGTCGTCGGGCTGAGGGACGCAGGGTTTGAAATTGTCGGCGGCAATATCGGCGAGAGCGTTGGCGGCGGGAGGGCTTTGTTCTTTCGAGCCACGCAGGATTGTTCGCAATCGTATGCCTCGCATGGCGCCATCTCGGTGAATTCTTTGCGATGACTAGACAGGGTTAGATTCCCAAAGCATCCCGAAAGAGATGAGGTTGACAAATTCGTATTCGAAGTGTCGGATGTGCTCAGCGAGGAATGTCTCCTTTGGTGGTAGAGTGGTTTATGCCGATGCATGAGTATCGGGTGCGATACTGAATGCTGCTGTTGGCACAGCACATTGGGGAGACGACTCGAGAGCAGAAAGGATTCCGACGGCGGATGGGGGTCTGTGAACCTACTCACAAGGCCCTGACTCTCGGGATGGTATCCATGGCTCGGACGAGGCAGGCTCGAGACATGGCCATAGCCCATCGATGATGATGGATGATGAGAATGTGTGGATGTGTGAGCCGAGTAGGAATGGTACTGGGAATTGTACTGGTGCTGCAAAAACCGGGTCCATTCATTTGTCTGCTGCTGACCATGGGCTCGCTGCTCCGCCGAAGGGTTGGGGTTGAGGTTTAACAGCGGCAGAGAGGGGACTCGGATCGCAGGGCGATGGTGGTGGCAGAACGTGAGATGGTCATGGTGGGTAGACCCGTCGGGGTGGTCGCAGTCGTGGAAAGCACAGCAGGCTAGGGCATCGGCCTTGCGGCACTCGTCCGAGCAGTACAGGCTTGCTTGCTGCCAGAAGGAATAACAATGGACACTTTTAGCTCTTTGGAGTCCCCTCTCACATCTGTTCGTTAATGCTTCCTTCAATCATGTTCGCCACTTGATAATGAGCGCTTACATGGTCACTGTGAAAGTGCTTTGAGCAGACAGCACACCAGTTGCAATCCATTGCTATCAATCGTCGTGTTCAATTAGGAGTGGTTAGATGAGAATGAGAACTCGATTGAAGGATTGAAGGACTGAAGGAAAGAAAGAAGAGTGCATAAAGAAGACAAAAAGACTGGAAGTGTGTCTCTCAAGCAAAAGAGGAGGCAATGGTGGCAATACAAGGTGAAGGCTATGCAAGCGGGAGGAGTGAGATGGGTGAAGAAAATAAAAAAAAGAGATGGCCATCTAAATAACCGGTGCTGTACCCGAAAATGAGTACCTTAGCGGTGACGTGGAGAGTGGGCGCGACCACCCACTGCTCCGCGCTTCCTGGTTGGCTATTCCTAAAGCGCACGGCAATTGTTTGCGGCGCAATCAATCAACATTGAATCTCGTAGATATGATAGCACTTTTTTTCTTTATTAATTAAATTTGCTTTGCATATGTATAGAATGAAGCGAGCTGATAACCATTGGGTTTAGAGCTGCTGTGCCTCTCTGCTGAGTCGTCTGCTGCTGTTGCTGTTGCTGCTATTGTTGTTGTTGCTGCTGCTGTTACTGTTGTTGTTGCTTCCGTTTGCTGTCCAGAGTCAGATAGATATCCCGGAGGTGATCCAACTGCTCCGTATTGAACTCTTGTTGCTGCATAAAGATTCGCAGCGTATTGACGCACTGCGAAGCCTCCAAAAAGTCCACTGGCGGTTCTGGTTGAAAGCCCGCGGCAACCGGGTCTGCAAAACGTAATGAGAGCGACGCCCTGGCGGCTGTCACACCAACCGTCGGTTTTGTGCTGGGAGCCTCGGTCACGGAGCCCGCTCCAGGAAGCAGATGAGGCGCTGTTGCAGTTAAGCCGAGGCCGGTAAGAGCATCTGTGTCCATTACGGTTGGGGTAGATGTTATTGGAAGGACGGCATCCAGTTGTGACGCAGGCTGCGAAGCGGTAGCCTTTCGGGTGCGGTTGCGGACGCGTTTGCTCTTGGCTGCTAAAGATTCCGACGAGGGCTGTTGCTGCTGCTGTTGTTGATCTCCCGCTGGCACTGCTGTGGCTGTGGCGAGAGTACTTCCGTATAAATTTGGCAGCAACTCCATTCGACTGATCGAAGAGTCTCCTGCCGCTGCAGAGCTGACGATGGTATTGATGGCAGCGCGAGTGTTCATTTCCGCCTGTGAAGAATGTTGTGGACCAAGAACATCCTCCATGTTCAGCCCCTGGTCTGGCTCAGGATTGTCCACATCCATGCTAGAACCAAGATCCATGCCCAAATTCAGATGGTGATCCTCGTGATGCACAGTCGTGGTCGAAGAAGGCATAGACGTAGGAATAAGAGGCGATGGTGTCGTCAATTCCACAGGTTTGAGAGATGGGACCAGCGCGTTGCTACCGCTGCGGCTGCTACTGGAGGTACCATTGCTGATATTGGCAACGCGTTTGTTGGGAATATTACTGGGTCTCGGGACTTTGTGGACAACAGCGCTCTTGAGTCCATGCCTGACCTTGAACTTGTTGAGCCATCCATCAGAGAACTTCATCTGATCTTCAGGGATGTTGAGTTCGATCCTCAGCTCCTTACCTCGGTTGATAATCATAGGATCAGTAATAACGGCCCTTCGCTTAGTGGCATCCACATACTCGCCTAGGAGACGCTCCAGTTCTGGAAAGATCACCTGGCGGCGCCGCTTGCAGCTCGGATTGCTGAGGTCGCGACTGAGTCGTACCCTGGCCTGCTGTCGGAGTCGCGAAACCGTGGACTCGTCAACCTTGACATTGTATCGGCTGTGGATGTATCCTGCAATAGACTTGTTCGTGAACCGGAGTCCCCGTTCCTCCTCCTCCTTCATATACACACATATTTCGTATTTTTGGGCCTCACTCAGGGTTGTTCGCTTCATGGGCAGTTTGGGCGTGATGGATGTGGTCCCAGGTTCAGCAGCGGGAGTGAATTTAGATGTTGCTGCATCTGTGTCGGCACCGGCATCAACAATCGGTTCGGAGACAGGGGTGAGAGTAGCTCCTGTGTGGTCTAAGGCGACCCCTGATAGCTCGGTTTGATGGTTCATGTCTTGCCGGTCGTTTGCTTGAGTGGAAAGGGGAGAATGGGCTTGCTTCTCGCACATAGGGAGCGGGAGGAGACGTGTTCATCAAGCCTGTTTGTGCACGGGGGCGCTCCTTAAGTGCATGCTCACCGAATCAATTGACATGTTTTTCTGCGTATACATCAAACACCAGTGTCCCTTTCGAAAAAAATAAAAAATTAAGACTAGAATAATAATGAAACGCGGTTATTTATTGTATTCAACCGCGCTTCTGTACCTATAAAGCCTCATGTTGCTTCAACATGCAATACCGTCGATGTCGACGAGTATCCGTGTGCCAGGATGCACTGCAACTGGTATTGAATTTTGACGCGCTTTGACGCGTGGTGTGGTGTTTATTTTCTTCTTGCGTGACAGCGCGTTTCTGTACCTTTTTCCTTCTCTCACACACATCCCTGCCTCGCTTCACTCTCATCACTTCGAATCCTTTGCATGCCCACTCCCCTCTCTTGACATGCATGCGCCTTCGTCCTTGCGCTCCCAACAACCCTCAAAGTCAAGCCTTAAGACATACGGCAGCCGTGGCAAACGAGCATCAACCTCTGCTACAACTTCAGCAAACACCGTCTCCAACACCAGACAATTTAGCTGGGAACGACTCGAGAATGAACGGAAGGCACGAATCGAGAAAGCACGAGCTCACCGCGCATACCAAGTAGAGCTTGCGAACTCGGTCGCTGCAGACGCTGACCTCAAATCCGAGTTGTATTCTGACCCAGAGTCCGCAGACGAAGTACCGAATATGCAGTTACAGGCTGTATTGGTACCACAGGATGGACCCGCGAGGCAAAATAGTCTGACCGATTTAGCTCCAGGAAATATTTTATCGGCAGCGCACGAGGTGCAAACGGAGGCGGGATCTTGGTCGGGAGCAGGACCCAGTGCGATTCCTCAGGTACAGAACTCTGCGGCAACAACAGGGCATCCTTCTCTCAGTTCGTCAATATCTTCGTCGACAGTCGCACCGGGCGCATGTCGAAAGGTCATGTTCCAGGAGAAAACGCTTTTCGCAGAAGCCGATGAGGAGGAGGATCAAGATGAAGTAGACAGCGAGGTCTTGTTCAGGACGCCGTCATTTCATATCCTGCAGAAACTCAAGCAGATGCCAAAACCGCGTTTCATTGTCGAACCTCGAGTGAACCCATTCGGATTTGAATCGTCATCAGCCCCAAAATCGGAAACAGCAGACAGCTCAGTAATAGTGAAGGTGAGCGCAGATCTTCCGGAGCTATCAACAGCTGGTTTGGCTTCCTCACTAGCAACAACAACAACGGCTAGGAACAGGTTTCTGGACTCGCCAACCACAAAAAAATCCATGGACATCCTGAATAAAAGGGCCCAACAGTTGGTGGATATACAAAATAACCGCAAGAGCAACATCTCCACAGTGCCAGCCGTGTCAAGTCATGGCCTGGGTACGGAAGCTGGTCAGTGCCATTCAATGGAACTACCCAAAGTTCAGAGTAAAGTCAATAGTCGCTCACTCCAACATATCAGCAACGAAGGTTACGACGATCCACCGCGGAGACAATACACCCCAACCCCTCAAAGCAGCCGCGAGACTACACCGGACCCTGAAGTCGGTAGGAACCAAGCGATTCAGGATGACTGCGTGGATCTAGCATTGGGCAAACGGATATCCGATATCCAAATCACACCAAAGCGCCTACTTGCCAAGCAACGAATAATGGCCGCACACAAATCACCGTCTGTACCACCGCCACCACCATCATTCTTGGACTTAATCGAGGCATACGATCCTCTGAATGTTGCTCCACCAGAACCACTCAAACTTTCCCTGGACCGCGATATACCCGATGACGAGAATGACCAATTTGACGAACTTTTCATTCATGCTCGACAAAGCAGACCGACGCTATTAACGACGCCATTGCGATCGAGTAGACCACTCCAAAGCAAGAAAGGAAGTCTCTTGGTTCATTCTCCAGTGCGCAATTCGGATCCGCGCAGCATGTCAACGCTTACGGCGCCAGCGAGATTACAACGACCAAGATTTGAGCGGCGTAGTCCAACCAAACAAATGTCTCCACTCAATTCGACACTACCATCTCTTCGACCTAATGTACTGGACTCTGTTCCCAATCCGTTTTACGACAATTCGAATCTGTTAGGACGAGAGCCAACACAGCCTAAACCTGTACAGCAGAAACTGTCGCCATTTAAGCAAACCTTGACGCCAGCGTCCTATGTACCTAAACTTCAACAGCTACAACCACAGCCACAGCCAAAACAGCAACAACAACCCGGAGGAAACATGCCGCCAGTACGGCCAATACGACAGGTTCGATCGTTGAAGCGACCTCCTGCAGTGTTGGTCAATAGTCGCAAATCGGTCTTTCGACCAACCGTGGACGACCTGCTTTCAATCTGCGACCAGCGCTTCTTTACTCAATTTCAAAACCCAGATAGGAACGATGATACGACAGTTCGCCGTCGCTATCAAGTAGCAGAAGGAAATGATCCAAAGGGCATCTTGGATTTTGACTCGCTCCTCCCAGAGTGTTTGGCTTTATCCTTGACGAAGATTGGCGAGGCTTCGTACTCTGAAGTTTACACCGTCGAGTTGCCCATCCAGCAGCGCCGGCGACAGAAGCAAGCACAGCAGAATCCGGTGTTGCATTACAAGGACGAGGACGATTTTGCGCTCTTCCAGTCACCGAAGCTCAACGACTATGTCAGAGAATTATCAGAGGATAATCTCGTTAATGCACGGAACAGTGTCGATGATGGCAATGGATCGTCGACGAGACTAGTGATGAAGGTGATGCCTTTCTTTGACGACCAGATTGGAAGCACCGCAGGCGGTGCGGTTGTGGAACAACGCTCATGCAGGACAAAGGGCAAGGCCAGCAACAAGGCCGAGTCGACGATGCTTGCACTTGAGGACGTATATCGCGAATGCATGGTTTCGACGCAAATCATGCACGGTTGGAAAGGGTTTATCGGTAGTTTTGGGTAATGTTGTGCAGACGCGTGTAGCATGCTTTTTGTAAGTTGTTCTGGAGTTGACAAAAGTATTGATATTGGTTGCAAACCGCGCTTTTTTTTTTTTTTAATTGTTATTAGCGCAATTGTTGTGAAAGGAAGATACCCAAAGACATTTCTCGCAGAATGGGATAAGTTTCGAAGAGGAAACGGCACCGAAAGCGTGCGGCCAGGTACTCGGATTGCAGCATATTATTTTATGAAGCGAACGAAAGTATCCCTCCCATCTCCCCCCCCCCCCCCCCCCAAAAAAAAAAAAAAGAAAAAGAAAAAAAAGCATATGCACACGGCTAACTATAGCCTATTATAAATCTTCATGGTGAATAGATGTCTACGCCAGGGAGCAACTGTACTGCGTGATCCTATTGCCTTACGGAGGAATCGATCTCGAGCACTGCCCGCTTTCGAACTGGCAACAAGCCTGGAGTGTTCTGGCGCAGCTCGCAGCATCGCTCGAGTCGAAGGAGCAGGCTCCGTTTTGGTTCGAGCACCGCGATCTGCACTGGGGCAACATCCTTGTGAAGGGAACGCGGCAAGAGCAATTGATCTTTTCAAAACGTGAACCTTCGGACCGTGCTGCTGTCACTAATGGTGCCAGCATTGGTACTGATGCGGATGGATTGGAATATAAAAACAACAAGATCTCGAGAATTATACCGACATGCGGGATCCTTGTCCAGATGATCGATTTTACACTGGCAAGAGTTCAAGGACGTACGTGTGCAATCCATTTTGTACATGAGGACACTTGGATACAATTTGGTAAGCAATGCCTTGACCTAACATTCCGTTTCACATATCTAGACAAAGGAAATCTGATATACATGGATCTGGAAAAGGATCTTGATCTATTTCGAGGTGAAGGCGATTACCAGTTTGATATCTATCGTAAGATGCGCAAGCAGGTCAGCAAAGACTGGGCCACTTCTTGTCCCAGGACCAATCTCTTTGTAAGCAAGCCGCCTCCGGTTCTTTTTCATCCTCCTCTCTCTTTTTTCTGGTCTGACCACATGCGCAAGTGGTCTAACGTAATTATGTTGTCCTTTGTTCCCATATAGTGGCTCCATTATGTCGCCGACAAGCTGTTGACAGAAAAAGACCTAGCGAAACCCAGGTCCAAGTCCAAATCGTTTTCATCTCGTGTCAAGGATACTGATGAGGACGATCAGCAACAGATAATGGAGATGTGGTGCTACGAAAGAGTGCTGGCAGTATCGAGGATGAATCTTGACCGACTCGATCTGTCTGGACAAACACCGTCTGCGGGTGTTATTGATCTGCTCTTCCGCGACCAGCCATGAGTCTCCACTTACTTTTGATGATAGATTTGAAGTGCCAAGGTATATACTTTTGTCAAGTAAAGAAGCGATGACACCAGTCTCTTAATCAAAAACAAAGCATTCATGTACAATTCATTCAAACGATGGGCTTTACTTTGGCTATGGCTCGTCTTTGTAGTTTACTCCGTCTACTTTGTCGGATCGAGTTGAGAAACAAATATAATCCCCGTCCAAAAAAAAATAATAATAATAACCTTGTCCTCCTTGATGTTGTTACTTTTTGTACAATGCGCTTCCATATTCCGCCGTCGCATTAACGTGAGCGACGGCTGGAGGCGGGGTAAGGCCCGCTCCAACTCGTTTATTGACCGTACTTTTGGTACTCCCATTCTCTGTTATCCAGTGGGCAGACCTGGCGAGTCTTGAGCCATCTTGAGATGCAGTGGAAATGGAATGCGTGCTAAGAAACAAAGTATAATGCGAACGGAATAGGAGATGAGTTTGGGCGGCACCAGATAAATTCGAAAAAAAGGTGGATGAAAGGTCGTTTTTCTCTTACGTTGCAAATCCCCCAAGCGACAGTGCACTCTTCGCTTGTGGCCGAGGCCTGGTTCGCCTGGCATGAAATGCCTATGAAAGGAAAGAAAAGAAAAAAAGAATCAGTTTGATATTACAACGATGAATGACAATGTTTCCTTGGTACGGCAGATAAAACAAGTGCTGCCTTGAAAAGAAAGATGCGAGAGCTTCCTAGCCCAGCGGCTTAACATACATAGATCCATGATGTGGTTACGGCAAATGGCACAGTTATCGACAACAATATCTACAGCCGGCAAGCAGCAGCAAAGGATAAAAAAAAAAGTCAGTCTCAAATTGTCATGGTATGCAAATGTGTTGGAGGCACAGCCATCTTTTCTGCGTCCGCAGCAAGCATACTACAGGAAAACAACAGAAATAGGTACGCAGTAGTGATAGCACTTACCCCAAGCCCAAAGAGCAACAGCGTTCCACTATCGAGGCAATAAAGGGCCAGAACAAAGAGGCGGTGGAAAATACTAGGTCAGTGTGTGTATCCTGGTGCAAGTGAAAACAGGTACCATGGGCCAAGTTTGCTTGTCCAGCATCTCCTAGTCGCTGTTTCCTGACAAGTGTTTGCTGATCGCTGATCCAGAGTGTTTGTCCAGAGTGGTTGGGAAGTGCGAATCCACCTCGTCGTTGTCCGCAAACGTGGGCTTGCAAGTTCCACCTGCAAAAAGGGCTGTCGCCATACACAAAGCATTGTCCCTCCCCATGATGTGCCGCAGGTGTCTCGTTAATGCATCGTGTTGCTCGATTCCTGTAGAAAATCCTTCCAAAGACTAGGATAAAGTCAATTTTACCTTCTTGACTTCAAAACGCTTCTTGCCACTAGTATCCTTGCCAGCCTTGCCCTTGCCCTTGGCCTCAGAAGTTGAGGGCTGAGTATCGACATCCATAGGTTCTTCAACGTCGGCCATGATGCGCTACAGTTATTTCAGCAAAGATGTTCACTCGGAAGGAATATAGAGAGGGAGAAAATGGCAGAAGTTCTGTGTCGAGTTTGTGTCAGCAGAACGGAAAAGTGGGAAGTGGGAAGTGAAGGAAGTGAAAGAATGGAGCGAATCCCCTTTGTTTCTGAAGCGAATGGCGAAGACGGGGGGCGCACAAAGACGACGACGACGCGTTTTGTACCAGAAAACGGGACTGTATACGTACATATTTTTTTACGTACGCCGTGCACTCCACACACCATGGTGGCAATGGTGGCGCTCGCAACCCAACTTGCAGCGTACCTTGGAGTCGATGCTAGCCTGCGGCGAAAGAAGACCTTCCTGCATGTCCAGCGCCACTCAATCGAAGACACAAATGTATTTTACACTTCATTTATTATATGGGTCGTACACTACATTTCGGTATCCAATGCTTTTGTTTCTATATGCCCCTGTCCGCTGCAGCTTCGCTGCTACATACACTCCTCAGAAATCTGCCTCTCCAGAATCTCATGCCGTATGTTGAACGCTTCATTGACAATCTAAAAGCAAGGTAAACAAAGAAAAACAACAGATTAGTCAGTGCCAGTTGGGCAAGGAAACAGCAAGAAAAAAGTGCAGCAGCGAGAACAACAAGTGCAACGACCAGTCGTTTCGTTTGTGCATACCTGATCCATCTCCAGGGGAGGTAACCGCATCAACATGGTCCTGATCTCAGACTGCTCCAGCTCCTCAAGACCTTCCTTCAAATGCTTCAAGACCGCGAGACAGAAAAACGGATGGAGTTCGATCCAATCCGGAACTGCAAAATATGTGTCCCATAACCGCATCAAATTCTCCAATGAGAGTTCTTTTGACAGCACAAACTGTAGCGCCGAGGCAGCCCAATCCTTGATATCGACCTCCTCTTCCTCAAAGTAGCTGTACAGGTCCGGGATGCAGGTCCTGAACAGTGTCATAAAACTCGCCACGGACTCGTTGATGCTTCGACTGCTGAAATAGTCATCTATCGGAGGTAATTAAAATAATACGTTAGTTGGTCATTGTACCGTTTTGCTGCTGTGTTGTCGCGATATAAAAAGAAGGTCGCTTACCAAGTGTATTAATCAGCTTTTCAAAGCAGAGGAACGCATCACACTCCCGCTTGACCGAATAGATGAATGGGGCACATAGATTGACCATGGCCGGATAGTATTCGACGCGATGGTTATGATTGCAGTAGGCACTGATGACGTCCTCAAAGATCCTTGGAATGTTGCGACTGGACTCGATATTGGTCTTTCGCAAGTACCTAGAGATCTCGCCCCGGACACGCTTTGTCATCTCGTTAGGTTCCTTGTCAATCTGCTCATAGTCCAACAGCTTTTGCTTCTGGGTTGAGACTTCCTTGGACCGGTCTGCTTCCTGGATGCCAAGTAGATACAGCCAGACATCCTATTAACGATAGAGCCAAGACCAACCAACATTCCAGGCAGATATGTAGATTGAAGGAAGGAAGATAATAATACAGGACGCAAGTGAGCGATCACGTTAGCAGAGCAAAATACATTCATGCAAAGTTTTTTCCAAACGAGAGCTGTACGTGTATGTCTAAAGAGGTATGTTACGATATGGTAATATGGTATGCGGAAGAAACAAACAACACACGACAAAAAGAAAACTTGGAACACACATACGCACACGATCCCCTTTGCCTTGCTTCGCAATCTCAAATAAGCCAGATAAAATAAAATAAACATAGTTCCGCCAATCCAATCACCGCAAACAGAGCTGGGCAATTCAGCACAAACAAAAAAAGGAAAAAAAAGGGCCGCCGCAAGAGCTGCAGAACAGGAACAGATTAGAAGCAGAGGCAGAGCAGGGTTAAAGCGCAGCTGCAAAAAAAAAAAAAAATACCATCGCAACTGAGAGAAAATGTGATGTTGAAACAGGGCTTCGCAAATCCAATAGGGATCGAGGGTTTGCGCACACGGTGGACGCAATGGTTACACCTCTCTGTGCAGCCGTGCAGGTCCACAGGGTGCAAAGTGCAAACATTAGGCGTCAACACGAGATTTTTCTAACAAAGATCTTTTTTTGACCAACTTCGCAAGATGCGCTGGACGCAAGATGGATACGGAAAGCCGAGGCGACAACTCACACGACAACGCGGGATCTCGGCATGACATAAACACCTTTGCACCCTCGATCTCGCTTCTGGCCCCGCCTCGTGCCTCAATTGAGGGCAACGACTCGATGGAAGGCCTTCCCGATTCAGAAGGAGAATAAGTGCATGGCTGTTTGAGTCGAATCGAATTAATCCGCCTCGTGAGCACACATCCCCCCTTGTAAATTGACTTCTGCACCCCACAGTGCACTGCTCGTGTGGTGTCTGTTCCTCCATCTGAAGATTGTTCCCCTCAAAAAAAAAAAAAAAAAAAAAAAAACAATGCGCGGCCATGAAGTGAAATCGCGCGCGCTCAGAATGCTCAGCCGACCAAAAACACAAAAATAAAAGACCATTCATCTTTCCATAGCCATGCAAGCGTGACAAACATAGGCAGGCTAGCATGGAATATGTAGGGAGGACACAAAGAACGATAGCTCCATGCATGCGAGCTCCATCCATTAAAGGCCAGGAAAAACGAAGTAAAATGAAAAGGCACACTGGAAGCACTGTTCACCTCTATCAACGTAGGTAGAAAATTTCCCATGTGGTGAATGTAGCACGGTTGTTTCGAAGGATACACAAAAAGCACGACGCGCAACCCCCTTACCCCCAGTTGTAATTGCTTGTTCAGTGTGTGTAAAGTGTGGAGTAGATGATGGTAAAATACCAAGGATGCAAGACACGATTGAGGTCTAAAAAAACGTACCCCTCGCACTTCTCTGGAGATGCCATGGCGAGCATAGTCCCGGAGCTTGTTGATTTCAATCCAAACCTCGGCATTGAGGACGTCCTCGTACTCCTCGACGGTGATGGACATGCTATCGAGCTGCTCTTGGCGGAACTGCTGCAGCGCACGCTTGTTGTACTTTGAAGGCGAGGATGAGGTCGAGGTGCTACTGGACGAGGACTCGCTCTGGCTAGAGTGGTGACTATGATGGTGATAGATGTAAGTGGGGGTGTGCTGTCTGGGCTGCTGCTGCTGCTGGGGCAGGGAGGAGAGAAGCATGGCCAAATGAGAAAAAAATAAAAGGGTCTGGGTTTTGGAATGAGGGCAGGGCAAGAGGCAGGGGGAGGAGGAGTCTAGTTAAGAATGGAAGCAGGAGCAAAAGAAGAAGAGGAAAGAAGAGGAGATAGGGTAGAAATAAGAGAGAATAGGTGTGCGATGGAGAAAGGATCTGGTCAACTGATGTTAAAGCTGATCAGACATGGCAACGACGGTCTTGATGTGTTAATATTCATGGGCCAAGAAAAGGGAAAAGAGCAAAAAAAAAAAGAAAGAGAAAAAGAGAGAGCAAATGAGAGTACGTTGAGTCGTGTGCTGTAGGTGTGGGCCACGAAGCAAAGGAAAGGAGGAGGAGGAGGGATGAGTGCCAAGAACTGAGAGTGATGAGAGTGATGGGAATGATAAGAGTGAGGAGGAGCAGAAAAGAGAACCGGAAAAAAAGAAGTCGTTGTTGTCTTTTTGGTCGAGTCCTTGTTCCCTTTCTTCTGTCGCCCTTTGAAACGTCCCTTTTTATTTATGGCATCTCAACAGGGACTCTGGATCGCAAGGGGAATGCCACGCCCATAATGTTGGTGCCCCTTGGCACCAATGCATCATTCATGCTGCCAAATAGCCAACCCGGTTACCCTTTTCCTGGGAACTGCATCCAGGAGCACACTCTCGATTGGTGATTGGTGCGACCCCAAAGATCGCCTACCCGGCATTTCAAATACGGTCCTTGTTTCAAAAAACTCGCGTGTCACCATTCGCGCCAAACTTTATTTGTCTTACTTTATTCAATAATGCAAATCCAAATGTCCGCCGGCCCTGGACGTATGCAAATACGTCGCCTTCAGCTCCGGCCAGTTCTGTCGCGCCCATTCAATCAGCCTCGTATTCCTCACCCCTCTCAACTCCCTCAGTTCCGGCCAATGCTCTCGCATCCACTCCATCTCCGGATACCCTATCCTATGACCCTGAATCCTCGCCACACTCAGAAACCTCAGTCGCCTACATCCAGCCATATGTCCCAATCCGGTCGCCAGGGTCATATCCAGAATCGCATTATGTGTCGCCGACAAGAGCGTATTCACCCCGACATCTGAGGCAGCTTGGACCATGATCTCTGTCGATCCATTCGTAGCATTGTACCAGAAGTGGTTACAGTCCTTTAGCCGCGCACCGTAGCACCGACAGTGGCATCCGAGACGCAGGTCAACCAGCACGCTCAATTGGCCCAGCTTGCGGTAAGTATCCTCAACCCGGAGCATGAATCGCTCCTCGTCCTCAACCTCCTTTTGTGGGAAAAACGTGATATCCAGATGCGTGAGCGTTGCATAACAAGCCCAGAAGAATGATGACGATGACGATGACGATGGCGAGGAGCTCGACGAAAGGCTCAAAGATTCCAGCGCCGGCAAGATCGGTTCATCTGTGATCCACATGGTTCCAGCAGCTCCCTGACCGGAAGAGAAGTTTTTGTAACTGTGCTCATACGTCGTTTCTAGACGCTCCAGGTTCGAACATACCCGAATTAAGTCCTCCAGGTCCATGCCTTCCTGGAATCCACCGCCTCCTGTCCATCGAATGTGAGTAAGCGATCTCGCATGATACTGTATCAGCACCTGAACCAGCTCTCGTGCATCATGTACATGTCCCGAGATTGTGACAGATTTGAGAGGATGACATGCCCTTAGGATACGCAGATAAATCGGCAATTCCTCGAACGCCAAATCCTGGAACACGACGTTCTCGAGCATCGGACAATGGTTGCTCAAGGCTTCAACCACTTGATTCAGAACACTCGTTTGGACGATCGGCACGCTCTCCAAGGTCGTCAGTTTCGGACACCGAAGTCGAAAGAACGGGACGATCGTCGTCAGCTCGTTCGTCTTGATATTACATGGCAGTTTCAGAGTCCGGATATTCGTCGGCGTCGCATTCGCCCAGAAATGCTGCAACAACCCCTGTTCCCCGCCTTGGCCGTTGTCAAGCACGAAACTCCACGAATGGATCGGGTCGTAGTCGAGTTCCATCGTATAATCGATCCTCAGGGCCTCGACCGACTCGGGACAGCACCTTAACAACGTCGCGAGCTGCTGTCCCAATAATGGTACGTCGCCCTGTAACGTCATCATCCTTAATCCACTCAGCTTCGAAAACTTGGTCTGCATGTCATGGAAGGAACTGAGCGTGATTTCTGGCAAGTACTTCAAGCTGACATCCAGCTCCTGTAAACCATCTGCGGCCAGCGACAGCAACGGCAGCAATACGCTCAATGTGTAATGGGCATGCATATAGCTCTTGTGCCTCATCACGATTCGACTCAGTTTCTCAGAGAGCAGTTCTGGATGACGTTCTAGGTAATTGATTAGAGGGGTTTGTTTCATAGAGAACTGGACCGTCAGCGTTCGGATGGTCGGCGCTCGGTTTGTGAGCGTCTTGACAAATTCTGGGTCGGAGAGAAGCGCCTCGTAATCCTTGTCTCCGAGTTCAAAGTTGCGCCAGGTTAGAGGACGGAGGATTTGAGACCAGGCGTAGCAGACGAGTGCGCAGGACACGACATCCTTGGGTGGGAGGTTCAAACTGATCTGCTCCAAAACATGGGGTATATCGAATATAGTGAGGGGCATTATGAATAGAGGGTGGAACAAAAGCAACGAGCATGAGTTGAAAATATGAATTAAAGTGGGCTAGGGAATATGGAGAACTTCTTTTTAAGTGTCGCTTCAAGACGATGGGCTGTGTTAAGTATGCTGTGAAAGCATGGGTCCATAGGCCAATGCGGGCACTGGCAAATGAACCAATTCGACGATAACCTGCTACGCCTTCATTCTCCAAGATACGCCTCCAAGCGTTTATGCCTTATACGAACGATGCGTCTCTTCTTCGACGTTGTCAAAGGAAACGTTGAGATGGGCTGTGGTGGCGATGACGATTAAGGACCGAAAATGTCTGTTTGAATGCAGCCCATGACAACAAATGGGCAGCAGTGCATAAAAACAGCAGCAGGATTACGATTCGTGTCACCATCGTCCCTGGATTTTATATCCTTAGTACAGCTCCCAGAGGCTGACCCTATTCTCCTTGCCTCCAACAGCAATCCAATGTCGCCTAGACCATCGCCGTCTTTCCTCCAACGCATCCTCCAAATCGCTGTTGTCTTCCTCTTCGCTTTCACTATCGCTTCCACTATCGCTCCAAGCGTCACTACCATCCTCCTTCTTCTCGGCATGACCACCATCTCGCGTTTCCAATGGCTGTTTTCCATCGTATTCTCCACTTGATACGTCGGCATCCGTTCCAGCGGCAGCCGATTCGACACTATTGACAGCTGCAAACGCAAGGCAGTAGAGACTCTCTCTATGATGCTTGAGCACTGCTAGTGGCTTCAGTGTCTTTGCTGAATACACTCGTATCCTAAGTACAATCAAGCATATCAAATGAAAGCTTCCGTTAGCACTTGAAGAAGGGCGCGTAATAATATACTAACAAATGCAGATGAACTTATGTACGGTACCTTCCATCCCACCCAGCAAGTCCAATGATCTTATTATCGCTTCGGATCTTGATATCCGCAATACCATTCGCCTTCAAGGCGACCTGAGTGACCTCAGGCACCCCCTGCAACGAGCCGTCAAGATCGTACTTTGCAAGAACGTTATCCGATCCACACGACACCGCATACTTTAGATCAGGCGAAATATCTAGCGCCAACACTATCGAACATCCAAAGAAAGAAAGAAAAAGGCATTAGAGTATCCTTCTAGTATGGAAAACCAAACTAGATCATACTGAAAAGAGGCAACAGACCTGGCTCCCGGTGGGATTTGCATGTCCAGATAACATCCATCATTCGCTTCTTTGTCGATCCCGAGCTCGTCTTCTGTCCAGCTGCGCTTATAGATGGACTCGATTTCTGGAACAATGCCACGGACCCGTCCTCATACCCAACCAGCATATGAAGCGTTTCCAACGCGTCCGACCCAGTCGCCGTCGATTCATCGCTATCCAAACCCACTGTCGAGTGGTCCAAGGTCCTTACCCGCGTCTGAAACAACTGAATGGCCATTACAGATCCCCATTTCTTGACAGTCTCCCCTGATACCGAGGAGCTTGTGTTGCTGTTGCCGCCAATGGATGCAAATGTTCTCTCGGGCTTGACAATATCGTATACGTCGATCAGCGTCGGGGTCGTGGGTGAGGGCACTGCGATGTAGATATGTCGATGGGTCCTCCTTAACAACGATCCGTCTGCCTGCGTTGACGACGAGTCCTGATCATGCTCCTGGATCTTCCCCTGTAATGGTTGTTGCTCCGTTTTCTGCTGCAGATGTGGCGCCGACTCGATGGCCAAGACGGACATTTTACAAAAGTTAAGTGCATTGACGGGGAGACTGAATAACGGCACCATACTCTGCTTACTCGACGACGACGAGCCCTGAATCATTGAGGCCCCGAGCCTCAGCAAACTCTGCTGCAGGATAAAGCTAATATCCCATACATGAATCTCGTTATCGCGACCATGGCTCACGATGTACGTCCAGTCCCGTCCTTCACTCTGCGCCGTGTTCGCTCCATTACGCCTTCTTTTAGTCGCGTTCCGCTCTTTGTTCTTGTTCCGTACTGTAATATCAGATTTCGAGTAGAATGGAATCGCTTTGAGGGCAAGGATCGAGCCAAAGGGATGTCCATGCCACCTATGAACTGGTCGACGCTTCCAGATATCCCAGACGCAGATCCACCCGGCTTCGTCCCCTGTTACTAGAAAAGTGTTCAAGGCGAAAAATTCGACAGCATGCACTGGTGCATCGTGTCCACGAAAGATGAATGACGGTGTTGGAGGTACCGGTCCTGGCCCTCCTGTTCCTTTTGAAGAATGTGAATGCTGATCTCTTGGTCCTGATTCGGTCGCCATCGTGCCCTTCGCAAAAAAAAAAAAAAAAAAAAAAAAGGCTCGTTCTAACCAAATAACGGTGCTGTGCAGATCATTTATGCGGTCACTTTTTATTCAATGCGTCTGCCCAACAAGTACTATACAGCCATTTTCCGTGCAAGCTCCTCCACGCGATCGCGGATCGTCTTATCCACAACCAAATGAATCTGCTTACAGCCCTCGCTCGCCAACGAAAGCACCTCCTCCAGCTTATCCACATGTAACCGTGATTCCATCTGTGCCAGTGTAACCTTGCCGCTCTTTGGTAGCATTGCAATCGTCACTTCTGAGGTATCCGAAACCTCTTCCATATGATTCAGATCTATCCAGCAAAAAGAAAAGAAAAAAAGATTCGTCCTCAAATAAGCATGTCATATGCTTTTGTCCATCATACTTTTTGCGAGAATAAACGAACAGGTCTTGAAATGAAAGATAATAACAAAAAGCAGGCCATGAAAAGAAAGGTGGCAAAAATCAATTTGGATCCGTGTTCATTACTTACCAATGGCCGCTTCACGCTCGATCCATCCAGCTGTGCATGCGCAGACATAGTCCGTCATAGCGATTCCAGCATCAATCAAAGCCATCGTCGCCGCATTGACGCATGCCTGCAGCACCCCACCATCCTGTTGAATGACCTGCAAATAGATATCGATCTGTGAGCGAGGATAAAGTGTTGTCACCACCACCGGTTCGAATGTCTGCTTCACGAACGAGGCCATCTCCAGCAAGCGCCTATCAATAAACACACGTCAAAGAAAATAAACCCCCAAACGATCATCAGTACATTCCCTAGGCATTTGTGGACATCCTGAAATGCAGACATTTTCCTTGATCTGCCGTAACTGAGATATATAATCCATTATAAAAGAAAAGAAAAAACACGCACTTGTCGTTCTTGGTACGCCTCCTACGCTCGCCAGTGCTGAACGGTGCAACATTAAACTCGACATTCAGAATCGCGCGGTCGTGAGCGACGAGTGCACGATGCCTCGCCTCCCGAGGTCCATAGACTGCTGCCAGGACTTTGGTGTTTCCGTGTTCCAGATAGGCTGATCCATCCGCTTGCGAGAGCACTGCGGTCGCGCTTGTGATCTTTCGAAGTTCTGCAGGGCGACGACCATCGACTCGAAGGCCTATTTTCAGGTATTGAATATTTGTTGAGGGTTTGGGAGATATGTGTCAGTAACACAAATTCATCTTCAAGGGTACAATCTTGGGCGAAAAGCAGGCGCTGGTGATACCTTCTGGTGACAAGAGTTCAACGCGGGACTATTTTTTAAGAGGGTTTCGGTCGTTGAGTCAGCTATCCATACTTAATCCCCATGTTCCTGTTGTGATAGCCTTATAGCCTTCGTTGTACATGGTTGCTGTTGCCGTTCCTCTTACCATGGTTGTGATTCCTGAATGAGGCAAGAGAGGTTTGAAGAATTAAAAGGACCCATGGCGCTTGCACTTGTGCTAAAATATAATTTTTTGTTGTTTGAGCTCCCAGTAAGCCACTAGGGGCCTTTCGCCCCTGGAGAAGACTGTTTCTGTCGAGGCCTACTGAGCGAAGCTTCTCCACATTCGTCTCTGTACATCGCCCAACCAACACCACAGCCATGACTACTCTACTGAATGCCGACTGTCGCATCAAGTAATGCTACGTCTGCCATGTTTTGAGAGCTCAGCAACAATAACGGTAACCGGACAGAGTCCAGTTCGTCTTTCCTTACTGCGCCTAATAAAAATATTTGCCGCCCAATTTTTTCGGTCTACGAAATAGAGTGAGTTCAGTCCTGAACCGCGAAACAACCCTCTACGGCAAACAATTCCTCACAGACAATAGCGAGGAAACCTGCTGGAACTCTGAATCCGTAAGAAAAACATGTTTCTTCACCAAATAGAGCCACTTCAAAACTTCAATTGCTTCTTAATGACTTTTTTTTTTTCTTTATTTATTGCTAACGTGCGTTTATATACGTGATCCTTTACAGGGGACGCCTCAGTTTATTGTCGTCGATTTCGGCCGCAAGGTCCAAATCGAGTCCCTCCAAATCATGTTCCAGGGTGGGTTCGTCGGCAAGACCTGTCAGCTCCTCGCCTGGACTGACGACAGCGAATTCGTTGAGATTATGAAGTTCTATCCTGAGGACATCAACCCATTACAAATAAGTCGTTCATGCTATGCTATTGAACTTGTCTTCGAAAGACTTCTTATCATGGCGCGTTATTAATCTGTCCGTGCTGTCTGGAATGCTTTTTTTTTTTTTTTTTTTTTTCGCCTTATCTACAGCTTTCCGATTGCAGTAAACGACCGCAAGATCACATCTAGGGTCAAGATAGTCTTCGAGTCCAGCACAGATTTCTTTGGACGGATCACAGTCTACAAACTGGATATCCTTGGCCAGGATGCCTCATAGGGATTAGAACATACACATAGAAAAATAATAGACCCGTCCGCATTTATCTGACAAACAAAGAAGTCTTTAAAAAAATGGATGTTAAGGACCAAGCAGGGTACGGAGAAATGACGGCAGTACTGGAGTAATGCAAAGTCCTACTTTATCGCGGCGACCTGGGAGGTGCGCCTCAGTGAACAGACGCGTTGTTCTCCTCGTTCTCTTTAGACTCATATCGACTCGCCATTTCCGTGTTGCACTGGTCCTGCTGTTCACACAAGACCATGGAGACCAAAGGCATCCTGTCCTGCGCTGATAGTTCTCCAACAACTCTCAACTTTTCATGGCCCCAAGGCTCCGCAACAGGCAAAGAACGCTCTCCACGAAGATATTGACTTTGCTGCGAAGGCGATTGATCACGATACTGCAGCGAAGGCGAAGACGAGTCATAACGATATGGCAGCTGAGAACCTTTATGCTGCATCTGATTCTGCAGATCCTGAATCATCCCCTGTTGGCCTTCCATCTGGTACTGCAGTCTCTCGATCATACGGTACATCGTCTTTTGATTATCTTTGTCCCTTTGCCGTTGATCATCCATGCGAACCAGGTATTCTTTGACCACTCGGAACTCGCTCAAGATCGTTTGATAAATCTGTGCTGTTTGCTCAAATGACATGGGCGTCTGAGTTCCCTCCATGTATCCGAGATATTCCTGTCCTGCGACCATCGAGGACGACATGGCCGAAGTAGGCGAAGACAGGCTTGGACGGTAGGATGTGTCAGAAGCTGGACTCTGGGCGAGTTCAGTCCGAACGGTGGCATGCTGCATATAACTGTCATCCCTCTTTTCTGCCGAGGAAGCGCGAGCTGATGACCGACTCTTTCGCGAATGCGATCCAGACGTCGAGCGAGACAGTGTCTCCTTCGTATATGGATGTGAACCCCAGATGCGCTGAGGCCGGAACTCCTCTTCCAGCGTTCGTGCGGCACTGGTCTCCGTCGCACTTCTCTTCCTGTCCATGGATCCATAGCTCGCGTTGCATAAATGATTTCGCCGTGACGGCGTAGCGTGCCCTGATGATGGTACTGAAGACGGCTCGGAAAATGCTAGTGTCGATGACAGTGTCGACGACAGTGTCGAAGGAGATTGAGCAGTGGCCGCAAAAGAGGACGAGCTTGGAGAATTAGTGGTATCCATGGTATCCATGCTCATACCAACATCAAACTTCTGTTTGGTAGCGCGCAATGAACCTATTTTCCCCGGAATCGTCCTATCCCCGTCGTTATTCTCTTCGAGCTCGTCAGAGTCCTGGGATGAATTCCGCTTCTGTGCCCCTGCAACCGTATAATCATCGCCCTGATCCTCTGAATCCGTTACGCCTGATAAGCTGTCCTCGTCGTTCGACTGGCCTCCATCCTCATCTAAAGAAGCAGCATGGCCACCTAGATACATCAGCTGGATGACTTGCTTTACCAGCTCGTCGTTGACCTCTCTCATCTCCTCTGGGATATTGCCCTTGTACATGCGTTCCCGAATCTGGTACGGCTTGATCATGCGGTTGACCCTCCTGATACACTGCCGAGAATGGACCTTCATCCCGACTGCGTCCCGGACGTCTTCCCAAGTCTTGACGACCTGACCCACTTTCTGTGCAAACGGGTTCAATCTAATGGTTTCCAGCAGCAATCTCCTGTCGGCTTCCTCAGATCGATACCGGCGTTTCTTTTGCATTCTCAGTAGAGCCTGGGGTTGATTCATCATCACAAAGAGCTGTTCCAGCAGCTTCTTTTTGGTCTCGATCTGCTTCTCCGTCCCCACAGGCCGTTCTCGACCTGCGATGCTGGCCTGGATAATGTTGTCATAGCGACGGGCACATGTCCTTGCGCGTATGCCATGTTCTTTCGCGATACGCTCCCAGACTTGCGTCGTCCTTCGTATGGGACAGTTGAACGGATCGTGCTTAAGAACGTTTGACAATAACTCAATCTGAACATCAATAGGAAGCGGACCCTTGAGCGCTCCACGGGTCGAATGCGTTTTCAAAGTCGACGTTGTTGCAACCGTCGCCGCCGGAGATGATGTTGTTGCTGCGCCGGAGGATGAACCAATCATACCGTCTCCCCGTAGACTTGTGCTCGCGCCTTCATTGGATATAGTAGAAGAGCCTGGGCTATGCTCTGGGACACTCTCGCCTGACGCGGTGTGTCGCTTGGGGGCAAGCGAGGGTAATGAATGGGCACCGAATGTTGAAAGTGGCCGACCGATAGGATATCGTTTGGATAGGGAATCCTGTGTGGAGTCTGGATGAGACGATCGGCTGTGCTGTGCACCATCGTCGATCGTGAGCCTAGGATGTCGTCGATCCATGTCCTCGCGGTCGTTGATTTCGCTGCCAGGGCCAACGTCTCCCTGAGCCGTATACGGATTCATTTCGCTGGTAGACAAATGGCCTGTTATTGCTGTCGTTGTTGCCTCTGAAAAATATGGTATCAGTTGGGAGCATTGTGAACCGGAGGTGTTGGTGCCAGAGGAAGAAGGAGGGACGAGGGGAGCGTCTTTTGTAAAGGACTGTGCACGGGATCTCAGAGTGTGAGGATATTGCTGTTGCGTGTGTTGTGTTCCTGGCAAAGAGACACGTTGAGGATGTGTTCCTGAAGAGGAAGAGCAGCTATCGAGGCTGGTGTCTTGTGGATATGGGCTGCGATTTAAGAAGGAGGAAGGGGCGACAGAAGTTATGCCAAGCAGCGACATGGTAACCAAGGGAAGGAGATAGTGAAAGGTTGGAAAGAAGAGATGGGAAAGAGAGCAATAAAGAGATGTTTAGATGCCAAGAGATGTACTCAAATAATACTAGTAAGAAATAGCGATAATGGTATTGAGGGTCGTGGCGTTAAGTCGTTCATCGCTGTGTGGATTATGACTAAGCATTGAGTTGTCCTGTTTGTTGATTGTATGGTGTACTAAAGGAAGAGCGGAAGAAAATTGTATATCTGTTTACCTGATGGACGAAAATGAAGCAGGAACGACGCCAGATGAAAATGGCTGCGTAGAAACGGGACGAGAGGCGCGTCGTCGTCGGTGCTGATGTAGATGGGCCTCGTACTCTTGGTAATACTGCGATCGAGTAGTTCCTAGCAAGTTGGTTGCGGATACCGATACAGACGGTGATGGCGACGAGGATGGCGGCGATGATGGTGACGGCGATGCAGCAGAGGAAGGCAGGACGAGAGGCCCTGTAGCAGCAAAAGAAACATGAACTGTCTTGTCAATTTCCGAGAAAGTACTCCCCGTTGCAGAAGGGCCCATGCCGTGGTCCCTATCTGCATCTGAGACACCATTTCCGGCATCCATGGCACGTTCATGAGTATTTCCTGTGGATAAATCAGCTAGGGACTCACTTGTAAGCTGCTCATCATCCTCGATCTGATGATGAACTATGTCTGTGGACTCTGCCGGTTCCTGCTCTGATGGAGATAAGGTCTCAGCTGGCAAAGATCGATTGCCGTATATTAAAGCCTTGTTTGTTGACTGCCGTTCGCCATCTGTCATGGTTGTAGCGCCTGAAGTTGATTGTGCCACAATGTTAGACACAGCAGTTGGTATCGCCTCTATCTGAACTCTTTCCTCGGTCGCGTGCTCTGTGTTCATTTCGTGTGAGTGCTGTGTATGCGGATGTGCAGCTGTGCACTGTGTAGTTTTTAATGCGGTGCGAGCTCGCCCTACTTGTCGGATTCAAAAAGCTGTTTGGAGCTACCAGAGGGACAAAAAGCGAAAAGGGCGTATGGAGGGATGGTAGCCTTCAAAGGCAAGGAACAGAGGACAGCAGGCTATGTATCACCCTGTGTATCGGGCCGAAAACCTTGGCGGAAGAACAACCTACAAACGCTCTAATGTCACCTGATGGATCTGCGCCGAACCGGCTGCTAAGACTGTTATACATTAGAGGCGACGATGAGTATTTTTTGATCTACAGGTATGTTCCCATGTCCTTTTGATTCTCACTCTAATGATGCTAAACTGTATAAGACACCAGGAGATCAGAATGTCTCCTTTTCAGCATGTGATCGTTTTGCTACGCTGGAAGATGCACTGAGGATAAACTTCTTGACAACAAGGTAGGGTGGTGTGAGATTATGTGGGGTCAGGAGCAGATAGAGAGGAGGTGAGAAGGCGAGGAGGAGGAGAGAGAGCGCTAGTGCACTGCGACTTTGGCGTGCAGGTGCTGAGTGGTGACCGTAGCGGACCACACCAAGGCACAGAAAAAGAAATTACACAAAGTAGGAAGCCGTTCATGCACTGCTCTTGAGATCTGCACACGTATGCATCTCTCGCCCTTCGGAGTCCCGTATCAATAGTAGAGCGTCCAATAGCGCTAAAAGAAAGAGAAAATCAGAAGGAAAAAAAAACACCAGGAGCAACAAAGACTCGCAAGCCCAGTAGAGTCAAGGTTGGGAAACATAGCCGGTCGAGGGATTTAGGGGTGAAGATGCTGGAAAAGAAGGGCACAATCGCGCTGTGCTGCATGCTGCAAGGGATTCTGTTGCTGCAGAGGAAAGTGGGGGAAGGGGGGTAGTGAGATCAGAAGCATAGGGTCGGTTGAAAAGCGTGATTATGCCCAAATCGCGTCGCGGCGCAGGGCCGCTGGAGATCATCGAAGAGATGTGTTTGGAAGCTGTAAAGCAATGGTCCATATAAGGTGGGTGGTATTGCATATTCTGCTATTGTTTACCTATGTGACAAAGCGAGGTTGGTCAGAGGAAACTGGAAAGCAGGGAAGGGAAAGGCGGAAAAAAATTCGAAAACGATAATGAGGGATATAGGGATGAAGATGCCGACGAAAGTCGTTTATGTGGGTCAAACAGCGCCGGTGCGGGTCGACCAGAAGTCGTTTAAAGCAAAAAAAGCTCGATCCATCTTTTCGCGTCTCCCTATTTATACCTTCTGCGTCTTGCGGATAAAACTCTAAATTAAGGTGTTCAGTTCTCACGACGTTCATTGCCGTTGTCCTATGCTGCTGAAACTTGCGTATACATTTTCGGCCTTGAACTGTTGCCGATATCCCCACTGTATACTGCTATGACCTTACCTCATGTCTATTCAAACTAACCCTATGTCAGTACGGTCCATCGCCTCCTACGAAGCACCCTCAGGAGGCTCGTCAATGTCCTTATGTTCGAGATAGTTTTTCGGTTCCTGGCTTTATTTTTGATGGCAGTACAAACTCAAATCAAAAGTGACCTCAGCACTCGGAAACTCTTGGCTTCATGCTCTGAATAGTACACGTATACGCATGCAGATTTAGTACTTGGCAACAGGCCACAGGCGCGGATCCTCACACACGCGAACTATGAATTGTATCCACAAGGATATCCTCCTCGCTCTTGCCCAGCCTAAGTGCAAAGAAGGGTATGTTGATACGTCATAAAAATAATGATCTGATATTGCCAGACACCTACTCGTTTTTTATCGGATATAACTGAAAGTAGTGCGCCATAATCAAGAACTCATATAGCAACGTACACCCAACAATTGCGGCGCGTCGGAGCAAGAACCATTCACAAGAGGTTGGTGGATGTGTTTATGGGCCGCGTTCCATCCTTCGACTGCTGACCAAGAATCGGTCAGACATATTTCGGGTGTGCTAGCAGGTGTTGGAGGTCGTCAGAAGCGCCTCTTCTGATCGTCAGAATCTACAAGAAACTCGTTTTGAGCCACGTTAATGAGTAGGTGACACAAACAACCCCGACCATAACAGATGCATGAACCCCGAAACAGCAAAAGCCCTCCACGGTACGAAAAAAAAAGTTCGTGATCCTTGAACCATTCCCATCAGCCCATTCGTGTTACCAATATCGGGAACCGCTTGGCAACTTAACCTCTCATGTGCTCTCTAATAAAATGTATGCGAAGATAGAGAAACAGCCCACGACCTAGCCAAGGCTCCGCGCGCAACCGTGACACAGCAGATCTGCTTCACTACTCCGTCGGACTATCTTTGGACGTCGGTCGAAAAAAAGTATCTGCACTGCTATTACTTGCTAGCAATTTTCCATTACCTTTTGGACCTCCGGAGATGGATTTTGCCGGTATGGCCTACCGGACGTTTTCCTGTTTTTTTTTTTTTTTTTTTTTTTTTTTTCATTACATTACGACTCCTCATTCTCACGCTGCAGTTTTGTTTGGCCACCTTGGCAAAAAATAAAAATAAAAATAAGAATGCACATGCTGACATACAGCCCTGCTTTCATCTCTCGGGCAACATATACAGTTCTTTCGCCCCATGGCCGAAAAGTAAAATCGACAAAAGGGTCAAAAATCCTCAAAGGACTTATAACAAACAGCCTTGACGATTGCCATCCATGTGCGGTAAACAGAAACGATGATCGGGACTGTCTTTAGATATTATTAACGTGTTTGCCGTCTACATTGTCTTGACCTTGGGTTTAGATAAATGAGACTATGCATGTCCTCCAAACAAGACGTTCGTGGACAAAAAAAAAAGCTGTTTTGGCATCGGCGACTTGCATGCGAGTGGTATATAAGTTCAAATCTTATTTCAGCATATGTAATGAGTAATTCCCCGTCCGCTCTCGCCTTCTCCAGTTTCTTCTTTTTTTTTTTTGCTCCGTTCTCTCCCTCCCAGCTTACAAAATCAGGCACTTGCCCTTCTTGCCCTTCCTCTCGCGATCCTTAGCACTCTCCTTACGCTGCTGGATCTTTCGCATCAATACCGTATACACTTCATCGACATTATGTCTTGTCTTGGCCGATGTTTCGTAGTATGGGCAATTCCACTCTACAGCCCGTGCTGCTGCCTCGTCGTAGTTTACTTTGCGCAGCTGGGTCAGGTCTGCTTTGTTGCCCACAAGGATGAAGGGAATCTAAACATGAATAAAGTTGATGCAGCGATATGGTTAAACATCCAGGTTGTTCTTAGGATATAGCGGCATGTCAAGCTTCCATATCTCTCTCTCCTTCTCCAGGAAAAAGAAGAGATCCGTTCATTCTGCCACTTTTCTGTACTCAGGTAGTTGGGCAATTGATTATTCCAGAATGCCTGCGCTTTACCTTGTCGTCGTCCAAAACGCGTGAAATCTGGTCCTTGAACTCCTGAGTGTGCATGAAAGACTCGTACTCGCAAAGCGAAAACACACAGATAAAGCCCTCCCCAGACCGGTAGTAGTTGTCACGGATCTGCAGAGGAATCGTTGGGAAAATAAAAAGAAGGTTTTCATGTTAGCCCAGGGATTTCGCTATAACAAACAACGACATGGGAGTACAAAGAATGCCCTGTACCAGCGAAATGTCACAAGTCAGACGGAACGGCAACTTACAGCAGCGTATTCCTCCTGACCAGCAGTGTCAAGAATGTCAATTTGGCAGTCTTGCTGGTCTAGGGTGACCTTTTTGCGGTACGAGTCGGCCTTGGTCGGGTCGTACTCCTCCACAAAGTCGCCGTACATGTACTGGAGTGTCAGGGCCGACTTTCCGACACCTCCAGAGCCAACCATAATGACCTTGTGCAAGGGCAAATCCTGCTTTGCTTTCTTTCCCATTTTCTTATATGAGCCTAGTGTACGACGGGGTGTTGGATTGGGGTGAAGTGGTTGTTGTTGCTATTGTTTTCGTTGCTGCGGTTGTTTTTGCGGATGCTGAGAATGCAAAAGTAGACGGCCTCGAGGGGTGTTCGGCTGCGTTCTTTCTGGGCTGTCTAGACGAGTCCTGATGAGAAAGGAAGAAGAGCAGAAAGAATGGGAGCAGCGCGTTTTAATTAGAATGAAAGATGATTCGAGCGGGTTTCGGGTCTCTTTGACACCAGACTGGGTGAGCACTTTTGCAGGCTGCTAAGCTGCCTGTGCCTATGTAGAACGGAGGAGGCTGTACCTTTGAAACAGGCGGCTGCTGCAGTGCGATGGGTAGTGTAACTGAGAGGGAATGATGATGTTGAGATGATGAGTCTGCTTCACCTGAGGGTATAGCGAGAGAGTGGCCCTGACTTTCAGCGTTAAGGGTCACTTGCCTACCCTGTGAGCGCCCGAACTCAATTGCAGGTCGGGCTGAAACCTTGCTCGCCGTAGCCGTCTCTCCTTGGGAAAGGGGGGGAGGGGACTCCCGGCGACCGGGTCACGATTTGTATTTTTTGCAAATAAATGGTTGGCTGCATTTCGCATCCGTAACAGCAGAAGATATCAGTGGCACATTGTCTAAACAAAACAATATCACTGCTTGGTCCAGGCAACGCCATGCCCAGATATGCTTAAGATCCAAAGCCCTTTCTGGCTGGTTATCCTACCCATGACGCGCATGAATGGTTGTGGTAGACTATATGTGATGTCCATCTACCGAGGTGCTCTGAGGTCTCATTTCTAGCGGCTATGACACCATAGCAATTCTTTGGAACCGTCTGTTCGCCAAACCAAACCAAGGTGTTGTATAAAGCAATTTGCAGGAGCATTGCTAGGCGAGCTGTTGGCGCCATAATTCAACATAGCATTAGCATTGGCTTCAACATATCTTCGTCCAACAGAGAACTCTTATCAAAAGTATTATGTTTTGGAACGATGCATGTAATTACATCAACCGTTTTAGCTCCTGAGCGCAAAATAATACATGCAATACATGCACTTGCCCCTCAGAAATATGGATGAAGATCAAGTCGCGTTTTTGGGATTCGCCGGCGATCTGCACGACCTTAAAGAGAGATTCCTCTGCGTTCCTGACCGAAACCCCCCCCCCCCCCCCCCCCCTGTTCTTTGTGCACTGGTAACATGGGTTTCAAGCTGCTTGCAAAACATGCTTGCAGGCAATAATGCGGCGCACTTCCCCTTTACCAAGCCCTATCTCGTTCTTCTCTGCGTCTTCTGGGCGATCTATAAAGTCATGTCGCGAAAGCGACTATAAGAATTAAATGACAGCCCCCTTGTCAGCATGGCACTCATGATCCGAGACTACCTCGTCTTCATTGGTTTTGAGCAATTGCGAACCTCGGTAGTGCATCAGGGTCTCGGCGACCTCGCTCCACGAATAGTGCTCCAGAGGGCTTTTCTCACCATTTCAATTGTTTATTTGACCAGTATGCCATTGTTAGGAGCCTTTCGTCGAATACTGTCGCACAGAGAATAAATCCTATTTTCTCCGCACGCGCTTCGGGGTTCTGTAGGTTCAGGACCTTCAGTGGTAGAATTGAGTCCCAACTAAGGGGGCAGCGAGTCGTCCGTAGTTCCAACTCCTCCGCGGACAAGGAAACTTCGCCGTGCCAGACGCGAAAAATCAATCACCGGAATTGCAGCTCTCCAATTCATCAGAATCAGCGCAATTTTATAAAAATTCTGCTTGTCTCGATGAACTTCATAGTTGACGTATTCGCGGCGCACAAGAAGACGTTGGCATGGCGAGAAGACAGCTTGGAGATGCCTGAGGGTCGCTATCGGTGCTTGAGGAGGAGTCGAAACTATGCTGGTGATATATTCAGTGCGGTCTATCAGCTTGCCTTGTCCATCGAATCACTTCAACGCCAGGTATTGTAATCTGGAAGGATGCCACGGACTTGTTGCGGGATCAGAGACTTGAATCGACTAGTATTACTCTGAGTACGGAGGTCGACGAGAAAGACGAGGTAGACATGCGCGAGAAAAAGTCCGAAAAGCCCTTGACATTCACTGACTGTAGACGCCCGTTGAAGCGACAGTCTCATGCCGGATGGCCCGTATGAGCCATTGACCCATAGGTGGAGAACACTCGTCTTTGTGACAGCGTCATCCAGATTGCGTAGGTCTTCCAGCATCATATCCCAGCCCAGTAAGATCTTCAGCTCCTGTATGCCTCAGGGTTGAAACATCGCTTCATAGACCTGCTTTACCAGGGTGCTTGATCCCAACGAAATCTCGATCTTGCCAGTCTCCTCAGAGAATGATCCCTTGTTCGCCTCAACAGCATTCCATAACCTCTGCATCACGGACTCGCGGTAATTTTCGCGGTAGTGGTCCACGTACACCCATTTGACATATCCTTCCTGAGTCACTATCTGGCAGAAACTGCCTAAGGTGCGACCCTTGTCGGCGGCCCTCAGGTATGATTTCAGTCGCCTCAGATCCGATCCCCCCAGTGCCTCGAGCTTATCCATGGTCGATAGACGAATGAAGGTTTCGTTGGTGAAGTCAAGATACTTGTGGACTTCCTCGATCCCCTCCACCAGCTGGAACTGGGCCAGGGGCGCAACTACCATTCCGGCGGGCGCAGTGCCGTACTTGATCATGTACATCAACATCAGGACGTACAACCCATACTCCTTAAAGAACTCTGTGGGTTTCACAGTTGCATACCCCTCGCGCTTTGCCAGATGAACCTCGTGTCGGACCTTGGAGCTCTCGATCATGGTGTGAGTACCGCGCTCGCACCGCACAGGAAAAAACGGCTGAAACTGCTTTTTCGAATAGCTGTCCCTATTTTGTCTCTCAAGTGTGGAGGTGTTGCTGGTAAGGCAACGAAGAGTCGCGGGATCGGGTATTCATGAAGTTCGTAGGTCTGGGTAAGGAGTGCCGCTCGATGGTTGACATGAAGAGTTTGTTCAGGACACAAGTGCGGTTTCCGACAACCTTAAAAAATAAATAAATGAAAGGAGCGTAGATGAAGTCGATCTACACGACGACTTCGCCCAAAGGGAAGCACCACCAAGGAATTTTGATGGAATACATGTTGCATAACTAAACTTTCAAATTATGGCTGAGAGGAGTCAAATAGCCATTCACGAAAGAGCAAAGGTCTCTTCGCCGGAAGTAGTTGATACTCCAAATTTACAACCTGAGCAGGTAAGAGGTCCACAAGGACATGGCCAGAGCGCGGAACAAAGCTCCTTCTTCGTTTTTAGCACCCCTATTGCTGTAATCTGTACGCCGCGCCCCCCCCCCTCTTTGGCCTGGACTTCCTCTCCCAAAGATCATAAAAAGTCAAATCGCGAAAGATGTTATTATTTAAAGGGTACCTTTATTTTCTATTAAACGATAGTTACAACTCTACTTTTAAAAGATTATTAGGGGATGTCATTATTGTACATGGAAATGTTTGTGTGGGGAGAGGAGGGGGATATGTTGTTGTCATAAACAGGCTATAGAAGCATTGGATTTCGGTCGTAGAATATCATTATCATTAATCGTCCTTTTTTTTTTTTTTTTTTTTCTGTTTCTTTTTCTTTTTTTTTCGTTTTCGTTTTCGTTTTTTTTTTTTTTTTGTTGTCTTTTTTTCTTTGTCTGTGAAGCACACTTGTTCAAGTTCAGCATCATCAAGTAAACTTGGGATTGGAAGTGGTATATTTTGTTTTTCTTTTTCCAAACAGAAATAAGCAGAAATGGTCATGACAAAGGTAAAAGTTACAACGTAAGCGAAAATGAACGGGAGGGGTGAGGAAATGATACGGCTGGCGCAACGGAATCGTACGAATTAACCTGAGGCTAGAGCAGGATGGAGGAAAAAAGGGCGGGAAAGGGGAAAAAGAAAGATAGTCGCAAGATGAAGTGATATAGACAATGATGCAAAAGAACGAAAAGAACGCCGACGAGGGAGGAAAAAAGAAAAAGAAAGGGTAACAGAACGAGACATGGCGTGCTACTGGAGGTGCAAGGACGAAGCAAACGAGCAAAAGAGCATAAGATAGAGGAGGACGAAAATGTGTATGTGTATGTGTATGAACAACAAAAAAAAGAAAAAAGGAAAGGGAATAATAAATATATCTTAGCTGACATGCAAGTTCATTACTCCTTCTGCGTAGCAACTCTCGAACGCCAAAGAAATGTCGTCGTCGTCCTTCATGATGATATAGTCATTGTCCTCATCCTTGTATCGGAGACGCAAGGGCTGCGAATCTGACCGGCGGCATCCACAGAGACGGATCTTCTTCTCCACCCTTTCCACCAACTCGTTGTATCCAATCTGAATGGGCACAACGATCAAGTACGCATCCTCCTGGAAGTTGACCTTGATCTTCAACTGTGGCACACCTGCGCTGAGGTTGCTGTTCGAGGGCTGTTGGCGCAACGTTCGGTTGGGGTCTGGACGAGGAGAGCTGTGTCGGGATGGGATGGTCGGGACAGCGGGGATGTTGAACGAGCTGCCCGGATAAGGAGTCGTTGGGGAGTTTGGTCCGCTCGAGTTGGAAGGGCGTCTGTGGTGCGAGAGAGGTGTGGGCATGTCTGGAGCATTGTGCCATGATGGGTTGGCGGCCGCATGGATGTTGGGGCTGCTCTGTGCACGTACGCGAAGTTGGCCAGGGATTGGAGGCACTGGTGGAGGGGCCGCGGGCGTGGCATTGTATGAGTAGCCGGTCGAGGCATTTCTGGCGAGCGGCTGTCCTTGGGTATAGTCGTCCGAGCCATCATGAGACATGAACCTGGACATGGTCTCGGTCATGGGCGAATGGCCTTCGCCATTACTGCGTCTCTGCCAAGAACTGCTGCTGCTGGTCGAGCCACGAGAATTGGAGACTGTCGGCGAAGCAGGATAGGATGAGGGAGGTGAGTATGGGTACTCTCCAGGAGACATGACGCCCATAGCTGTGCCTGAGCTGCTAGTTGTGCGGGGCAAAGGGGGCAAGGACATGCCTGGGGATGGTCGACCGTTCGAAGAGACGTGAGCGTTGTATCCAGCGGTGCGTGCATTCCAGGATGCAACAGGCGGCACGGTACCGTCCTCGGTCTTGGCCCTAGGACGCGATCCGAGCATGGCTGGTTGAGAGGCGAGACCGAATGGGAGCGAATTGCTGCGGTATCCACGAGGCTCGTCGTAACCATCCTCCTCGTCACCATCCACGTCGTCATCCAGATAATCATCGTCATCACGGTAGAATGATGATTGTTCGGGTGTCATGGGTGGAACTCCAATGAAGTTGGTAGTCGAGACGATGGCAGCCTTCTGGGCATTTGCTTCAATCACCAACTTATCCAGCACGCTGTGCCACTTCTTGAGCTGTTCCTCGTTGCGACAACGCAGTTCAAACTCTTCTGCGGCCACATTCCAAACAACATGGAGGACATATGATCCAGAGACATTAACAGGCAAGATCGACTTGATGTTGTTGATGTAGATGCGACCGTTGAGATGCAGCGTGGGCTTTTGCTTTGCACCCTTCGCCAGGGGCTTGGTCTGCTTCTTTTTGCTGACGATTTCTTGACAGCAGACCAAGATCTTTTCAAACAAATAAACCTCTAACTCCTTGTCCGAGGTGCTGCGGGGGTTCAGGAGTTTGTCGTGCAAGAGCAACGTGCCAAAGTCTGAAACGAGCTCACCATCCTTCCAGGCAATCTTGTGCTGCAGCGCCTGCGCAATCAAGTGGTTATCCTGCTTGCGGTTTGTCTCATTGATGCGGTCGGCGACACGTTTGATAGAGGCCTGACCTTGGACCAGGTCCCGATAGTGGGGGAATTCTAGGTCCGTCAGCTTGATGAGTTCATGCATAAAGAGTGGGTACTTGCAGATACGCTGAATAGGTTTGATCAACTGAGAGGTGATTCCGTGAATGGGCTCCATCAAATGGGCCATTTTCTACAAGGCATAAAGATGCATGGCAATAAATAGCAAGAAATCATTTAGAACATGATGCTCATGGTCGTCTTTTAAATAGCAAGAACAGCAACACACTCACCTGGAGTTTGGGTGCCTCGCTGAGAATCAGCTTGCTGGCCTCAGCAAAGTTGGCACAGAAGGGCTCGTAAACGGCAAAGGCCTCTTCGTGCTGCAGAAAAACTTGGCCAAAATTCTGATCCTGAGGTGAGAATGCGGCGTTGGTCTCAATCGCAATCAGGAATCGTCGCTGGAAGTCGACAAGGGCGTTGAGGTTGGCGAAGATGAGATGGATGGTTTCGGGCGAGATAACCGTGCCATCAGCCTGGAGCGCACGCATGTAAGCCTGCAAGTTCTCCAGATCTTGGACGTAACTCCGCTCTGTCTCCAAGATCTCATTTACAACCTTGGCACGGTTGTCGGTTGGTTTCGCCTGGTCAGAGTTGCGCTTGGCCGTGCGTCTAGCCCGAAGCAATCCATGGTCCTCCATGCGGTCCAAGACCATGCTCACCGTTTTGATCACCTATTAACCACACATATCAAACAGCACAGGGATGTCAATGAATGGGACCCTAATGGCTCAATGTTCAGGTGCGGAAAATGACATGGCAAACATGGGGAGTAGGCCGCGCATGGCAGGATGTGTGCAGAGTGAGAGAAGTATTTATTACCTTGACAAATCCATTGGTATCATCCTGATAAAGCTCCGAGATGGTGAAGAGGTCATCCTCTTTGAACTGGAGCTCCTGTCGGCAGGCAACCAGGAAGCGGAAGACCGAGGCCTTGCAGGCATTGATGTTGCTGAGGTTTGTGTCGGCGCTGTTGATTTTGAGCGGCTCCTTTGGACGGAGACCATTGAAGATGCAGGCGAGAGGGGAACCGAGGCGAAAGAGCACCCAGAGCTGGTTAACGGGGTCGTTGGGACTGGATCCAGAGGGGGTGCCGGCCTGGGTGTTCAGCAGCAGGTCGGGGTTGAGATAGTCCTCAAAGTCGGGCACACCCGAGAGTCGCTCAATGAGATTGAGACAAGACTGATAAAGCGAGACGACCGAGTTGCCCCTCAGGAGTGGGGGCGGTGGTTGCTCGACAACGGTCGGGGCGAGCGGCATGGCAACGAGCTATTGGAACGTGTTCTGTGTATCTGTCTGTCTATCTGATTGTCAGAGGAGTTGAATGAAGATGGTCAGAGGGAGGGAGGGAGGGAGGAATATGTATCTTTCGAGGGGTTGAGAGAGGACGACCACCAAGTCCCGAGGGGAAGAAGGGAGGAGAGAGTGAGAGGGATGAGGATAGAGAGTGGATGGAGTTTCCCAATTGTAGAGCGAGACAAGGAGAGATGAGAGAAAAAAGAAGAAAAAAAAAGAGAGATGGGGTTCTTCCCAAAAGAGTGATGATGGGATGATGGTGTGAGATGGTGTGAGAGAGGGAGAGACACTTTTTTTTTTTTTTTGGCTCGCTTGCTCTCGCGGGTTGCACAAAGGGGGCTGGCCCCAATTCAGCTCAAAAGGAAAAAAGGACCAGTGGGAAGAGTGAATAAGAAAAAACGGCCCACCGACCAATCACAGCGCGGGAAGGGAGAAAAATAACTGAGCGAGAGAGAGAGAGGGAAGAGGGGGGAAGAGAGAAGCTAAGCGGCAAAGAGACCAAAGAGACAGCCAATGGCCAATAGGGCATATCCTTCTTTGCTTTGCTGCCGGAGAAAGGCCAAAACTGAACCAGGACAAGCCAAACTAGGCGCACCGTAGCGTATATCATGGCAAATATACCTGTGTCCTCCATATCCTCTATATCGCCTGTTTGGCCATGAGACCAGATGAACGATCGAAGGGGGATTATCTTATTATCTCGCCACATGCAAACACTCCGAGTGTATGGAGCAGCTCTCTCTCTCCCTCTCTCTCCTTCTCCTTCTCTTATAAACAGACACAGACAGGAGATGTGGGGGAGAAGGTAGATTTGCACAGCTTAGCTGACAAACCAAATGCCCCCCCTCCCCACACACACACAAACACGCCATGCAAACGAGACAAACAAAAAAACCAAAACCAAAAAGGAGAAGAGAGACAGGGACAGACACTGTGCTGTATGGTTTTATGGCTGTATGGCAAGGGCGAAGAACCAAGACAGCTGCCAAAGCAGCAGGGTACAGCAGTACACAAGCACAGACAGTGCGGAGAGACAGACTATCCTCTATCTGTTACAGTAAACACATTATAGGGGGAAAGTGGCAGGGATATGTGCGATTGTGTACAATGGTGTTCTTGTGTGGGTGTACGAGACGAGGGTGTGGTCAAGGGGGGAGGGCAACAAGGGAGGGAGGGGGGTAGTTGAGAATCTACAGGAGGGAAATGAAAACAATTCACGTACCAGATATAATGATAATGTGCTGCTGCTTTTGCGGATGAAGATGGGCAACGAGGGAAGCTGGCGAAGGAGGGGCTGCGAAGGGGTGATGGGAAGGTGTGACAAAGAGGGATGGGATGGAGGGGTGCGATGAGACGGTGTGGGGTGGAGAAGGAGGCGAGGGAGCTGGATGGTGAAGCAAGGGCGAGGATGATGAGGATGAGGATGGTGCGGCACGAGGGGAGAAAGAGAGAAGAGAGGGAATGAGAAACCGAGTGGAGGGTTTATGGTTGGTGTGCCCCTGATTGGTCATGCAGACCGCGCGCGGTTTTCTCGGGAAGGATGTGTAAGCTGTGTGTGGCCCAGGATGAGGAGGGAGGTGACAATGGGGACTATTGGCGCGTGTGCTGCTGCTGTTTGTCGCAGTGGTTGTTGTGAAGGTTGTGGAGTGCCGTATATACCTTGTGGGCTTTCCGTAGCGCCTTTTATATGCCTGTATGTCTGAACCAGACTAAACACTTCCCGGCTTTTCTTTTTCTTCGCTGGTTTTTTTTTTCCTTTTTCCTTTTTTCGGAGGCTAAGGGAGGATGGAGGGGATGAGAGGGATGGAAAAAGGAAAGAAGAGAGGAAGGAAGGAACGATGATGAGCAATCAGGCACCGTTGCTGATGGTGTGGGTGTAAACCCCTCTTCTGTTCATCCGCTCTTATCAGCGTGCGTCTGAACATTCATATTCGTGTACTGTGTGTACTTATTTCTCTATTCTAAATTCTATTTATCGCCCCAAGCTGGCCTGGGTCCCTTCGGAGATGGTTCGCCCAATCATATGTCGCTCACAGCTGCAGACCGCCATCAGATATGAACAGAGAACATTTAGGCTTTTTACCGCGTCTTCATTCCAGGGCCCATCACCCATGGCCCACAACCCATGGCACAATGCCATACAATCACATAGTCTACGCAGCAATTGCAAGGATGGAGCAGACATCCCCACCCCCTCATCCCTTGTCTTCCTTGTTCCTCCCTTTTCCCTTTTATTCGCTCCTTTCATCGATGCTAGGACGAGAAAGCGCCGGCCCAGGCCACATAAAGGGGACATGGGGAGACATGAATGGACATGAATTGGTATGAAGCGCAACTATTTTCCCTCTTTTTTCATTTCCTCGTTCCCATATATCCACCCGCTCGCATATCCTTCTCAGGAACTCCCTCCGCCATGTATGCGCCAAAGAAACCGCTCTACCATCTACTGCACCTACTCGTATTTCTATCTCTTTTCGCTGGGCGCTCATCTCAACACCTCCCAGGCCATGGACCAGGGCTTGTTGTCGCACAGAAAAAATTATCGTTTTTCAGGCGCACCGTGCCCGATCCCAAGGACGCTACTGCAGAATTCCTGGAGCAACAACAAGTCGCCGCCCTCAAGGGTCTGTCCTCGAATAGACCTTCAGCAGAAGGAGTCGAGAATAAAGACAAGAAGCAAAAAGATCTTTCCAAGGGTAAAAGCGTCGAAGACCTCTTGAGTGTCGTGGCAGCGAGCTCCCCGCCATCCCCCCCAGGCTCAAACAAATCAGGGTCTACGATTGCGAACAAAAAACCGACTGGGCACGAAGATGACATCGTCCACGAGCATGACCATGCGGATAACGATGCCTACGATGACATTGTCTGGTACGATGGGCCCCACCGAGACGATGAGGACGAGCACGGGCATGAGGGCGGTCACTACGACGACGATCACCACGAAGATCACCACGACGACTATCACGAAGAAGACCGCCGCGACGAGAGTGATGATAAGGTTCAGCAAGTCCAGTTCTTGAAACAAGATCCCGGGGTTCTCTCTAACCTACCCATGCTCAATGGAATGAAAAGATCGGCCGAATCGGGATCTCGCCCAGAGAAACAGGGCCCAGGGACTGTCGGTCTTGATGCACAATTGATTTTCAAGGGCCCCCACCAACACGACCATTCAGACCACGACGACAACGCACCTCCGGGTGTATTTCAGCATTCGGGTGCCGACATCTTCACAGGAACGATCTCTGCCAAGGAATTCTGTTTACGACTGAAACATGAATGTGAATCAACCTGCCGCGAGTTCCGCTCGGGGGTTGAGCACCTATCAATAACGTGTGAGACTGGTGGCGTTGCAGAATTGCTGTTCTGGGGCAAGTGTTGTCAGATTGGCCAGGAACACCGCACGCGCAAACTCGCGACGAAGATGCAGGCGAACCTGGCGAAGCAGAATCTGCAGTGGCAGCAAAAGAGACATCAAGCACAGCGCTTGCTTGAGCGACAGAGGCTCTAGCGAAAAAAAAAAAAAAAAAAAAAAAAATTAAAATATAAAAATAAACCAGATACTCTTGTTTGTGTTTTCTGTCTGTTTGTGATCTTTTTTTTCCCCCTCTATGCCCGGGTATGCATGACGCACAAGGCACAGTGCGTTGCCTGCGCAAAGAGGAATTGGAGGGAATGACAATGGCACTTTCGATGCGACCAAAGAAGAAGGGAGAGGAAAGCAAGAGGATGGTTGCTCTTGAAGGAATATTATTTTACTATCATATACATATCAAATATAAGGGACATAGGAAGGACCCTCTATGCACAGAAACGAAGCCAGGGCTGTGGTTACCAAGGCGAAATTAGGGGGGATTAAGTAGAGAAAAAAAAAAAAAAAAAGGATGGGGAGACATGGAGCACCATGGGCGACTGTATAAAAAGAGACTACTGATCATTATCGTCGACCTTCGGCAGAAAAGAGCTCTGCAGCGCGGGCTCGTCTGTGAGCACTTTCGGGGCTGTCTTGGGCTCCTCGGCTAAACTGATGTTCGTCCGCCTGTTGGCCATAGTCTCCGTAGGTGTTCGCATTATCCATGCTGGCGCGCGCCAGATTCAGGCGCGATACCGATCCACGGTCAGACCCACTGCGCCGAGGCTCACGCTCAAAACTTGGTCGATTGAACTCATCGCGATACGACTGCATGTTGGCCCGGGGTGGTGTCATTGAGCGGCGACCAGCAAATTCTTCCCGGTCGTTCCTTGAATGTGGTGGCTCCAGATTCTCGCCGTCTTCAAACTCCATCTTGTCGTTGTACATAGTGGGGTCTGTAGAGACTAAACCCGAGACGGGCTCTGTGTCCCTGTCCCAGCCCTTAGGTTTGCTTCGAAGGCTCTGTGGGAACTGGTCCGATGGACGGGGAGCTGCAATAGCATAGCCTGCCGCTGCCCCTGTAGCCGCAGCCGCAGCTGTCGTGGGAATCTGAGTCGCAGGTGGATGGGGTGGGGGAGGCACATAGGCACCGTTGTTGTCCAGATTCTGCATCATCATGGCATCATTGTGGCCGTCCATGCCATAGTAGTCGTCGTTCTGGTAGTCGTTTGGATGGTACTGCTGCTGTCCAGGGAAGTCGCCATAATGCTGACTCTGGTACTGTTGTGCGGATGGATCCTCGTAAGCAGCATGCTGATTAACGTAGTATTCGTCATGATGGTCGTAACTGGCAGGGTAGTCCGTGTTGTTATACGGGGATACGGATGTAGCAGCAGCAGCAGCAGCGCCCGTCGCAGCACCGGCACTCGTACCTCCAAAGTCCTGGTCCTTCTTCTGCTGCTTTCTCCTGCGACACAGGATAAAGATACTAGCGCCAACCAGGGCTAAGAGAGCCAGGGCACCAATGACAATGCCGGCAATGGCCCCTTTACTTAACCCACCGCTTCCTCCATTGGTACCATTTCCGCCATTCGTCGGAATGATAGCGGGCGAGATTGTGTAGTTGAAACCGAAGCCCTGGCACTCCCCAACCCAGTCCTGCTCGTTCTGGATCTCCGGGCTGTTGATGCCCTGTGAATTGATGCAGGCAAGGCAGGACGAAAAGTTGCCGTAGAATTGCGAGTTGCACTCACACCCGCCAAGGGACTGTGTAGGAGTGTAAATGAAATCCTGTTGCAGCGAGGAATTGGTTGCACCTCCACCACAGGGCTCGAGGAGAGAGACGACGGAGCTGCATCCGATGTTATAGCAGGTCTGGATGATAGGATCTGGGGCGGCAAGGACGGGTGCAGTATCGAGGAAGAGCGAACAAACGCTTGCGACCAGGATAAAGCCGAATTGGTGAGATATGCGCATGTGTGGGACCGGCTCTGTGAGGGGGACGTGGAGGTCGAGTGGATGAGGAAAGGAGGGATGGATGAGGAGGAGGATGACGACGAAAGGCGAGATTGAGTGTGAGCAGGCACAAAGGATAGGAGGGAAAAAAAAAATAAAAAAAAAAGCAGATAAACAGCCGTCGAGTCTCAGAAAACAAGTAAACAACCTTAACGGTTGAGCTCCACAACGAGGGTGCGTCATCGATGCTGTTGCTGCTGATGCTGCCGGGACTGGAGCCTTGGTTCCTCTTCAATTGAACCGACTAGCCTTGTGCCCGAGGGGTCTGATAAGCCTAATTGCTTCCTCCTCGTGGCGACTATCACAAGTCAAGTAGAACGCATTTGTATAATTCAGGTACGCCTTTTGGTGGGGTTTGGTGGGGGGGTGCAAAAACAGGGGGTTGACTTGTGCGGTTCCCCATTGCTTTTAATATTTCTTATCGAATATTTAGAATGAACGCATAGTGAAACAATGGTGCATGCATCCGGGGACATGACATCCATCCTGGTCCACCGCTGTCTACGGGACCTCCTGTCGGATCCTAAACATAAAAAAGGGTTATGTCAGTGTAACAACCAAATGAACATACATTCCTGAGCAATTGGCAAACATGCCAAGTCCACTTCAACGTATTTAATACTCTGTATCCGTTTGACTAAGATATCTGTGTGAAGATAATAGTTATTCTGTCGTTGTCGATACCATGGGCAGACGTCTCGAAATCACTTTCTCGCTCTATGGCGCGTATGCAGATGTCATGAATGAACGACCCATTGAAACGAGTTCATAATACCACTATGCCATCTTTCTTTTTCTTTTTTTTATTGTGCGTGGGTTCGTAGACTATCGATTGCCAGGAAAAGGGGCAGCAGTCTGTACAAAAATAAAAAACGCGGGTGCCAAAGGGGACAAAGGTCGGTTCCTGAGTTACTGATGTACTCTCTTTATTTCGAAATTCCGCATTCTCAATTAGCGGCAGTTCACCAATTATGTAGGTTGAAGACCTTATTTCAGTCTCCAGTGTATGCAGCCCACCCGAGTTCCTTCTTTCGTCTCATTCAAATGTACGGTCACAATGTCACTCGAGAGTGCTCGGGGAACAAAGGGCACATCCACATATCCACATGAGGGGATATAGCCAGAAACAACATCCAATGGATTCAACAGGAGCGACATACACAGACAAACCATCCATCGGCATATCCCATCGATCCGTCCATTGCTTCCTGAAAAACCGACTCAAATCGATCTCGGGGGACCGCACCCATCTTTCAGGAGATTTTTTCATGGCATCTTTATTTTGTACAGGAGACATGCACCCATAAGCTCATGATCGACTATTCGAAAGGTGATGTCGTGAGGAGTAGGCGCCGGTAGCCGAAACCAACATAGGCATTAACAGCGAGGGCTATGCATTCTCTATGTCTCTATGTCGCCAGCGGAGGTGTGACTTTGTGCAGGCACGATGCATCACCTCGCTTTGGACTCTATCAATAACTCTGTAGCCCAACACTGCACTTCAGGAGCTATTTCGCCTTACAGGATTTGTTCAACACTGAGTGAGAGGCCTCAGTACAACTGTGCTAAACCACTATCCACTAACACTTGTCTTTGTTGTGTCGTGTTTTCCTTTGAATAGATATCAGAAATGGTTCACAAGGTACTGGCAACAGTGATATAGCGGATCCCACTATAAGCAGTGGTTCTGAGGGAATATACAGTGATCCTGGGCATCCTCAGGAAATTATCGACAACTTTCGTTATCGCAAGGAATGACAGCTATACAACAACTGCGTTGGATTGTCCACCAAACAACAGCAACACAACGGAACGCGGAATATAATGTTTGTGCCGGCATCAGCAACTGTGATGTGTTTTGGGATGGAGGGATGGCGACAATAGAGATCTGGCATCGTACGTTCCGCCGACTGCAGCGGAAATCTCAATCGCAGCCTTCATGCACATACCGTAACCGCAAAGGGAAAGCAATGTGCGGGTGCGATCTTTTTGAGACGGAGTAGGATGGTCAGCCAGCGATCGGTGTCAAGCGTCAACTTTTCGCGGAGAGCGGTGGCAAACAACAGCGAGAACGACTAATGAATACCGGAAACGACTGCGAAGGCCGGTTGCTTGCACATAGAGAACTTGTGGACTTGGGGACGGATAACGTCCCATAAGCACGACATATAGCAGAGGGCACAGCACCACACCATAGGTCAGAGAATCAGTACCATTGGCAAATTACAGGATAGCATCATAGGAAGCAGGACAACACAAAGAGAGCAGGGCATATGAACCTGGGACACGGAGTTTACAGGAGCTACAGATGGCTATGGATATTAACCGAACGATACCTACGATTCTGCTTATACTCTTCGTAGCCCCGCAACTCCCTCTTGACTGCTGGCGTCGCCAAGTACAGCCGCTCTCAGGTCTATGCCAAGCGTGCCTTGTACAAGCGCAAGCCCGCTGGCATTGTTAATGCTGCCCCCGCTGCCGCCAACAAGACTGTCGAGGTCAAGGGTGCCAAGAACGGTGGCTCCCGTGTCATTGCTGCCTCCAAGGCTCCTCGCTTCTATGCTGCTGAGGACGTCGCTGTCCCCAAGAAGCACCGCAAGCACGCTGGCACTGCCAAGCTCCGCAGTACCATTGTCCCCGGTACCGTCCTCATCCTCTTGGCCGGTCGCTACCGCGGCAAGCGCGTTGTTTTCTTGAAGCAGCTCGAGTCTGGCTTGTTGCTCGTTTCTGGCCCATTCAAGGTCAACGGCGTCCCCCTCAAGCGTGTGAACCAGGCCTACGTCATTGCCACCTCCACCAAGGTTGACATTGATGCCTCCAAGGTACGAATTATTTTATGTTGAAACTGGTGTTTTAAATGAACATAGGAATTTATGCCCCTTTTGCGGTGAAGCAGGAATGCTGGGACAGAAAGAAGCGGACGATGTGAGCAATGGAAGACTAATACTGATTTTTTTTTATCATCACTAAACAGATTGATGCTCAGTTGAACGATGCCTACTTTGCCCGCCCCAAGGCTACCAAGAAGGCCGCTACTGAGGAGGCTTTCTTCGAGGGCGAGAAGAAGAAGGAGCCCCTTGCTGAGAACAAGGTCGCTCTCCAGAAGTCGACCGACAAGGTCATCCTTGAAGCTATCAACAAGGTCGAGCACCTCCGCCAGTACTTGTCTGCCAAGTTCTCCCTCTCCAAGGGCCAGGCCCCCCATGCCCTCAAGTTCTAAGCGGGTTGCAGACTATCGAAAAACAAAACAACATTGCTTCTTGTGATTAAAGGATGAGTGAACCCATTTCTTTCTTCCAACGATATCCATTTCTCTTGTGCCTAGTCTACTTTATTATTTATTTCATGAAGTAACAACACACAGATCAATGAATATGCTACCTCTGGTGAAGGGAATGAGAGGAGATAGGGGAAAGAACTAAGGAAGCAGAAGGGGAATGAGGTTTTTTCCTCCTAAGGGGGTGGGCGGAATGAAGGACGAGAACATATCTCAGCTTTACACCTCCATATCTTCGTGTGATCTTTCTCCTCCCTTTCTGCATTCTGCCTTTTCTCTATCCTCATCTGCAACACCCTTACGCGTTATACTCGATCGACAACATGAGGTGGTTCTCAAGATCGAAGCCGCGTCTATACATCCCAGGCGTACTGACGCTCTTCCAACTTGCGTCTGCAATCAGCGTTACACAGAATTCCAATAACGCCGGCGCCATCGCTTTCGGCCATGAAGACTACTCAGCAGACGCCATCATGGATGCGCCCCGCCGATCCATCTACAGTAGCGATCAGTACAACACCATGCTGAATCCTGTCTGCGGCTTGGACAAAGAACTAGAATTAGACCGCGACAACGATTCGAACGCAGAGCTTAGGCTACTTCGGAACCCCAAATGGGACGCAGATCTGAATGCCCCTATCGAAAGTCTGAAAAAGTGGACGACGGATCCCAAGAACCCTTCGAGGCAGAGACGGGATCGAGAGCCCTCGGACGCCAACAATGTTTGGCATGATGTGCAATCGATCCAAGATTCTTGCACGATTGCGTCCAGGGTCGAGGGTCCGATCCCGTACAACGTGGTCAAGGCTTGCTTGGATGCCGATTTCGGCTTTCCGGATTATTTGCGTGAGGATACAGTGGCGACGATCAAGAAACTGATATCGAGTTTTTATGTCTTTGAGGACTTGGCAGCGAACCCTCCGAGTGTCGAGGGGTTGAGTTTCTTGTCGGTTGATTTTGCGAAAGAGATGGATCAGTTGCTGGAACAGAGCCGCAAGTCTCTGTCGTCTGCCACCGCAAGCGACATTGACGGAGAAGAGGGGAACAAGCTGCAAAAGGAGGATGGGAGCCAGGGAACCGGAGGAAGCGCTAGATCGCATCCGATGACACATCGCGAGTTCCACGACGGTCTCTCACGGATTATGAGCAAGGCACGCGACGCACACCTGTCGTATGATGCGGATTGCTTCCGCGCGTTCCGTTTCCAGCACGGGTTCTTTATGAACCACGTCGTACGGAATGACAAGACGGTGCTGAAGGTCCACTCGGTGACGCCGTACTTTCAGGAGTTGAATGGCATCGAGGAGGACATTCTCGACTGTGAGGTTGTGACCATTGCCGGGAAGGACGCTGCGGAGTACATACAAGAGTGGGCGGATGCCCGCGTATCCATGTCCAAAGACGCGAATATCAGGTATTCATGGACCTTGAGCTTTTTTTTTTTTTTTTTTTTTTTGATTGTTGTTGTTGCTAGATTGACGCGCGTGTAACACGCTCGCATGATGGCTCACAAAAAACCCTACGAACTGTTGATAGATTTAACGCAGCACTGGTGACACCCCAGTACCGATCTGGCACTGTCGACTTTTTTATTCCTGGCAAATTCAGCGAGCGGTTCGTACTCCCGGAAGAAGAATCTCTCGCATTTACGCTTGATTGTCCCGGTCGTTCGGCCACAGACCTGCTGGAGGTCGATGCTCGATGGGTCGGATTCTATAAGCATGATGTGACAAGGACTTACGAGGATATGCAATCGTACTATAATGCAAACTGCATCAAGTCCCCAGAGGAAGGCATTGGTTACTGGTACGAACGGTCAAGACTCGAAAAGAAGCAAAATCCAGAGCAAAGGCGTATCGAAAAGCTCAAGTCTAAGCTACATGACCTGATAAACCAATCAGCAGCTTCTACCACGGTCGCAGCAGCGCCTGCTGAGACTCTTGCTCCTCCTGCGCCAACGACGGGGACAGACTATACACCTCCTACTGAACATCCGGAGCCGTCGAAGGATGCACTCAAACAAGTGGATGAGATTATGTCTATGCTGGACATGATCACGTCCGAGCAGCTTCCTGCCGTCAAATTTTACGACGACTATGGTGGACGTCTTAGTGAACTGAACATGAAAGCCAGTGAAGCTTTGTTTATAGAGCTATACAGGGGCCAATATGGTATTTCTGCCTGTAAGTCTCTCTCTCTTTCTTTCTCTTTTCTTTTATTTATTGTAAGGATAATCGTCTAACTTGAACTGCCCTATGCATCATGTAGTGCTGTTGGCCGACGGCAAGACCGGAGTGATCACCGTCCGGACTGAGAGCTCGACCATCAAGGGACAACCTTACTCGCGTGTACATCCAGCCTGGGCTGGTTCCCTGATCGAAGCCATCAACGTCCTCCGACCGCGCGCCGAGAACCTGATCCTCGATCTCAGCCATAATACGGGCGGATATGTCTGTCTAGGCCTGACCATGGTCCAGCTCTTCTTCCCGGACCGACCTCGCCTTGTGACCAATATCCGGCTCTCTCCATTGGGCACTCAGATGATGACCGCAGGCGCAATGGGCATAGGCCACTTTATCAGCGCATATGGCGAACCTGTCGTTGCAACGTATCAAGATGAGTACTTTTTGCGTTCAACCTCGCATCCGCACCGCAACCTGACGTTTACGGACTACCTCTCGGATCGGTGTGCGATTGCGGACTATTATGTGTTGGATGTCGATCCTATAGAGGAAGCCAAGCGAAAACGTGCTCCCGTGTTCCCCGCCAGGGACCAGGATGGTTCGAACAAGAGGGTGTATTATCCATGGAACCCTGAGAACATTGTTATCCTGACGGACGGATATTGTGGCTCGAGCTGTGCGTTGATCTCGAATGTGATGCATACCAATTTCCAAGTGAAGACGGTAGTGATCGGCGGCAGGACACCATCGTCGACCTCGGATCTGATGAGCTACTCGACCTTCCCGGGCCTGCAGGTGATTGATGATCGGTTTATCTTTAACGAGATGGAAAATGTCCGATCGAGGTTGATGTCTGCTTCGGCGTTGGCGAAGTTGGAAAGAGGAAGAGCTGCAGAGACAGGAGGCAAGCAGAGGCGATTTGCATTGAAGAGACGTAACGGTCCCAAAACCGAGGACGAGGACGAGGACGAGGACAACGACGCAGAGTTGCTTTATCCGCTGGACTTTGCGCACAAGAGTCGATTGAGGCTAACCTGGCGGCAAATCTATAACACTGGGCCGGAAATCAATGTGTTCAAGTACATAGCTGAGAACAGGACGTATGAGCCGGCGTGGGAGGAGGTTGACCGATGGAATGAGTATAGCTTGATCCCGGCGTCTGTGCGCATTGATTACACAGACCACAATGTGCATTCGATCGGCGCGATCTGGGAAGACACGCGCAATGCGGTCTGGGGCACAGCGCCTATGCAGGGCCAGGAGGATGGCCAGGAGGATCCCAGGGAGAGGCAGTAGGAGGTCGCCGATAGTACTGCATGCGATATGAGAAGCGTGTTTCGTAGCTCGGTTGCCACTAATTTCAATTAGGCCTAGTAAACAAAAAGAGAAAAAAACGATGTAAGACACGTTAAAAAAATAAGCCTGGTATGTCCCCGGCGTATGTGTTCGTCATAGTCCAAACCAAAGGCATTTCTTCTCCCCCCAGACTGAGAGTCCTTTACAGCTTCACTTTTCACATCCTCCAACCATTGCTTGCAACTAATATTCTTTCCTAAATAATATCCAGCATGGATCCATCGCCACCACACCCGCAGTCTTCGGCATCCTCGCCCGAGCTACAGGAAACGCAACCGCAGGCATCGGCCACAACAGCCAGCAACCCTCTGCTCACCGAACTAAGCGCCGACGAAAGCAATCTCAACCGCTCGAACTCCACACGACGACTCCAGGAGAGTCTCTCCAGACAGACTCCATCCGACAATACGGCCCCGGCTCCTGACAAGGAGCAACTACATGCTATCATCGGTCAACATCTTGCCGTAAACCCGACTATCTCAAAGGCACCTTCGATTCCTGAACCCCCATCACCTGCGCCTCATCCGTTCGATATCACCCCTAATGTCCAAGCGCCTGCTGTCAACAGGATTTCTACACAAGCCGAGCCTTCCAGTGCAGCTCATGACAGGGTTCCATCACCCTCCTCGTTCGCCGCCTATACGGTGCCCACCTATACGAACGAAGCGATTGGTCCAGATCGCAATTCGAGAGCACTGTCGACAAGCGAGGATACGCCTTCACATTTCGGACTCCTTGGCGCGGATATGTCGAACGACGTGTACAAATGGCATGAAAAAGAAGCCCGTCAACAGGTCAACCGTGCACAAACCTACCATGCGCCCCAACCTTCCGTTGGATCCGCCAATATCTCACACATCAAGGCGCCAGGTGGATTCCGCCGACATTTCTTACAGCACGATGCAGCGGCGCGTGGGGATCCTGCGCCACATATCCCCACAAAGTCGTTTATTGACTTCTTGGGGCTGTTTAATATGTATGAATTTGAACATTTTGCGGGAGAGAACTTTCGACAGACACCGAGGCGGTCGATTGTGGTGCCGAAGGATCTGGAGAGGCGGAGGAAGAGTTTCGTGGAGGCTGAGGAGACAGGGGAGGGGTTGAAGTATTTCAGGCAGGGGCAGGAAATTGAGGAGGATGAGACCGTGATCGAGGAGCCTGAGGAACAGATCTCGTTCTCGAAAGCCGTGGGTATGTTGTTCAAAACGTGAGTCCAGGCAAACTTATCTGATCTTTTTTTTTTTGATGTGGTTGTGCAAAAAGATCACAGCTGATAACGATTGTATGATGTGAGACAGGTTCATTGCGAGTGGCATCCTGTTCTTGCCCAACGCGTTCAAGAACGGCGGTATCTTGTTTTCGTCCCTAGTCATGACCCTGATCGCAGTTCTGTGTCTACACTCGTTCCTGTTGCTGGTCAAGTGTCGTGAGCTGCAACCGGGCTCCTATGGCGAGATCGGCGGACACCTTTACGGCCGCTGGATGCGGTACATTGTCCTCTTTGCCATCGCCATCTCTCAGTTTGGTTTCTGCTGGTAAAGCTGTCAAAGTCTCTATTTTTTTATTTTTTTGGAGAAGCAGGGCTATCATCGTTCTCATTCACGAACCAACGTCCCTTGTTATTTCATGTTCTGTAGCGGATACTGTATCTTTTTCGCACAGCAGTTTGCGATCGTGGTCGACAGTCTTGGAGGAGCCGAGCTGGATAAGATCGTCTGGATCGCTATCTTTTTCGTCATCTTGGTGCCCTTCACTCTCATCCGTAACATCTCGAAGCTCGGATTTAGTACGCTGATTGCGGACCTGTGTATTATTGTCGGATTGATCTACTTGTATGCGTACGATATCAAGCAGCTGGTCATCCACAGAGACTCTCCCTTGCCACTGCAGCTATTCAACAGCAAGGACTTTGGACTCTTTATTGGCACAGGTATGAACACGATCCCTCACTCGCATGCAGACAATGAAGCTAAAGTGGATATATGTATCTATCGTCCACTCATACAAACTACGCCCTGTTCTTATAGCTGTGTTCTCGTACGAGGGCATCGGAATGGTGATCCCAATCTGCGGTAGTATGAAGGACCCAAGGCAGTTCCCACGGGCACTGACGATTGTCCTCACAGTTGTCTGCGTGCTCCTCGTCAGTTTCGGTGCCTTGGGTTACGCAGCCTACGGCGCAAACGTCCAGACCATCGTCCTTGACGACCTACCCCGTGAAACCGGCGGCGAAAAGGCCGGCAAGAACGCCATCCAATTGTTGTACATCATCGCAATCTTCCTCACCACGCCCCTGATGCTCTTCCCTTGCATCCGTATTATCGAGCACATGGTCTTCAGGGCCGCGGGTACGGGGCCACGAACCAAGGCCAGGCTGATAAAGGAAAACATTGTCCGGATCATCATCGACTTTGCGGTCGCGGCCGTTGCCTATGCGGGTTACACTAAGCTGGATATCTTTATCTCGTTCGTGGGATCCTTTGCCTGTGCACCGTTGCTCTTCATCTTCCCGCCCCTGTTCCATTTCAAGGCCTTTCCCAACCAGCCAATCTGGCGCAAGGTCAGCGATATTGTGCTCATCCTCTTTGGATTCCTCGTGTTTTTCTATACCCTTGTTATCACGATTCAAAGCTTTTCAAACAGCAGTGAGCATTGAGTAGGCAGGCACACAAGTTAATTATCAAAGTGCTATTATATTTATATTTATATGTATAAATCGACTATTATTTATTTCCTCCAGAATTGCCTGTTCAATAAAACCGTTGTTATGTACAAAAAAAAAAAAAAAAAAAGGGAAAGAAAAGAAGAATGCTGGAGAGAAAAGATTATATGCATCAGCGGTTTTCCCAATAATCCTCGCCTTCATCGTCGGCCTCGATCGTACCACCGTACCGCCCATCCTCGTTGATCGCCTGTGCATCGCCTTCACCCAGATCCAAGCTTGCAGCGTCCTGGAAGTCCCGTTGGTTCTCAAGTCTCAGATGGATGTTGTGCAGATCCGCCTCCTGGTCCTCACTCATGGCCGCAATCTCCCTCTCTGGATCCAACAAAGGGTCCCAATCATCATCATCACCATCGTCCTCGTCCCGGCCCTTTCCTGCACCTGCATCACGATCGCTTCTTGAGGACGATCGCTTGGATCTGGATGAACGTCGGTCCGAACCCGAGGTCTCATCGGCCGCTCTTCGGATATCTTCCGCGATCGAACGTCTTCGTTTCGAGGCTTCCTCAGGCAGTCGTGGAAGTGGTGTGGAGGTCCCGCTGGGGGACATGGAGCTGAGATTGCCGAAGCTGCTATCCTCATCCTCGAGTTCCTCCTCATCCCAATCATGCACTATAGGATCCTCCTTTGGTAGGGCGACATCGCTCTCGTTATCTGAATTGCCGCCACGTAGCACCCGCTCATCGGAATCATCCTCTTCGCTGTCAATAGCGTCCTGCTGATCCTGTCCGAGCGTAGCAGAGCCTTGGTCGGAGGTGGAGGCACGACGGGCTTCTTCTCTGATCTTTTCAGATTCCGCGTTGTCGAGGAATTGGATCTTGACGGGTCGTTGGACGCCCTTCTTGGCGGCGGCGGGATTGGTGGTGTTGGTAGTGTTGGTAGTGTTGGTGGTGTTGGTGGTGTTGGTGGTGTTGGTGGTGTTGGCGGTGTTGGTGGCGACACTGTTTCGTCTTTGGGAGGCGCCGCTGTGGGGTGAGGATATGAAGAGCGAGGACGATCTGGAGGAGGATGGGTGCTCGGGGTGAGTGGGATGGTGATTGCTGTTGTTGCTCCTTTTGCTTTCCCGGAGGGGGCTGATGCTATCACCACTGCGCCTATCGACGTCCATGGCGATGCCTTCCATGGCTACGTCAAGGACAAAATATAAAGTAAAATAAAATAAATAATGTATATATATACATAAAAGGATGTTAGATGCGGTGTGAGACAAGGTCAGCTAGTTACATCACGATGCGACACTGGATCGTTTTCCGTTCCAAAGGACCTTAAATGTTTCTACATTACCCTTTGAAGATTTGGGCTTTAGGGAGCTCTCCGTATAGACCGCGGCCGACCCCGGATACTTGGAGGAGAGCGCGGGCGTGGGTGAATGTTCCTCATCCGAAATATCGATGGCCAGTGCGGCCGAGGACGAATCCACGGGCTCTCCATATATGGTCTTTGCCTCAGGCTCGTCCATGTACACGGGGGCACATTGACTCGTGTGCGGGATCAGATCCGCGATAGACCTTCTCCTGGTCATGGAACGTGATCTGGACCCGGACCTCGACCTCGACCTCGGTGGCGAGTGAGACTGTGGCCGTGCTCGACTCGGTGGCCGATTGTTGTTGTTATTGTTGTTGTTGTTGATGTTGCTGCTGTTGCTCTCTGGTTGGATGACCGGTTCCAGCTGAGAGTAGTCCGAGGCTGTAGGTTCGTTCTCTGAGGCACCAGAGGCATATCGGACCCGCTTGGGTGCAGGTGGCGAAGTAGGGGCTGTCGCGAGGGGGACTCTGTCGGACATGTCGACCTTGTCCTCGAGGTTGTGGGAGTCGTCCATGATGAGATAGTCCGACTGGAGGACGGCGCTGCTTGGGGCCATGGCGTTGGGATCGTTGTTGTCGACGAACTCTGGTTCGAGGGCGGCGAGGGAGCGTTTTTGGTAACCGCGGGTGAGCAGGACCTCGGGGGCGGGCTCTGGGTCGTTGGTCGTGGTCTGGAGGGAGGCATGGTCGAAGGAGACCGTGTCGAGAGGAGGGGTATCCATCGGGAAGTCAAGAAAAAAAGAGAGGTTGTATTCTTGTTGAGGACCGAGAAAAAAAAAAAAAAAAAAAGGGTGTGAAGTGGTGCGTGTGAAGAGTGGGTGTAGGAAAAACGTATGTAGAAAATGGAGGGTGTAGGAGAATGGGGGAAGAGAGTGTGGAGCAAGAGACAGAAAGCGAAACCATACGCGGGGCAGCAGACTCCAGACTCTGGTTCGTTCATTTACAGAGATATATTCAGTTACAGAGGCCCTTTATTCCATCCCCCAGGCACACACCTGGGCCCTGTGTCTCGACCAGCTTCAAGATCAGTTGTCTGCATAGTCCCCATGGTATTGCCGGACCAGACTCAGGAGGATCAAGTTCAGGTTCAGGTTCAGGGTCAGATTCAGGACCAGGACCAGAGCTGCAATGGCACTCTGGATCAGCATCACCATGAGAACTCAGCTAGTCAGCAACTCATCGGCCAGGTGGTCCACGCACGCAAGTGCTACAAGCGCTTCTTCTTTATCGATCTGCGGATAAGCGACCAGCTCAAGTGCACCGTCATCTTCCGCTCGGATGACGACCGCCAGAATCTCCCTCAAAGCCTTTCGGATCTTGAGTTGATTTCGCGTTGGAAGAAGATCAGGCGTGGCGATACGATCACCCTGCGGGTCTTTGAGGCGTCCGAGGACGAGATTACCAAAAGGGACCATCCCGTTTATCAGGCAGCGGACTTTGCAGTAGTCAAAGCATGGTCTGGCGATATCCCCTTTGTATCTGAGCCTGCCATGGGCTTCAAGGAGTCAACCTCACCGCAAGTACCGCCTGATCCGCCATCAGTCAACACTACTAAGAATCATACCGTCGACAGCTCTCAGCCTTCCCAGCAGGATTCGTGGAAGAATTATTGCAAGTTCTGGATCAATTCGCAACGGTGTCTGAAGAAGGACTGTCAAAAGGAACATCCAGAGGGTGAGGAATATATTATGATCCAGGAGATGTGGGTCAGTGAACGTACTAAGATAAGGAAGGAGCGATCAAAGCTGGAGGACGACCCACACTCGACGTCTTCCAAGGTCCCGCATTCACAGCGCGCATACATCTTTTGTCGATGGCTCGTCAACAAATTTGGCAAGGACCTCCTCAACTCTGGATCAGGAGTCTTGGATGTCGCGGGCGGCAAAGGCGAGATCTCATTGTTCTTGACCCACATGTTTGGCATTCGCTCGACTGTCGTGGAGCCTAACGTGCGTAGGGATAAGCCCTATCAACGCAGGAACCTGATGCACGTCATTCGGAAGCAATTGGACATCGAGGCCGGTGGCGACGGTCAGTTTTACAAGCGACACGCAGCGTCATCGTCGTCGTCGTTGCTCTCAGATGGCCATAATACAGGAGTCAACCCAGCTTTTTTAGAGAAAGAGGGTTTCAATGGTGATAATCAAGACGGCTATGAGGAGGACAAGGACGTGAAAAAGCGGATAGAGACTAGTGATTCAACGCTAGAGAAAAAGGAACAACGGCGACTCAAGAAATTGCAGCAGGCACAGTTTGTGGTGCCACGACTGTGCACACTGCTGGACGATAGGTTTGCGATAGACCATGGCAGTGTCCTTGAGAGCGCTTCGATTATCATTGGGATGCATCCAGACCAAGCGACGGAGCCGATTGTAGACATGGCTCTGAAGCACCATAAACCGTTTGCGGTGGTGCCCTGTTGTGTCTTTGCGCATGAGAATCCACACCGACGACTGTCGACGGGAGGAGAGGTCAACACGACGCTGGAGTTTATTCAATATCTGATGGAGAAGAGGACCGCTGAGGAGAGTGTGGGAGAGATGCAGAAGGAGTTCCTGCCGTTTGACGGGATGAATATCGTGGTGTATAGCCGGGGTGGGCTGTTCCGCCAGCCTGGATAACTTCATAACTAGATATTAACTTTGAGAATACACTTATCGCATTTCATATTTCATTGCCCGGGTTGTCTTTTTTCGTTGAAGGAAAAAGAAAACAGAGCTGCCTTCGTCATCATCCGCAACTCTTCCCTCTTCTCCACCCGGTGACGTCCCATCCCAGCAACGACACCCCGAATCGCGACCCCGAGGAAATATAATTCCAAACGCAGGTACGAATGAGTGCCCTTCTTCGCGCATGCCCTTGTCTGCTTGTCCGCAGCGATCCTCCCCCCTCTCCATCCTTCTCTTTGCTTGGAGCAAGGCGGGCTCCGATTGCCCTCATCGTCCCTTGGGAGCATCATCATCATCATCAGCTACAACAGCAGCTACAGCTACAACAGCAGCAGTAACAACAGGAACAATAACAATAACAGCCGGCCCTTACAGATGACCTCTGTCACGGTCTGCCCTAAAGTGCTGCCTGGCTCTGTGTCGCATGGTTGCACTGTTCACTGACGGTTGCCTTTCTACCAGATCTACTTGTACAGGACGATACCACTTCCCACCACCAGCTCGCCTAGTCCCATCCCGTCTATACTCAACCGATGACACACCCATCATATGACGAGGACGCAACCGTCCCCACGACCACGGAAGTCAACGAAGTCAACGCTGCCATCGTTGCCGCCGTTGCTGCTGGGGAAAGCACATCGGCCTTTACAACAGAAGCTTCTGCCCACCTTGGTCTGAACTCTATCGAGAACCTGGACACATCCGCTATTGAATCCATTGTCACCGCTACACCCGGACACAAGCGACCTGCAGAGGACGACGCGGATAACATCAAGGATAGTGTCAAGCTTCGCAGGTTGCAGGAAGAGGTCAACAACAACGCGATCGCAGCTGCAGGGATCTTGTCCAGTGGTTCTAGCCTCAGCAACCATACCAGCGGCCACAGCAGCAACCACAGTAGCAACCACAACAGCAACCCCAGCAGCCCTGGTCAATCTGTTGCCGTCGACACTGAAATAACAGTGACCAGCGCCTCGGAGCAGACCACTTCGACCTCCGTAGCAGTTTCAGCGGCTAATGCGCAGTCAACAGCAACATCGACACAGACGCACACTCACACATCTGCTCAAGTTGTGGTACAGGAGGCCCTTGCCGCGACCGCTGCCACGACGCATTTGACGGCCACATCGCACTCGAGTATCATGGCGGACCTGGAGCGGATGCAGCAGATCGCCAAGATTGATCCAGCGCAACTCGCGTCGTATTCGACTAACCCCAACAATCAAGCGACGCTGGAGCAGCTTACCTCGAGCGCATTGGCCAATGTCCTCGCACAGGCACCACTTGCTGTTGCTAGCCTTCAAAGCAACCTTCAGCTTCAGCATGAGCATGAGCAGCAGCACGAGCAGCAGAAGGATGCGGTCCAAGGAATCCTCGCAGCTGCATCTGCAGAGACGGAGAACGCTCCAGGCAATGACACTGGATCGTCTCATGAGGACGAGATTCTGAACGGAAAGCGGGCGAACAATCGCAATATGACCAATGATGAGCGGAGACAGCGCCGGTTGTTGAGGAATAGGATGGCGGCCAAGGAGTGTCGCAAGAAGAAGAAGGCCTACGTGAACGAGCTTCAGGACACGTGCACGCGACTGCAGGAGGAGAACGCGAGATTGTACAAAGAAGTCGAGGAGCTCAATGCAAAGTTGACGCTGGGAGCGATGCGTATTGATGAGAATATGCGTTTGATTAAGGAGGTCGAGGAGCTTAACGCAAAGCTGACATTGGGAGTGATGGCCGGCACTACTGCCCCGACACACGATGCAGCCCACGACGCGATTGCGGCTGTAGCGCAAGCATCATCCAAGCCGGAAGACGTCGCGACCGAGGGACAGGCAGCGGGATCGCAGGCGCAGGACAGTCAGGATCGTCAGTCAGGAGTAGGAACCAGTGCTTAAAATATGGAGTCTCTTTTTTACGCTTCCCCTCTTCCCCTCTTCCCCTCTATTGATCGTCTTGCTCAGTTGCAGGGAATAGTAGCATGCGACACTCTTTTTTATGTTTTGTCGAATAAAGCATCGTATGTAAAAAATTCAATACGGTGCGTGAGAGCAATTGAAGGAACATGGAGGATGATGCTGCTGCTGATGATAATGATGATGATGATGATAGTGGAGATGGCATTAAGGCCAAGCGAATCACGAGAACGGGGATGGGGATGTGCCCTGAGAGAGCTTTTAAACACGGGTTTTGTTTATTGCGTGCTTTGCTTAGACTCTGGATTGTGCAGATAAGGGTCTAGTCTCGGGCGCCGATGCTCATGGGAGCAGAAGCAAAAAAACCCTATCCAAGGGTCCAATACCAAGGGCTGGCTCTTCAGCCGTCTCGCCATGAGAACATGCTGAACGCGCTGGAGAGATCCTATTGGACAAAGTAGAGCATAGAGAGACCCTGAGGAAGGGGGGGGGATTCTTGAAAGAGACTCTTTTCGTTTTTTTGGAAACATCAGCGTGTTTGGTATGGTACAGGTACAAGTGCAGATTATATACGGAGACAGGGAAGAGAAGTGATTTGAAAACGGGTTTGAATTTGAAATGATGCACTTGGACTATGTAAGAGTGGTCCTTTTTTTGAGAGCCATTGTGCTACATCATGCCAAATGAGAGAGGAGACGAAGGGCGGACGGACGGGCTGCCGAGACTCTAATGAGCATTGTCATCCAAGTTCTCACGAGCAAAGGGATAGAAAAGTTGGTTGTGTTTATCGATTAGTCAATGGAATCAATGGCCTCCTCCCCCCTACTCATAGGGCTTGTACTCGTAGGGAGCGCGCTATTGCAGGAGCTTTGTTTGTTGCCTGACACCCTGTCGAGTAACCGGTCTTCGGCTTGCATATAGCCGAAGATGTAGGTGTGAAGTGATAGATGGGCTTTAAAGAGGAGGGATCATGATATATAAGAAAGAGGGTTGATAAATTCGACGATAAAAAAGAAGGAAACGCGAGATAAAACGCGAGATGGAGATCGATAAAGAGATAGAGAGAGGGAGAGAGAGATGTATGGTTGCTTGGTTGCTTGGTTGCTTGGTTGTTCATTCGGGTCTAGTTTGGGCGCCGGGTTTGTTGTGTTGTAGGGGCGACGGCGGGGATCCCTGGGATACGGGTGTGGATCTCTGAGGAGCGGGTTGCTCTTGTCGTCCGTCAGACCCCCTTCTTTTTATGCACTGTTCGCGCTTGTCTCAGCAGGGGGAACAATTGACCAACCAATTGAGCAGCCAAACAAACAAACAAACACCGGAGACACACTCAACCACAGACCTTCGCAGCAGAGCGGGTGTGGCGTGTGTGTTGCTTAACGTTGCTTAACGAAGGAGGAAGGACGAAGGAATGCAGAGGAGAGGGCGGGTGTGGGTGTGGGCGTGGGTGTGTATGCAATGCAATCAATACACAGTGCTAATCATTAATGGGGGAGGATACTGCAAATGAGAGGCGAGCACGTCCTTGCTGTATGCGGTGCAGACACCGTCCCTCCGCTCCCTCTTTCTTTCTTTCTTTCTTTCTTTCTTTCTTTTGTTCGTCTTGTTACTTTCTCTTTCTTTCTTCTCTCTCACCTCCCCTTCCCTTCCCTTTCCTTCTTTCTCCTCCACTCTTTCACTCCCAAAGGTACATGCAGTAGCTGGACGGAACTCGCTTTCTTTTGCAGAACCAGGAATCAGCACCCACCTCTACCTGGACAATGCTGGACCAGAACTAATCCTCTCCTTTCTTTCTTCCTCATCCTCATTCTCTTCTGAACCAGGTCCTCCTCACTGTCTCGTTCACGGAGCCGTCTTTTTTTATTCGCACGCAGCCTCTCTTACTCTGCAGAAACAATCGACTTAAACGCTCTATTATAAATTGGCACCACCGCCCGACTACATCTATTATTACAATGGAATCCCTACAGGAGTACTCCCGCAAGTTCGAGGACATCATTGACAGCATTGGCCAAGTAAGTCGAATATTATCTCTGCAAGCCCATCGCGATCTCTTCTGGGGGGCACATTGACCGACTGACGGACCGCGTCTTTTTTCTTAGCCCATAAAACCCTACATTCCAGCGATTGCGCGTTTCCTTATCGTCGTGACCTTCCTCGAGGATGCCCTCCGTATCACGACCCAGTTCAGCGACCAGCTGTTCTACCTCGAGCGCAGTCGTCGCTTTCCATGGGGCCTCAGCCATATCTTCTTGCTCACCAACGTCTTGGTAAGTGCGCCCTATTTCATTGCTGAAGGACCATCGACAAAGTACCACTGCTGGGTTATGCCCGTCTTTTCACATGTGACCAAAGAAATCCTCCTTTCTAACGTCAATTGTCCTGTTTCGATCGCGTCTTTGTGTCTTTTGTGTCTTTTGTGTCCTTTGTGTATGGTTACATAGACCATGTTGAGCTGCTCCGTCATGGTGATTGCAAGGAAACACACGGAATACGCAGCAGCGGCCCTCTTCGGAGTCGTGATCACGCAGGCACTCGGCTACGGTTTGATCTTCGACGCCAGCTTCTTCCTCCGCAACCTCTCCGTGATCGGTGGCCTGTTGATGGTTGTTTCGGACAGTCTGAGCAAACGCAAGCAGCTCTTTGCGGGATTGCCCTCCATCACCGAGAACAACAAGCGCACGTACTTCCAACTCGCTGGCCGAGTGCTCCTCATCTTCTTGTTCATCGGCTTTGCTCGCCCTGGATCCTCTCTCCATGGATCCTGGTCCTTGACCCGTGTCATTGGATCCGTCATCGGCTTTATCGCCTGTGTGATGATTGCGCTCGGATTCAAGGCCAAATGGTCGGCCATGTTCCTGGTCCTCTTCTTGTCCATCTTCAACATTGTCGTCAACAACTGGTGGTCCGTCGATAACGCCCACATGCAGAAGGATTTCCTCAAGTACGACTTTTTCCAGACGCTATCGATCATGGGCGGTCTCTTGCTCCTGGTCACAATTGGACCTGGCGGTATGAGCATGGACGAGAAGAAGAAGGCCTTCTAAGCATATGTGTCTATATTTGTTTGTGTGTCTTTTTTGTATTTTGCAGCTGCTCCATTTCAAAGAACCACCCATTTTTTGTCTCCGAAAATAAATTCCACTCTGTCTAGGCAAAAAAAAAAAAAAACTTCAGCCACACATTTTTTTTTTTTTGTTGTTGAGATGAGCATGTCTGTAGCTTCATTCTCCATTCACTTGTGCTCGCCCATACATCCTACCCACCCATCCACCTACTGATTGTATAATATGTCTGCCCCAAAGGTTGCTCGCATGGATGAAGACCCCATCGAGGTCGATACTGGCAAGGTTACCATTGTAAGTTGAAGCGCATTCAAGAGCCTGATTGACTGAGCGTTTCATGCACAGAGTCAACTACAGAACTTGCTGAACGAAGGTCGTCTTGAAGTCCCTCTAACGGCTGCCTCCAACAATATCAAATAGGTCCCAGGAACAATGACGGAGCCCCAATGCGCTACTTTTTGTTTACAGGACGAAGACCACACTCTTGGAAACGCACTCCGCTGGACCCTCATGAAAAAGTATGTACCGGACCAGGTTGGCAGGCAACTGCAGTGATACGCATGGATCGCGCCCCCATATTAGCTCCAATTAACCCCCCTCCTTCGCTCCCTCTTTCGGATGTAGCCCTGAAGTCGATTTCGCATCATATTCGATCCCACATCCCTCAGAAGCAAGGACCAACGTCAGGATCCAAACCACAGACAGGACGACTGCAGTGGAGGCTATGTTCAAGGGTTTGGACGATCTGACAGATATCTGCAGTCATGTCATCCAGACCTTCCAGACAGAGCTTGCCAAGGGAGAGTTCGAGTACGACGAGGAGAGCGCCTTCTAGAGCAGATCAGGCTGGAATGACCGATACTCCAAGATCCGGATATAGGAAGAGCTGTAATAATAAGAACAGCAGGACCAATAGCGAACATCATCATCACACCACACATTGTAATAAAGCATCGAATTAAGCATATAACGGTACCATGGATGTGGAAGCTCAGCAGAGTACAGAACCATTCAGGCTCAAATACGTCACAGAACGCATCCCTGCACACTCCTCCGACCAACTTGAGCAGGCGATCCGTTATGAGTCTGTACTCCGTATCCCTGGCTCTTCTCGCGTCCCACTTATGCTTTTTGAATCGGTTATTGCCGTTGTAGAACTCATTCAGTTGTCTCTCTATTTTCTCCAACTCCATAGCATAGCTCGCAAAGCTGGCTCCCTCACCGCGCAGCGGTTGCAGCTTGGTCTCAATGTTGCTCTTGGATTCTATCCCGTCCCCTTGCATAATTTTTTTTTTGCTCTTCCAACCATCTTCTGTGCTTGAACGTGGGCTGGTGCACAACTTTCTGCTCCACTGCGAGATTGTAATAGGTGGGAGGAACAGGAGTAGGGGTTGTATCCTCGGAAGAGCTGACCATGTGGACATCATCATCCTTTCTTCCAGGCCCCGTTGTCGTACTGGCAGGAGCATCGATCTTTGGTAGCAACGCGCTGGTTCCGACTACACAGGCTTGATCGAGATCGAGATCGAGACTCAGGACTTGATTTGGTCCGGCGCACATCCCCAAAGGTCGTTGACATCATGCTGGGTTCTTCACAATGTTTCGGACCTCGGTCAAGTAAAAATCTACTGGCCCCGACTGTGGATGTAATTCGAAGGGGCAAGACATTCTGCGAGAGTCGTGTGTATCTGACTGATTGCAGCTCTTTTAACTTGAAAGCCGATAGATGAAGGCTGAAACTCTCTGCCTGAATTGAACCTCGGTGAACATAGACGCGTCCCTCGTAAGTCTTAGGATCGAAGTTGGCCTACCGAATGGATTGAACGTATTCTCGCATCATGCTCAGGTCCATCACGGACGTCGAATCATTGTAATCGCTCGGCCCTTTTGCGCGGCTCACACCTGCCGACGTTCGAAAGCGTCTCTGTGATAAAGAGTGCAGGAGCCCTCTACCCAAGTCAATCGATTTGGTCACCCGGGGCGGGAATGGTGTTCTTGTTCACAAAGTCCACCAGTGCTAGCCCCTGAAGCCTTTTCTTCAGCGCAGCGTTTTGCCAAAACAACGTACCGAGCTCGCTCAGAGAATGACATGAGAGGCTACTCCGTGTTCGTTAGCGGGGCTGTCTGACGATAACTCTTGCTGGACTGGATCGCTGAGACGCCTTGGTAAGTATAGGTCAACCGAGGGCAGCAATTGCTTAAAATGGTAATTGTATAGTCTTCACGTGATGTAGGCCAGTTGTATTAGAGCTGACGTAGTTTTGGCAATGCGCGCATCCTTCATCCATCTACTCCTCTCGCGGGCCCCTGTTGCTCATAATCATAGTCAGCATGGAAAAGAGATCAACTCAACCACCCAAGGCATGACTTTACCCTGCATTTTTGCTATTAGTATCCTATGCCTTGCTGTCACTCAGTCGCTTTGGACACCCTTCTAATCAGCATTTTTTTTTTTTTTTTTTTTTTGTTTTTGCATACCACACAGATCAAGAACAAGAATGCCGCGCCGGTGCAGATCTCGGCCGAGCAGATTCTGCGCGAGGCCAAGGAGAGACAGGAGGTCGCTATCAATGTCCCAAAGCAGAAAATCCATGATCATGAGGAACTCATGGAGTACAGGGGAAGGAAGCGCAAGGAGTTTGAGGATCGTATCCAGCGGAGTCGACTTCATATTGGAGAGTGGCTCAAGTATGCTACATGGGAGGAGAGTCAGGATGAGCTGCAAAGGTATGGACGGCTGTCTCTGGATACTGTTAATTCAACTTTGGAACGGAACCTTTGCATTGGGGGAGAGGATATATGTATCGGGCAACTGACTCGAATTTACGTTGTTTTTTTTTTTTTTTCGATCACCCGTAGAGCTCGTTCAGTGTACGAGCGTGCATTGCAGGTGGATAGCCAGAACTCGACATTGTACCTGAAATACGTCGAGATGGAAATGAAGCACAAAAACATTGCTCTGGCGCGTAATCTCTTTGACAGGATAGTCACTATCTTGCCGCGTCGAGATCAGTTCTGGTAACGTATTTGAGTTTTTTTCTGGACATGCCTTAAAGATCCGCTAACCAAGGGATCGAGCGACTCTTTGTTATTATATTAATATCGCATTTTCATTTATTTATTTATTTATTCCCATGATCCTGTTGTTATAGGCTGAAATACACCTATATGGAGGAGATGTTGGAAGAAGTCGCTCGCGCCCGTCAGATTTTTGAGCGCTGGATGCAGTGGGAACCAGAGGAGGAAGCATGGATGGCATATGTCAAGTTTGAAAAGCGGTACAAGGAGCTGGACCGCGCACGAGCTGTCTACGAACGATTCGTTCATATCCATCCGGACCCCAAGAACTGGATCAAATGGGCCGAATTCGAGGAACGGGAAGGCTCAACTGAGAAGGCGCGAGATATCTTTACGAGAGCCATTGAGGTTATGGGTGAAGAACTGATGGAGCAGCGTCTGTTTATTGCGTTTGCGAAATTCGAGACTAGGCAAAAGGAGGTACGGACTAGGAGACAAAGGATCGAGATCTTCAGTATCCGCTTGCAAAGACATGTATTGACTCTTCTTTCTTTCTTTCTTTCCTTTTTTCTTTTTTGGCATTATAGACTGAAAGGGCACGCGTCATTTACAAGTATGCACTGGATCGCATCTCTCGCTCTAAATCTCAGGCGCTCTACAATCAATATGTGCAATTCGAGAAGCAGTATGGTGATAAGGACGGGATCGAGGATGTTGTTGTTGGCAAGCGACGGCTTCAGTATGAGGCAGTAAGTTATCAACAGCGAGGGCAGCCCGTCAACAATCTTATTGTTTCAGCAGATGCTAATCATATACCCGGTTATTTGTTTGCTTAGGATTTGGCAATTAATCTGAAGAACTACGACACTTGGTTCGACTATGGAAAGCTGGAGGAGAGCACAGGCGACGTGGATCGGGTTCGGGAGGTATATGAGCGAGCTATCGCGCAAATACCGCCAGCACAGGAGAAGCGTCTTTGGAGACGATACATCTATCTCTGGATCAAATACGCCTTGTTCGAGGAACTGGAAACAAAAGTATGTTCTGGAAACCCGTAAATGCCATAGCATGTGGAAGCAGCATTCGTTTGGATTATTCCAGGGGAAAAAGTCGCTAATCGGATCATGATTCGTTTTAGGATTATGAACGCACGAGACAGGTCTATAAGAGCTGCCTTCAGCTTATTCCTCACAAGGTGTTTACGTTTGCCAAGATCTGGCTGCTCTACGCCAAGTTTGAGATTCGACAGCTGGACCTTGCAGCAGCGCGCAAAACCTTGGGAATGGCTTTGGGCATGTGCCCCAAGGACAGGCTGTTCAAAGGATATATCGAATTGGAGTTGGAGGTGAGCGATATTATCATCGGACTGGCTACATTTTTTCTAGAATGTTCTTCTGGCACGCGATTCTGATACCTCGTATTTATATTATGAATTAGCTACGTGACATCTCGAGAGCGAGGGCACTGTATGCGAAATACTTGGAATGGTCGCCATCGAACTGTGCCGCATGGATCAAATTTGCAGAGCTCGAAAGCGAACTGCAGGATACAGAGCGTGCGAGAGCCATCTTTGATCTTGCAATTGCTCAGCCAGAATTGGACATGCCCGAGATCCTTTGGAAGGCTTGTATTGATTTTGAGGTGGGCGAGGAAGAATGGGGCAATGCACGATCGTTATACAGGCAATTGTTGGAGAGGACAGCTCATGTCAAGGTCTGGATCAGTTGGGCTCATTTTGAGGCGAGTGTTCCTGAAGAGGGTCAGGCTGCCGTGGCTCGGGAGGTGTTCAAGAAGGGTTGCCAGAAAATGAAGGAGCAAGGATTGAAGGAAGAACGTGTGATCCTGTTGGAGGCATGGAAGGAGTTTGAGCAGGCACAAGGAACAGCAGAGACACTCCAGACTGTGCAGGACCTTATGCCGAAGATGGTCAAGAAGCGCCGACAGATTGAGACTGCAGACGGGGCAATGGCAGGATCGTCACAATGGGAGGAGTACTACGATTATATCTTCCCAGACGATCAGGCGGAGAAGCCCAACTTCAAGCTGCTCAGCAAGGCACACGAGTGGAAAGCAAGGGTAAGTTCGATGGAGTGCAATGGTGTGGTTGGAAATCGGAAAGAAAAAAAAAAAAACGGCTACTGAGGAATATTCTATTGACCATCATAATCTTGTGCTCCTGTTTTAGATGGAAAGGGAAAAGGCCGAGAGAGCGGCGGCGGCAGCGGCAGCAGCAGAAGCAGCAGAAACAGCAGCAACAGCGCAGGCAGCAGAAGGATCTGCAGAAGAGGCCGATGGTGCAGGCCCTGGCTCTTCTCCGGAAGCACAAGAGTCTGGCAATTCGTCTGCATAATAAACAAAGCAGTCATTTTGCCGCTATTTCATCTATGATTGTTTGTGGCACCGCTCGTCTCGAAGTGTGTTCGTTCCTTGATTGCGACCATTGTCTGTTGCACCTTCATTTGCAGAAAAAAAAAAAGAAAAAGAAAAAACTTCACTTGACGTTCTTTAAAGCGGTCATTGAAGGATATCAAAGAACAGGACGGAGCTGAAAACAGAGAAACTCTTATTGAACAAGAACAACCACATAGCCAGGACCTGACACATTCGACATCGACATCAGCATGTCCATTGTACGACCCGTCTTACAGTCGCTGCCAAAGTTGCCTGCAGCAGGACTCTGGCCCACTCTGTTCAAAGTGTCAAGAGCACGCGGCCAGATGCGAGTGTCTGTCATGACTGAGGAGCTTGCGGGTATGTTGTGAACAGGATGAACGTTGGTGCGTGTGCGTGTGCGCGCGCGGGTGGAGGGTTTGTTTGCATTCCAGGTCGTATTCTTGCATTTTCTCCCTTCCTCCCTACACACGTACACACAGACACACAGACACACACACATACGAACATGGCGAGCACTGAACTTAGACGTGTATGTATGTGTTTTTTTTTTCTTTTTAGATCAGACGGCAAAGAGGATAGGTATCCAAGACCATCCGAATCGATCTGTCCTTGAGATCTTTCCAGGTACACTATGTCGATTTTTTTTTTTCGATTTTTTTTTTTTTTTTTTTTTTTATATTGTGAAGAGATTGGTGCTGATCCAGAAACTTTTTTCCATTCTCTGTTTGGTCCGCTGTATGATAGGTCCAGGACAGCTCACGCGGTCGATGGCATTGGCAGGTGCGAAGAAGGTGGTGACCGTGGAGAATGGAGAGGCATACCAAAAGTCATTGAAGGTACGGAGGGAAGGGGTCGATTCTGATCTTACGAGGACTTGAGAGCATGTCTTTTTGTTGTTGTTGTTGTTGTTTTTGATGTTTGTTGTTGATGTTGTTGATATTGTTGTTGAAGCGGGTTTGCTAACGACTCTGGGGGGAATCGCGATCATGGCAAGTAGTCCCTTATAGACGAATCTGGCGGGCGGATCCAGAACTTTGCTCTGAACCCGTCCTCGGATCCGTTTGAAGAAATCATGGACCCTACGAAGGCGGTCTTCCCGGATCTGGAACCTCAGCCGTGGGATAAGGTCCATACGGATCTGGTGATTGTGGGCTCGATCCCGAATTCGTCGTTGGGGGAGAAGGTGGTGCAGGATCTGTTGATTGCGTCAATAGGACGGATGGGGATCTTTAGGATGGGACGCGTGGAGATGTATATGTTCTGTTTCAAGGATGCAGTCAAGGTAAAACAACGCCGGAAGCTGGAAGCCAAAGCAGCTGTTGCTTTTTTTTTTATGGCAACGATAACGATGCCATTGTGCTAATTATGTTCGATTTCATGTTGCGATATCCGGGATGGGAAATTTTTTCGTATGGAATAGAGACTCAAGGCGGAGCCAGGGGAGCCAGCGAGGAACAGGGTGACGATTCTAGCGGAGGCGGCTGCAGAGATCATGCCGATCTCGCGTCCGGGATCGCATCATTTTCATCTGCCGTTTGATTATGAGCTCCTGCATATTGTCCCACATGAGAAACCCAAGATGGAAAGTAATGTTTTGTTTTATCTTGCAGAGGGAGGAAAGTGGGGGGAAAAAGCCTCTGTGTTGTTGGAATGAGAAGGCTGTGTATTGACGCGATTTTTTTTGATTTTTTTTTTAATGCACCTCTTTCTTCTGCAACCATAGCGTCGACGGAAATAATGGATTTCTGTCTGAGGAGTCTTTTCACGAACAAGTCGCACGCGCTTAACAAAGTGATCAAGTAAATGTGCCAACTTTTTTTTTTTTTTTTTTTTTATATATAAAAAAAGGAATCCTTCCTATGGCTATATGACCATTCTTTTAACTAATGTTTCCTGTGTGATTTTTTTTTCTTTTTTCAATTGTATGACCAATAACAATAGATTACTGGGACCAGGCGCAGATATTCTTCTGGGCCGACTGAGTTTCGACCACAACATTAAGATCAAGCATATGACATTGGAGCAGCTGAACGAGGTCGCGCTCAAGTTTGAGCAGTGGCCACTTCGACCGACGGTTCTGTATGATGATATGATCATGACTGAGACTAAGCGGAAGCGATAGGTCCCGTCCCTCCCTCCCCTCCCCTCCATCGAAGACGCAAGCAAGCATGCATGCGTTATTTTATTTGATTTCATTTCTTTTCATTGGCATTTTCAGAAAAAAATAAAAATAAAAAAAGTCCTCTTCATCGCTAATACGGATGTGGAAGGAAACAGGTGTGGTAGGAAGTGAGTTCGTGTTTAGAAAAAAGTGTTTATGAAGGTATAGAGACGCGTAGCTACTATCTATACCAAGTATATAAGCAAAGAAGGGTAGGTGTGTATCTTGCTTGGTTCCTGCGGGTAGACGTGCATACTTTCAACTTTTACGAGCTGTAAAAATATATATATATATATGTGTTCACGCCGGGTAGGAAGATGAAAGAATGTGAGTGAAAGATGAACAAGAGTATGTATGAGACACGGGGGGGGGGGATATTGATATGCGACGAGGAAGAAGTTTTTTTTTTTTTTAAACGTACGATTTGACCTCGACACCCTTCCAGAATGCGACCATGCCGGCGATGTTCTTGGCTGCATCCTTGGGCTTTGCATAGTACCTGAAAGAAAAGGGTAATAAGCGCAAAGGCTATGTTGTGAGAACGAGATGTCTTGCAAAATTCAAAGTTTTTTTTTTTTTTTTTTTTTTTTTGGAAGAAGGGAGGGGGAGGAGGGGTGCAAGCAGAAATGAATAAAGAATAAAGAATAAAGAATAACGAATAAAGAATAAAGAATAAAGAAAAACGTGCCGATTCCTTACCAGGCAGCATCCATGTTGACCTTGCCATCGACATCGATATCATAGTAACTGGCAGTTCCCTTCCATCCGCAGACGGTCTCGTTCGAGGACTCTTTGAAGTAGTCCTTGTTGATGGAGCTGACAGGGAACTGCGCAAATGTAATGATAAGGAAGGCAAAAAAAAAAAAAAAAAAAAAAGTGATTAGTAAAAATGCTGTGCAGTTGGTGAGCCGATCATAACTGGGCCTGGGCCAGGGCCAGTCCATGTAAAGAAACAGAGATTTGACACCTACGTAGATGTTTCCTTCGACCTTCTCGAATTCGTCCGTCTCGGCGAGGACTTGGTGAGGATGTAAGAAATGATAAGAAAGAAGCGTGAGAAAATAATAAATATTAAAAAAAAAAAACGAAAGCTATACTTTACTTCCAAAGGAATGCATGTTTAAGCGAGGTCCCCATGCAACGCTCGCTCAGATATTCACATAAAGCAAATTAAAGAAGAAAAATCTGTCAAGAGTTTGGACGCGTATATAATATATGTATACCTTTGCCGTTCCAGGTTGCGGTGTAGTGAGGCATGTTTCTGTAGAGAACTTGTGACGGACGGAGAATTGAGCGGAGCAGGTTGGAGATTGAAGACGTGGTAGTAATACTGGTGTGTTGCTGGGGGAAAAAAAAAAGTGTATGTAGGATGACGAAGCAGAATAGGGCCGCCCTTTTATAATGTCTGTGGAGAAAGAGAAAAAGGAAGGAAGGGGGATGTGCGCAGACCCTCCATCCCCCTCCTCTCCTGCGCAAACGCGATTGGGGCGAGCGAGCGAGCGAGCGAATCGCGCAGCTGTGGGAGGGGCAAACGGTGCGTTTCTTCTTTGGAGACAAGGATTCGCGCTATCCTTTGGGACTTTACCATACGCGAAAATAAAAAAGAGGGAAGATGCCAAAAGTAAAACGTGTTTATTATAGTTCTCTAGGCTGCAGACGATCGCGAGGCTTTGGACTTTTCAATCCTCTTACGGGCATTCTCCGCACCGACTTGCTTCTTCGCCATCGTCTTATGGGCTCCTTTATGCTTCTTCGAATCCTTATTGCTCATCCTCGTCTTGTCCCTCATCCCCTCTCCACCCTCCCAGAACGCGCCCGAGCCACCCATAGTCTTGATTGGACTCTCTCCACAGACGCAAGGCTTATCGCTCACAGTCTGCTCTCTCGAACAATGTCCACAGACCATCCGTTTCGCGTACTCACACTCATGTGAACCACCCTCCTTCTCGTCATGACACATATGGCAGGGATAGATCTTGGAGCAACACGGGAACCTGAACCAGCGGCGCGATTTCTTGTAATGATCACAAGCACCCTTCCGAGGGAGCGGTTCCCCAACCTTCAGTTCGAAATCCAGACCGTTCTTGTTCTTGAGAGGCTTTTTCTTCTTGAGGGGGAGTTGCGAGAGCGTGGAGGCATCCGCGCGCATGAGGTCCCCGGGACTGAGTTTGATGAATTTGAGATCACCTTCGATCGAGAGAATGAGACGGGCGTGACATTTCCGGCAGTTGGCGGTGGCGGACATGCCGCGGCCGATTCTTTGGCGGAAACCCGTAGGTGCTGTGGATGTCGGGACACGGGTCGTTACTGTACGGCCTGGTGCTTCAAAGCTCTCTTCGGTGGATGCTAGAGTCGTTCCAGAATCCACATGGGCGGTCATGTCCGCACCCGAGCCCAAGACTGTATCACATTCACTACAGGTAGGTACAAAGGCCGAGGGCAAGATATCATAAGCCGTACATCCCGCCAGATCCAAGTATCCGATCGTCCGGGATTGGATGTGGATGTATTCTGTGCGGAAATGGGCCCCCAAGAGCGATTGGCAGTTATCACAGGTTCTCCATTTCCGTTTATCTCCTCCTGATGGATTCACGGACGCGCTGTTGTTATTATTGTTATTATCGTCGGGAAGGAGGTCGGGGATATCAAAGAGGCCCTTGCAGCGGTTACAACGGACGAGGAGGTTGAGCGAGCGACAATAGAGGAGAGAGATATGCTCGAGCTTGAGATCGGGCATCCGGATCTCGATACCGCGTTTTGGGGCGGCATCGATAATAGGGCCGCCAGTTATAGAGGATTGGCCGTCTTGCTCGTCATCATCGTCGTCTTCTTCAGAGTGGGTCGCCGAATCTGCGTTGGAGTCATGGACGTCACCATGTTCTGATCCGTCTGGATCGTTGTCGTCGTCGTCGTCGTCATTGTCGCTGCTGTCGTCCTCGCTGGTGACCATGCCATTGTCCTCGCCTTGTTCAAAGTTTCTTGTAGGAAGCTGCTTTGGAGGGTCGACGTAGATGAGTCTTGGCTTTGACGTGTCGTCGCGGTGTAGAACGGCAGGAGCGTGATCGGGAGATGCAGCGGATTTAGACGCGCTTGATGATGGAGATGCGGTTTGGGATAGAGAGGGCTGTTCCAGTGGCGCAATGGGTGCTGATGGTGGTGCAGGAGCGGGCATGTTCATGAACTCTTTGAGGTCGCGGTTGAGCTGGTTCAGAAGCTGGAACAGCGACAGCTGGGGCATGGCTGCAGCCATCTTCCTGAACCCTTGTTCGACATTTCTAAAACAGGACAAGCAAAGGGGTTGATAAAGTTTCTCCCGTGTTTACAATTTACTGCGGGCAAATGTGCCATACCTTGCACGCCAGAGCTCAATCTCGGGGTTATGGCCATCCTGCTTCAGACGGATCTCACATGGCTCCAGAGGGAACTTTGTCGGGACGAGCAGGCTGATCCAGAGGGGACCCTGCCATGACACCGGCATCCGAGGTTTATCTGCAGATTCGAGGGAGATCTCTACTTCAGTTGCGGATATGGTTGAGAACGATGATCGGAAGCGTGCCTGAATCTGGGCCAGCTGCTTCTGTCGTTGCAGAGAAGCCTGTTCGATCTGTTGGGATGTAAAAGTTGGCTGGACAGGTTTAGGTGGTTGAGATGCAGGTACAGGAGTAGGCTTGACAGGGGTTTCGAATGAGCTGGCTGAAGACGACGACGACAGTAAAGGGGCGGAAGAGGAAGACGATGCCTCGGTTGTTGGCGTTGCTGAACCATTGGACGTAGAGACGCGGGCTGATTTTGCGGCAGATGCAGTGTTCGCTTGCTGACCATGTCCAACAAAGCGGATGGTTGGTGCTGGAGGCTTCTGAAGGAGTTCTTCCATGTTGACGTCCAGCCAATTGAGATGGGCGAGCAAGGACTTTTTCTGACGAGTGGCCTCTGCGAATCCTCGCTCGAGGTTGGTAGCATAGCCTTTGGGAATGTCCTTGTTGAGGACTTCGACACTGCAGGGCGACTGTGGGTAGTCTTTTGGAACGGTCAATTGGATGTGAAGGGACTCGATCTCGTAAGGAAAGTCCGGGTCGCTGGGAGTGATCTTTAGCTGAAAGATATCGGCGATTTGATCGCTGTTGGAGTCTGTGATGCGAACAAAGGAGGAGCTGAAGCGACTCTCGATCTGCGAGATCTCGTAGGTGCGGAGGGATGCAGCGGTCTGGTCCTGGGACAGATCACGGAGCTGCTTGGGGAGGGGTTTGCGGACAGGAGCTCTAGCGATGGTGGCAGTCGTTCTTGTTGGAGCGGCGGTTGCAGTGGATGCGGTTGCAGTGCGTGGAGCGCTTGAGGCAGGCTGAGGAGAGGGGGCGGTGTGGAGGAAGCGACATGCGGCTCCGTTTCTGCAGCCCTTCTTTGTTGAGAAGAACTGGCAGTGCTGGGAGGCCATGTTGGGGCCGAGGGTGCGGGTGTGGGCAGGTAAAGAGAGAGAGAGCAAGAGAAGAGAAGGTAGAAGGTAGAAAAGAAAAGAGAGCGTGAGGAATTCAAGGTGCGAAGGGTATGTAAGCGGAGAGAGAAAGAGAGAAGAGAGAGAGGAGATGTGGGAGAGATGGGAAAGGGTTAGGCTGCCGTCGATCCAATCAGTGTGCGCCCTCTGGGCTTCCTTTCCCCCACTCTCCCCCACTCTCTCCCTCTCTCTCTTCTCTCTCTCTCTTTCTCTCTCTCTTTCTCTCTCTTCTCTCTCTCTTCTCTCTCTCTCTCTCTCACTCCATCATCCCCCTCACTCTCCCCCCCCCACAGTCTCCCCCCTCACAGTCTCCCAAGGCCATCATCCCCATCATCCCCATCATCCCCACTCCCCCTCCCAGTCCCTCCTCTTTACACTCCCTCTTCCTCTTCCTCCTCCTCTTCCTCCCCTCCTCTCTCCCTCTCTTTCCCCTCTTTCCTCTCCCATCCCCATCCTCCACTTGATCTTCATCACCACGGCCATGTCACGAGACACCTCCTCTTCCTCCTCCCCCACCTCCTCCTCCCCCTCCTCCTCCTCCACCTTCTCCTTCGGCCCCGGCACCGGTGCATTCTCCTCCCTCGGCTCCTCCGCCAATCCCTCCTCCTCCTCCTCCTCCTCCTCGGGCCCTGCCAGCCGCCGCTCGTCCGCCCTGTCCTCCCTCGGCGATAGGTTCGGTCGTCCTGGCCCTGGATTGCCCACGGTCGACGAGAACGACCAGCATGCTGCCGAAAGACGCCCCCTCTCCAACTTCCCCTCTGTATCCACTTCCCCCAACGCCTCCGCCTCGGCCTCCTCTCGCAGCCAGGCCGCCAATCCGTCCCCCATATCTACCTCGTCCTCTCCCCCGAGTGGAGGACCATCCCCTGGGGCCAACCCCAGGCGCGGCCATGCTCGCTCAATGTCGATGAAGGAGCAAATGGACCAATTTGGCCAGGATAAGAACCGTGAGGGTGCCCCAAAGACCCTTCAATCGCTTCAGGAAATGATCAGCAGCCTGAAGAACTTGCCCCCGGCCAGCCAGAACAACCCAGCAAGCACCGCTGCATCTGGTGCCCCAATGGACCAGCAGCAGCAGCCTAGCCAGGGTCTCTCTCGCCACGAAAAGCGAATGTCCCTGTCTGCGCTGCCTTCACGAACCTCGGTGGGTACGGGCAGTATCAGCCCCATGGCTGCCAAGGAACCCGCCTTTAGTACCATCAGCACAACCACGACCCTTCACATCTCGCAGCCGCCTCGAGGAACATCAATTGAGACCGCACTCCAGTCGACCGTCGCAACCCTGCGTCGCCTTTCCGTCTCTGATCCAAAGCGCCCAGCGATCCCTGCTGCCAAGAAGGACGATGATTATGTAAGTAGCCTCTATGGCCTTGCTCGTTCCTTTTTTGTGTGATTTTGTCGAAAACAACATCCTAATATTTCGATTGCTGTTTTTAATGGGGCACAGGAGAGCGCGGCCGGCAGGAAAGCCAGCAATCGACGCTCTGTCGTTCTACCACAGGAGATTGGCTCACTTGGCAGTAACGTTGGCGATTCTCAGGATGTCAATCGACGTAATAGGCGCTCTTTCATAAACTCGGCAACCGATGGCTCGTATTACAGCCTTGCATCAGAGACAACAACAGCAACAACTACAGCAGCAGCAACGGGATCCTCCTCTTCGACTAGTGGTGCACCATCGACCTATCAGCCCAACCGTCGCTCTGTAATTATTCGTCCTGAAGAGGTAGCAGCATTACAGGAGGGCCGCCCATATGTTCCCTCCGCAGCTGCGAATGCAGCACGAGCAAACTTCTCGAGTGATGAGGAGACCGATGCCGTGGCTGACGCTCTTTCGGCGCTTGAAGGCAAGGGTAGCGTGGGCAACCGATCCAGTCTTGCCGCAAAGGCGCCCCATCGACGCTCGATCTCGGGCGTTGATCCAAACTCACTGGCAGAGTTCGCTTCCAAGCTGCCCAGCCATATGCAACCAGGCCCTGGCTCTGCAGCCTTCCAAAACTTTGGTCAAAGCCTTGTTAACAACGACGATACCCAGGACCGTCGACGCTACACGACTGTTTTCAACTTTCCTACCCAGAATCGCACCTCTGTCGCTGCCTCAGGCATGACTGGTTCTGCCAGCCGACGCCTCTCCGCGTTGCCGTCTGCCAAGGACGTCGATCGGAAGGACTGGCGCATGTGTAAGTTGTAGACAGAACAAATGCGTACAATGAACGCCTGCATTTTTCATCTTTTGTCGGTACTAATCACGATCGACCCATTCGGATCCTTTATATAGCCACTCCCGCGCCCTCGAATGGCGGACTCTCAAACAGGGATAGCGTCAGCTTGAAGGACAATGCGAATGGTCGACGCCCGCTATTCCAGGCTCACCTTACGTACTCCGATTTCCATTCACTTCTCACCAAACAGAAGCACAAGTACGTGCAGGGTGTCTTAAGAATCAACAAGCGGAATCGATCAGATGCCTATGTTACCGTGGACTCTCTTCCAGAGGGCGATGTTTACATCTGCGGCAGCAAGGATAGGAATCGCGCCCTGGAAGGAGACGTGGTCGGCATTGAGCTGATCGATTTTGAGGACATGCCCCTACAAAAGCTCGAGGGCGGCAAGGAGAAAAAGAGGAGCAAGCGCGTCGAAGACGTCGAAGAGGCAGGGGATGCGGATGTGGAGGACATCAAGCCAAAGTACTGCGGCCGTGTTGTCTCCATTGTTGAGCGCTCCCTGGTCCAGATGTTCTCTGGAACGTTGACCCTGCAGCGACCCAGCGGATCGGCCAAGAAAAACGAGCGCCGTCGCCAAGACGATGAGGACCAAAAGGGGCAACCCAGGATTGTCTGGTTCAAGCCGGTATGTACAAGGGTCGAGATTTTCTGTTGCTTTGCTCCTACGCTACCAGATGCCAGGTTCAAGACACTAATCTCAGCTTCTTTTTTTCTTTCTTTCTTTCTTTGGTATAGACCGACAAACGCGTGCCTCTTATTGCTATTCCTATCGACCAGGCGCCAGAGGACTTTGTGGAAAATCATGCCTCGTATACACACAAACTATTCCTTGCTACGATCAAGCGTTGGCCCCTGAGCTCCCTTCATCCCTTCGGACACCTGGAGCGTGAGTTGGGTGACATTGGCAACATTGAAATCGAGACCGAGGCCCTGCTGGCCGACAACAATGTCATGACTACCGCGTTTGGCGAAAAGGTGGAAAAGTGTCTGCCGGAACTCCCATGGGCTATTCCTGAGAACGAGCTGAGCCGTCGTCGCGATTTGCGCCAGAGCTGCACCTTCACGATCGATCCCGCGACCGCCAAGGACTTGGACGACGCAGTATCATGCATTCGCCTCGAGGATGGAACATACGAGATCGGAGTTCATATCGCGGATGTGTCACATTTCATCAAGGTCGGATCTGCATTGGATCGCGAGGCCAAGGCCCGGGCCACAACTGTTTACCTGGTACAAAAGGCGATTCCTATGCTTCCAAGCATCCTTTCCGAGGACCTGTGCAGCCTGAGAGTAAACGTCGAGCGCCTCACATTTTCAGTGTTCTGGAAGATGACGGAGCATGGAGATATTCTGGATACTTCGTTCGCGAAATCTATCATTCGATCATGTGCCCAGCTCTCGTACGACGATGCACAGAAGGTGATCACGGTCGGTTCCCTGGATCCCAAGGTTCAAGTCTTTGACCATCCACGGGCAATTGTCGAGGAAAATATCAAGACGTTTTTCGTAAGCATCACTTTTTTTCGCATTATGCTGTCCAGTTCGCGTGATGTATTTGGGAGGCACAATAATTTTCATTATCTAATGTCCTCCTTTGTCGTTGTTTTTTTTTTTCTGCTTGGCCTGTTAGAAACTGTCCATGATCCTCCGCCAAAAGCGCTTCGACAATGGCGCGCTTTCGATCAACTCGGTCAAGTTGGCTTTTGAGACGGACGAGCAGGATAACCCGGTGGATGTGTCGGTGTACGAACTCAAGGAAAGCAACCGACTGATCGAAGAGTTCATGCTGCTCGCTAACATGAGTGTCGCCAAGCAGATCTGCGAATTCTTCCCGGAGCAGGCCCTGCTGCGTCGACATGAGAATCCCCTCGAGAGACGTATGACCGACTTTATCTCGCACATGAACAAGATCGGACTTGAGCTGGATGCGTCGAGCGCAGGAGCGTTGCAGGCGTCCATGGATGCGATCCAAGATCCAGATGTACGCAAGGTCGTCCGTTTGTTGGCCGTCAAGCCAATGCACCGCGCCAAGTACATTTGCAGCGGAATGCTTCCTGCGAACAAGTACCATCACTACGCGCTCAATGCTCCGCTCTATACCCACTTTACCTCACCGATCCGGCGTTACGCTGATATTATCGTTCACCGGTTGCTGGAGGCATCCTTGACTGGAGGTGAGTTGCAGGTTGACGCCTTGCGTAGCGATGTGGCCTACTTGGAAGCACAAGGGCAAATACTTGCATCAGGCATCGAATCGGTGTGAGTGACTATGGTTGGTGGAGAGAAGGACATGACAAGATGGATACACATACGCCAGTTATTCTTGCCGTTCTTGCTTTTGCTCGTTTCTTAGGGGGGGGGGGAGGGAGGGAGGGAAGTATTGATCCAAGAACAGTTCACAAAGAAAGGGGAACTAAAGTGGATGCTACTTGATACCGGGGGAGGGTTGAAGAGGGAGTCAAGGACGCGAGAATGGTGGAAGGTGTTGGCAGGCGGCCAGCACAATGCATTTCTTTCACATCCATTTCTTCTATCTCCAGGTTGCTTGTATTTTTATTTCTATTTTATTTTTGTATTTTCTTCGTTTCCTCTCTCTCATTGTTCTGCTCTCCGGTCTATACCATCATTTATCTTAATTTATTTTTTTAACTGGCAGCCATCAGAAGAGTGAGCGAGTGAAAGAGAAGAAGTGAACAGAGAAATATTCATTTTACATCTGCAATTGTGTCCTGACTCTATCTGCATACTCTGTTTTGTGTGTTGCTATCTTGGATATTCTTTACTAGACACCAAAGTGTATCTCAACAAGGAGAATTGCCAGAAGAGTGCCAACCACTGTAACCTCAAGAAGGACGCAGCCAAGCTCGCTGAAGAGCAGAGCAGCCATCTCTTTCTGAGCCTCCTCCTCCGGAACATGACGGAGGAGAAGGGCATGGTGATTCGGGAAGGTATCGTGGTGCAGGTGCAGGATGTCTCGTTCGACGTCATGGTGGCTGAATACGGTCTGGAGAAGCGAGTGCATCTGGATCAGTTGCCGCTGGAACGCTATTCGTGGAACGAGACCACCGAGACCCTGAAGCTCTACTGGGGCTCGCAACCGTTCAAGACTGGGGAGGATGATACAGCTTCGATCCATGAGAACCATGCGGACAGGAGACGGTCGATCGCGTTCTCACAGTCGGCTTCACGACATGAGTCGATGGACCATCCGGACGACGCGACGAATGCGTACGATGATGAGCGTGGACTGTTTGATGATGATAGCGATTATGAAGACCACCAGGCGTCGTCTTCGATGCTTCGCTCGAGTCAGGACGATGATGCGGCGGACGAGCTCGCTGAGAACCTGAGCAAGATCAAGATGTTTGGGCGTGTGCAGGTGTTGGTCACGGCGGATACGACTGTGTCGCCTCCTTTGATCAAAGTTGTGGCCATGAACCCCTTTGCGACAGCTACGGCAGCGCCTTGAAAGTGGCAGTGGAGAGGAGGAGATAAAAGATAAAAAAAAAAAGAAAAAAGAAAAAGAAAAGGGAAAGCGAAGGGGGAGGATGGGGCTGAATGAGGTAGGGCGCGATAAGAGAAAACAAAAAAAAATATACATCGCTGTTCTGTTGTAAATAAAAAATGTGGTGTCGTACAGTCATGCCTATATCGAGGATGTCAAAGACGCGTTTGTTTGTACCATGCAGAGTGGCTGTGCGACGCATCCTTTTTTCAAATCTTGAGCTGGGATATTATTATTTACAACAAAGGCACAAAGGCCGGCCGAGCACTGTTGCTGCAGAGCTATCGATGCATGTTCACATGCACCATTTGCCAGATTTGCCAGTATGACCATCGACCATCTTTCTTGCATCTTGCATCTCGCTATATTCTCTATGACAAAAATAATCAAAATATAGGTTACTCAGTGTGCACTTTAACATCTGTCGTTATCGACACGAGGCGGCCTCAAATGTGGAGGTGAGCTGCCTGCATTCTTGTCAATAGCCCAAATTAAAAAAACTCGTTTACGCTTTCTTCACTCTATCTATCGACTTGGAAGAAATTATTGAGAAGGCAGGCATATCATTTCCCATACCAGTCGATGGCAAAGCAAACGCGTCAAGTTTAACAAAAAAGACGTCAGATTTGGACCCAGTGCATAGGATTCTGTAGTAGTCGGTCGCTCCATAAAATCTACTTTGACATTTGGGCTCCCAGAGATATCACTCGATGAAGTAATATAGAAAACCGCCCCTGGTTGGGCAGGGCTGGAGTATCGCGTCTCTAGGGAGGGGGGAATTAAATGCTTGGGTTTGTAGAAGCCTCCCCCCTTAACCGCAGGCAGGAGTAACTGAAGGGTGGGGTGTTGTGCCCAGTTGCCTTGGGCTTGCCACCAAAAATGTAGCTCCGACAAAAAAAAAAAAAAAATCAAATTCGCTTTGCTCATTTGCTCCCCCGCACGCCCTCCGTCAAAAACTCATCAATTCCTCTTCATTCGCACCACGACCGACCTACATCATGTACAAACATCTTTCAGCACCCACTCTTCCGGAGGCATCACAAACTGTTACGAAAGCTGAACAGGTTGGCGAATACGAACTGGGCGAGACGCTTGGTGTGGGCGCCTATGCTGTGTACGAAATACTTTTTGTGTGTGTGTGTGTGTGTGTGTGATTATGGTGCCTGAATAAACAGCAACCAACGCTTCTGACTCACCCCCGCCTGCGCAGACATGCGTCCGTCAGACCCCCAAAAAAACATGGAGAAAGGACTATGTTTCATCCTCGCCGCTACTTGTAACGAGAACAGCTCACCAACACACTGTTTTTAATGTCTCTCTCTCTCTCTCCTGTGCGTAGTGTGCGACTGGCCACTCACAAGAAAACGGCCGTTAAGGCTGCTGTCAAAATCATCCCCAAGGACCCGGAAGTGGGGCTCACGAAAACTATTCTGAAGGAATTGACCATCCATCGAGGCTTACAACATCGGAATATCTCTCGGTTCGTGGAGTCCAAGGAAGAGCCAGAGTGTCTTTATATCTTTGTCGAGTACGCTGCAGCCGGAGAGTTGTTTGACAAAATTGGTAAGTAGCACTTTCCGGCTTGATAATAATAATAGTAGTAATAATAAGCAGAGTATGGCTGATATGTGTTACAGTTGCTCAAAAGACCCTGCATTTTTTTTTTGTATCGATTTATTCGCGATTAGAGCCAGATCGAGGAATTCAGGAAGATTTGGCGCACTTGTACTTTTTGCAATTGATGGCAGGAGTGGTAAGTCACTATGTTTGCTTTAATCTAATGCGCATGAAGACTGAGTATATATTGAAGCTAACAAGCTGTTCCTTTGGCCTCTGCAGAGATACATGCATAGTAGAGGCATTTCGCATCGCGACCTGAAGCCAGAGAATATCCTTCTGGACGCGTCTGGTAGGTGATCAAGGGTCATGATGAAGATTATGATTCTGTCCGCTTCGTTTCTCATTTCGTTTTTCTGACGCGCGATTTGTCTCTTGATCCACACGGTGTAGGAACGCTCAAGATCTCAGATTTTGGACTTGCAACTGTATTCAAATACGGAGGAAGGAGCCGACCTCTTGAAACACCCTGTGGAAGCGCGCCATATGTCGCACCCGAGGTAAGGCGCATGCAACCGATCTGTTGCATTTAGGAGGTAAAGAGCTGAGCGTCTGCATGAAATATAATAAATAGGGTCCTGACAAAGTTCCATTGCTCGTATTAGGTTCTAGAGGAAGATTACAGTGGCGACGCTGTGGACATTTGGTCCTGCGGAATCATTCTCTATGTTATGATGATTGGCAGTAAGTCCATCGATTCTCTCTTTCATTATGCACCAGCAACAAATTACGACAACGGGCGAATGTCGCCTAACTTGCAGCGGATCTTTTTTTCGATTTTATCAAGACACTCCATGGGAGCTGCCGTCATTAGACAGCGAGGAATTTCGGTTATACCAGGAGAGCAATGGAAACCCCACACACGACCCTTGGAACAGGCTACAGGGACCCGTTAGAATTCTACTCCTGGGCATGCTTCGGATAAATCCCTCAAAGCGATACACCGTCAAACACATCTTGAGGGACGATTGGTACAGGCGGCCCAACGCGCTTATGACGGACGGCCTCGTTAATGACCCTGTACAGCTGGCATCACTGCTCATGGACAATGCCAATGACTCTACAAGTAGCTCGCCCGTGGTGGCGTACTCACAGCCCCTGAATATGGGACGTGTCTTACAAAGTCAAAGCGTGGTGTTTGACGCACGCAATTACGCTTCCTCACAGCCTGCTCGAAACAATGAAAGAGCTTCGGACAGTTCACTTGGAACGAGGATTGCGATTTCATGGCAGGACGAAGCATTGGAGTTGTCTCAGCCTGTAAGTACTTTAACATTGGCACTGCTTGAGCTGAGATTTTTTTTTTTAGGCGAGAGGAATTGTTATTAACCATGAGTTTTGTTTTTATTCCATGAACCGTTGAATACAGGCCACACAGTTCACAGAGGCGACCTTCCTGGAAGTTTTCTCTTCCGAACGCTTGACAAGATTCTTTTCGCAGACAGACGCAGATACTATTATTGATGCGCTGGCCGATGCAATGGTCAACAATCTGGTTGCTCATACAGTACACGCTAATCTACAAAAGGTATCAGAACACGATAGCATTCATGCGCTTGGGGATGGCATTTAGATGACATTAGTGCTAATTCTCTTATCGTTCTGTGCTGCTGATCCTAGATTACCATTTCAACGACAGACCAGAGAAGGTGCTTTTTGACAGGCGATGTTAAAGTCGTTCCCTACGGAGCTGAATTGCAGCTCGTCATGTTTGATAAGAGCAGAGTAAGTCGCGTTTACAGATCTACGCCCTTTTTTTTTTTTTTTTTTTTTTCAACGTGCTTTACAAGTTAATAGTGCGGACGAAGCTAATTCTTCTGCGTCTTCTTCATCCAACGATCGTAGGGTGATCCTCTTGAGTGGAAGAGAATGTTCAAGGCGCTGGTTTCGACCTTGCAAGATTCCGAGGATCCTATTCATCTGCAAATGAACCCATAGAAGCTCTCGTTGGGTGCAGAACAGCTATATTTAATGCTCATGCGATACGCAAGGCGAAGTAACAATAAAGATTGTTCTATGCTATCTCTGTAGTTTTCAAATGTCCACAAAAAATCAGCATTGGCGAACATGGGGATAAGAGTAAAAATTTTTATTCAAAACGTAATCTCTTTGATCTCGACTTGGCCAGGAACTCTGTATTGTCGTGCGCGCCAGAACTAGGCGATCGCTTCAGCTCGGCATCCTGTTCGATTTTCAGCGCATTGGGCGTCGTCCTGTTTCCTTCTGCCTTTGGTGTGATGACCAGATCGTCTTTCCTATCTTCGTCTTGATCGCTAGGCTCCCTCTTCAATAGACCGGCAACCTTGATATCGTGGCTCTGGCGCTCAGGATCCTCCTTTATACGTGCGAGAAGCCCTGGATACTTGCGGTCCTCCTCAAAATCCATGAGCTCGTTCTTCACATCCAGGTTCTTTTTGTCGTCGTCGTCGTCGTCATCGTAGTCGAACAGCACGTAATGGTCGGGCTCAGGTTTGATCGACACGTCCACATTGTACTTTGTGTCATCCTCAAACTTGACCATTCTAAGCGCGTCCTCCCCCTCGGATTTGACCTCGATCTTCAGCATGTCCAGTCGCTCAGGTAGAGCCGCCGATGATGAAGAAATGAGCAGTGATCGATGAATGTTATCCTTGACACCTTCTTCAGTTTTTTGAAGATCTTGTACTGGCCTCGGGCTGCTCTGCTCCAATGGATCAGCAAACGGCTGGTAGTGATCACGCATTGTTGCATCCTGACAATCGATATCCGCTCCTGTATGGCCATGCGCGGTCGTATCCTGATGGTCTCCCGCAGCCTGAGACTCTCCATCAGTATCGGACACAGCTCTCTTGGATGGGAATACAAGCGGGATTTGATGGTAGTCTGTCACTGTATTATCACGATCGTCGTCCTGGAAGGCAAGATAGTCATCCACAGTTGGATAAACATGAGCTCCTGATGAAGAATCCATGGTTTCATTGTATCCAAAGTTTGCTGAGGAAAGCTGGATCGACCTGGGTCCTTCACTGGTTGCTGCAGCGTGGCTCCTGTATATACGGCTCGGCACGCTCATAAAGCCGATATGACTAATGAACTCCCGCATTTTCCCATCATCCTCCATGCCTTTCTTGCCTGTAAGGTTGCTCCTGCTACTCTTCTTCTTTTTGTTCTTGCTTTCTTCGACTGTCTCAGTGGGGTTCACCTCAGCGGTTCCTGACGATTCCTCCTTGTCGATTTCATTCCTCCGGGTTAGGATCGCCTCCTCAAAAGAGTCTCTAATCACCAGGGTTTCCACATACACAGGCCGCATCTGCCCAATTCTGTGTGCGCGCTTGATGGCTTGGCGCATAGTAGCCGTCTGCCAGACAGGCGAGAGGAAATAGACGCGTGAGGCACTTGAGAGGTCGATACCAAAGGCGGCATGCTTCGTGTCCATGATGATTGCAGAGACGTTTTCGCTCGTGTTGAACGTCATGATGTTGCTGGAGCGCTCCTTTTCAGTCTATAAAAAACACGAGAATGGTTAACATATGATTTGGTTAAATGAGAGTTATTGATTGTTAAGCACTATCTAGAACATGGCGCAATAGATGTGCTACTTACCATGCCATGGGTATGATACATTAGAAAGCGCACTTTGGCCAGGGTGAGGTACTCGCTGATATAGTACATGGCCGTAAGACTCTGACAAAAGACGATGCATTTTTCAGAGTTGCGGTGGCGCAAGATCTGGTCGGCAATGTAATTCAGTTTACTGGATGTACTGGATAGGATCCTTGCTTGAGAGAGTCTCTCTCTCGTCATGGCGCGCTGTAGCTGTGTGACCTCTGTCGGCGCTGCTACATCGTCTCCGGAAGCATCGCGACTCGTTTCCTGAGATTGTTCGATCTCCGACATACTGGACCTCAGAGTGTTGATTTGCTTAGACATCACTACACAGATCTGGGCTGGTTCTTGAACCTCTGGTCCCCGCGCCTCCTGATAGCTACTTCCAGCTCCTGCAGATTTTGCATCGGCACTTCCTTCCCAGTCCATCGATTCCTCGCCTTCGAAAACAGTTGCATATCCCCTTTGAATAATAGTCGGTAGGTTTGAGCAGTAGTAACCAACTTCCTGCGTCCGTTGTAAGGCATTCCATCCCTTGTCCGATAGAGCATCGTTGATATGCTGGCGAACATCCTTCAGCAGCTGAAAGTCGTCTTCGGGGTACTTGCCTCCAACGGTTGCCTCATGTCTCTCGATCCCCCGCTGAACATTCTCCAAAGAACTCGAGAGCTGCTCCTGGTATTTACTTCCGCCAAGGTACCAGAAGCACCCATCCTTCAGGTTCTCGATCACACGGGCCAGATGTTTGCGATTACTTGGATGGAAAAAGTAATCCTGGTCCTCACGCTCGGTTAGGACAGCGTTGGCTTGGATGAGCGCCACTTGACAATTGAGTGCTAGGGCCTGATAGTAATCCAGCTCTAATCGGACGATCCTCTCGTGAAGCGGGGGTAGCCTGACATCTCGCTCCACATCCGCAGGCTTGTTGCGTACCATGATCCTGTCCATCAAATATCGTAGACGTGAAGCACTACTCAGGCTCGCCAGTGACCAATCGTCTGGGATTTCTCCTGTGCTGATGCGATAGTGATCTTCTAGAGATCGTATCAGGACTCTGGAGAAGAGATTCTTGTCCCCATAGTACGGCTGCAGGTGAAGGAACGACCTTATCAGCGTCGCGAGTCGTTCCAGATCGCCCTTGTCCGATAGTGTTAGCTGTACATTGGCAAAGGAAGACGGCTTCAGGTTGGCTAGGTTAAATGTCGGTGTTCCGGTACATATCCATCGGCGATCTGCATGGAGATGATCCGCGAACAGCGTATGGTCCGAGAGCTTCAGTCCCATGCTATGGCCCTCGTCCACGATCACACGCTTCCATCTAATCTGCATTAGCGGGGAAATGGATCGTGGGGCTCGACAATGGCATGAAATATACTGGGAGTCGCACAGGCAAGGCGGTTTCTCTGCAGTAAAAATACCGAAAATAAAAGACGTCGATTAGGTGTCGAGCGCAAAAAAAAAGACTATGAAAAATAAAAAGTGACGGGCTGCTTTACCTTTCGTATGCTTAACAGAGTAGGAGCCAGGTTCATACTCCTGTGCGAATCGAGTCAGGGAGATAAGGACCATATCGTGTTTCAACAGGGTCCGATGATCTGGAATCTCCCTGCCCTTGCCCGGCTCAATCCGCAACAACTTCAGTGCGAAATTCTCGGTGTGCTGCAAATGCAACAACAAGAAGAACTAGGTTGGTGCCATTGAAAACAACGATGCACTCGCGATGTTCGTGAAGGTATGTACCTTATTGACCTCATTACACCATTGATCCATCAAATTAGGCGGCACAATGACAAGCGTTGTTGTTGATAGATAAATCTCTGGGGAGCGATCCTTTGTCTTGAGCTGCTTTGCTCTCGTCAGATTGCTTCTTGCGTTCCTGTCCTCGGCATAATAATACACTGATAGGTCCTCAAGCAGTTCCATGCTCCCGGGGTTGATATAGTCTTGGATCCGTTTATAATCAATTTGGTTTAGTTTGACCGCTGCTGCCGCAAGATCCCGTAAATCTGGTATCTGGGCTCCGGGAACCAGTGCCAGATTCGCTGTAGCAACTGAATTAAGCCCGTCCTGAGCTACAGTTGCTGAGGGCCCCGTGTCCGAATAAAGCTCGCAATACAACTGTGTCCCGATGGTTGGAGGCTTGCTGGACTGGTGGAGAGTCTGCATGATCAATGCAATACAAATACACGACTTGCCTGTGCCCTGTAAAAGACCACAGCCAAAATCAATTGGAAGTCAGGAATGCCAGAAATGGCGAAACTGGCCCCCGGAAGCGACCAATTGGAGACAGAAATGAACCTACCATGTCCTCACAAATAATCCCTCCAGGGATGTCATCCCATTTCGACTCTGGATTACGGCAGATAACAAGGCTGTCATTGGCCATGTTGATATAGTAAGCCCTGCCTTCCATATCTTGCATGGGCACGAGAGTGGGGTCGAGGATGTAATCTGGGTAGAGTTCTCGTCGCAGCAGTTTCCAGAGAGAGTTCTTTTGATAGTCGTAAAGTCTTGTTCGCATCCCTTTGGGCGAGTCGCGTTCCAATGTCTGCCTGAGGATCTGCTGTACTGCTCTGGAAGGCGGTCGAGCATCAGTCCGCACGAACGGGTCGTCTGCTGCTCGGGGTGACGGCATATCAAGATAAATGTTAAGAAGGTGCTTGGCTTTGTCGTCCTGGAAAATGGTCATGGGCGTGTATCCCGGGAGGGGCAGTTCGAGCTCGTCGCTGAATATCAGTGGGTCCACATTCATGTTCAGGAGGACCATCGAAAGTGCCTGCTTGGATTCCTTGTCATGGTTCTTTTGGGCCCTTTGTTCGCCGAAACGTCGTTGCGGGGCGCGATGATTTCGAGCGGAATCAAGGGCGTATATCAGGAACCTTGTCTGTTGATGCCCATTAGCGGCGGAGAGATGAAGTTGGCGATATTGCAAGATGTTTGTTTGGTTGAGATACTGGAGTGCTTGCGCCATCAAGCTGTCTCGAAGAAGGTTGTCTTCATTGCTGTGGAACGGTCTTGGGGCATATCCAACTGTAGGGTGCTGCAGGCCGACGGGCCCATGAGTGTCCCATGAGCCGATGGGGATTCCATGGACCATGGTGCAGTTCGTTGGAGAAAGGAAGGATAGTCGTGAGCTCTCTATTCCCACCCCGCATCAAATAAGGTCCGACAAAGAAATGGGTGTTTGGAGTTTCGACTGACTGCACAGCCACAACACGTCGCATGTCGGGAGGCAATGGCGCCAGTCCCGCCCTGGGACAACTGGGGGAATCAACCCAGTCGTGCATCACGATGCATTTGTGAGGGTCATGATGGCTCCAGTGCCAGGTCAGGACTCTTCGCCATGGACATGCACGCCAGCCCATACCACAGAATGGGTACTAAACGCTGCGCATCAGCCGTGCATGTGCCTCCCTGTCCAGTAGGAGCCTCTTCTCCCCCTCACAGACCTCATCACTTGAGAGGTTTGTAAAGTCCGGATGATGCCACGAGTAGATCGATGCTGGTAAGTAAGATCCTCTCGCGTGGATTGTTTGCTGGATGCATTGTCATGTGGATGCTTTTCACAGCCCGGCTGGGTGTTTGAGCTCCCTGTGCGTTCCACGTTGACAAAGTTGACAGGGGCGGATATATCTTGGGGGGTTGTACCTCGCAAAACCTTATTTTTGGATGCACAGTGAATACACGTCATTTGCTGGGGAAAGCATCTCTTTTCTTTCCATCTCCCATTACCATTTCAGTTCCTCTAAGCGCTCGATTTTAATTCTTCTCCACTCTCCACATCTTAGCACCGTCTTCCACTTTCTTATCATCCTCTCGAACACACTCTCATTTTCACTATGAATTACTGGCTGAAGGGTAGCTCTCCAATCGATGACCTCGTCGGTAGGTCTTGTCTCCTTTGCAGCATGGTGCAACTCCCTTCCCTGTGCGACTCTCGGCTTTGAGTGCCAAAGCAGAATGTCGTTCATCAACTCCTGGCAGCTAATTCATCTACTTGTCTTATCCTTACTTTTTCAGACAAGGCCACCTCAGAAAACTTACCAGTAGGCTCAGAAGACTTGGCACTCAATCTCGAGATTTGCGACCAGATCAGGTCCAAGCAGGTCTCCTCCAAAGATGCCATCAAGGCACTCAAGCGACGTATCAGTCACAAGAATCCCAATGTCCAGCTCCTTGCCTTGGGGGTAATGCCTCATTTGCTTGCTCAGGTTGCATGGCGCCCTAGTGGGTGGTACAAAGTCTTGGCTATAGTTTTGACAAGTTTTTTGTATGAATTTTCGACTTTGGAAATAGCTGACGGATGTCTGTGTCAAGAACGGCGGCCAGCACTTTCTTGTCGAAGTTGCGTCTCGCGAGTTCGTTGATAACCTAACTTCGATCCTGAAGGCACCTGTATGTATTGTCCACCGCCGCTTTGGCTACGAACGTGTGAATTACTCCTTGGAATTTTGGCTGACCATGCATGCTCTAATACTGTCAATTATAGGCTGGCTGCAACTTGGAGGTCAAGAATAAAATCCTCACTCTACTTCAGATATGGGGGCGTCTATTCCGTGGGAAGCAGGGCTTGGGATATGTTTGCGACACCTATCTGATCCTTCAGCATGAGGGCTACGAGTTTCCTCCGGTGGATAATGTCGGCGCAGCGCTTGTCGAGACTCCGGCAGTAAGATGTCCCAGCATGACTAATATAGCTTTTTTTTTTTTTTTTTTTTTTTTGACCGAATATTCTTCGTAGCTCTAACCATCGTATTCTTTTAACCACTCCGATTACAGCCCCCAGACTGGACGGACTCCGATGTGTGCACACGATGCAGGACGGCATTCACACTCACCAACCGTAAGCATCACTGCCGCGCATGTGGCTCGACTTTCTGTGGACAGTGTTCCAGCAAAACCATGTCGTTGCCTCATCTTGGAGTCAACCAAGAGGTTCGAGTGTGCGATGGGTGTTGGATCAAGAAGAAGATGGGAGGGAAAGGCACTGCCGTACATGATAGCTTTGGCCTTGGAGGACCAGCAGAATTTGTTCCCAGCACGAACAGCCCAAAGCAAACCATTACTTCGACATCTACCAATGCACAGTCTTCGAATCTTGATAATGAGGATGATGATCTGAAGAAGGCGATCGAACTGTCACTCAAGGAAGCCAATTCTCGGCCAGGATATTCAGCCCCTTCAGCAGCACGCAACGAACCCATTTCCAGAGGGACAACAGGGCCATCCCATGAGGAAGACGACGCGGACCTGTTGGCGGCCATTGAAGCGTCCTTGAAAGAGACCAAACTCAGTGGATCTCAGTCAAAGCAGTCAGCTTATGAAACATACACATACACCAAACCCGAAGTATGAGACTCGCTGGTTCGTCAATATTCAGCATTTTCAGTCCTTCTGTTCGATCTCGGTCGTTGATAGCATACTCTTTTTTCCTTTATAGGTATCTACTACTGTGAGTGCTGGCTTGGCAAACGATCTGACATCAACTGAGAAGGAGAACATTGAGATGTTCTCCTCGCTTGTTGACAGGATTCAGATGACGAATGGTGATGTTGCTGGAAATCGGGAGGTTCAGGCGTTATATGAGCAGATCTCGAAGTTTCAAATGAAGCTTGCATTAAGCATTGAGGAGGCCGATAAAAAGCAACGTAAGTACACAATGGCACGAATCTGATATGCCCCTTCCTACTGCGATACTCCTTCAGCTCCATGCTTATACCATGCTACTTTTCATTTCACTGAACCACTTTATAGGCGAGGCTATCCAATTCAATGAGAAGATTGATCAGGCTGTTAAGATGTACGATCATTTGTTGCAGGAGCGGCTCAAATCTACATATCAGCACCGGATAAACACCAGCGCCTATGGATATCCCGGCGTCCAGCCACATCCAGCAGAACCCCACGTGGGCTACAACGTCGCCTTGCCTTCTCAAGCAGTTCATAATAACCCAGGGTACCCTCATTTGACCGGATCGGACCCTCATTACAGCCCATACATCCCAGGAGTACTTTATAATCATCAGGTGCCTCCATCCTTTGCACCACAAGCACCACAAGCACCACCCTCACAATCCAGTTACCAGTATCAGACCTCCGTGCCTCCAGCAACCGCCCCCTTCGATGTTTCTTCGTCTATGGCGGGCTCTACAGGAGTAGAATATGCCAGTGCTCCATTTGCATCCGCTCCCCCTTCAGTTCAGCAAATACCTGCTCAAACGATGTACCAGCCAAACCAGGATCTGTTCTCTGTTGTTTCCCCACCTGGTGTTCAGACACCCGGCCAGTTTCAACATCAGGGTTACCAGCCGATAGCTACGCAGCAGATGCAATCTACTGCGGTCGATCTGCATGGACAAACAGCATACGCACCCTATCAGCAACAACAGGCACCATATGCACCAGCAGCACCGATTGCGCCTGCAGCCCCTGTTGAGGAGAAACCTCTTATTGAACTGTAACTCGAAATAAAAAGCAGTCATCTCAGCCACTCTCTGGCTCCCTCTATACAGTTTTCGCGTGGCAGACCAACTTGCATGGGGCCAACTGCACCAAACCCGCCACTAAAAAAGATTCTTCGCTCCGCTCTTCTTTACCTTCACCTTCCTTCTCTCCTTTCTAGTTCCCCATTCCCTTTCAGCCATTGTATTCCCTCGCTACTTACTCTTCAAAATCTACGGTCAAACAAGAGCAACCCCCCCCCCCCCCCCTTAGAACCACACAGCGCACCAGCACTTTTTTTTTTATTTCCTTTTCATGAGCTCAAACCGGACACCTATTCCAGGTAAGCGATACCCAGCCCATGAAGGAAATCCCCCTCTTTCCACCAGCATTGGTGCATTCAGCAACAACGATTGCAGTTTCTTGTTCTCAGAAACAACAGTGAGCGAGGGTGCCAATCAATAGTCATATATGCCGATATCATTTTTATTGTTCTTATGCATCAGTTCGCTCCTTCCTCACTTCCCCACGCCATGCAAATGCTTGTCGACACCGAACTGGTCTTGCTTCTTCTGCTAGCCCTGTCTTTTTTGCTGTATCCTCACCGGCTTTGTTTCCCTCACCTTTTTGTTACCACACCTTCCGCCTTCGCGACAGAAGCCAGCTCGAGCAAGAAACGCAAGTCGTCAAGTTTTGCCGCGCGTCCCTCGAATTCAGCCACTGGAGAAGGATCCTCCTCTTCCAGCTCTTCGTCTGCTCAGCGTCCTTCTTCTTCTACTTCATCTTCCTCCGCTACTCTTCCCTTCAAGGTCTTGCCTGCCAATCCCCTCGAAAATTCATTTGCCCGTGCACGCGAACTCGAGGCCTCGAAACGTCGGCGCACTATTTCAAAGGAAACTGAATCCTCCAGTCTGAAGAACCAGGACAGCCTCAGTAACGAGAACAGTGATAGTAGCAGCATGTCTACTCAATCACACTCCAACATTTTTACAACGGCGGGCTCAAGTTCCACAGGAATCGGTCTAGGACGCGCCGGCACGAGGACAGGTGACGGTGGTTCTTCAGCTTCAGTCATCACAAATGGTATCAAGAGCAGTGCTCCCGCAGTCCGTCGAACAGGCGTGCAGGGAAAACAACCTGTTAAGAAGTTGGTCATCAAGAACTTTACAGGTATATTTCGATGGCGATGATTATCCATTCTTCGAACGGTTTTTTCTTTATGGGTATTTTTCTAAATCACTTTAATACTCTTTCCACTCTAGTAACGCCTCAATTGCCGAAGGATTACGAAAACGAGACGTGGAAGGTACTCCAGCAGGCGGTTCAGGCCATCCAGGAATCGCGGCCCGTGAACTCGTCACTGGAGGAGCTCTACAAAACGTGCGAAAACCTATGTCATCAAAAGCACGGCGACTCGCTTTACAAGAAGCTTTCGGCCGAGGTCGAAAGACACGTTCAAAAGGTGGTCGGGGACCTACTGAACAACAATTCTGATCAAGACATCTTCCTGGAGGCTGTCGAATCTGCATGGACCGATCACTGCCGGCAGTTGATCATGATTCGCAGTATCTTTTTGTATCTGGACCGCACGTTCGTCTTGCAGACGTTGGGAGTGTCTAGCATTTGGGAGATGGGTCTCGATCTCTGGCGGCGACTGGTTATGAACCAAAATGAGATCCGCAGCAAGGTTTTGGGTGGTCTTCTCCGCTTGATCGATAAGGACCGCCAGGGAGATGCAATTTCACATCAGCTTGTGCTGTCGTTGCTGCGCATGCTGACAGACATCCACATGTACACTTCGGTCTTCGAGACGCCATTCTTGCAAGCCTCTCGTCTTTATTACCATGTTGAGGGTGAAAACAACGTCCACCACTTCACTGTACCAGAGTACCTACGATATGTTCAGCAGCGATTGCTCGAGGAGACCACGCGCTTCGAAGGTTATCTAGACAAGTCCACGCGGCGTGGCTTGATCTCTGCAGTTGAGGGCGAGCTTTTGGAACGATGGACAGACATGCTCCTACAAAAGGGCTTTGAGAGCGTGATGGCCGATCATAACCTGGCGGATTTGAAGCTGTGGCACGATCTGTTGGCAAGAGTGAATGTCCTCGAGAAGTTAAGTCTTCACTTTGGGAACTACGTCAAGGTAACTGTCATACTATCGCAATCGCTATGGGCTGCCGGCTTATTCGCGTCAAGCTCTGACCATAGGTTTTATCTGGTACCGATATAGAAAACGGGCAAGGCTTTGGTGGTCGACCCAGCACGAGATGACACAATGGTCGAGGACCTACTCAAATTCAAGAAGGGTGTGGACGAGGTTGTCAGCAAATGCTTCCAGAATTCGGAACTGTTCCTCAACGTCCTCAAGGAATGCTTCGAATCCTTTATCAATACTCGACAAAATAAGCCTGCGGAACTGGTGGCCAAGTATCTGGACCTAAGACTGCGCAGTGGCAACAAGGTAATTGGACAAGCAGTATCTCAGGGATGCACCTTCTTCAAACGCTTATGCAATCTCCGAGAATGCTGTTAACGCGCGCAATTGCTTTTTTTTTTTAGGAATTATCGGACGAGGAAATGGAATCAACGCTGGAGAGGGTTTTGATCTTGTTCCGATATATTCAGGGCAAGGATGTCTTCGAGGCGTTTTACAAACGCGATCTTGCCAAAAGATTGCTACTCAATAAGAGTGCTTCTTTTGATGCTGAGAAGAGCATGCTGAGCAAGCTGAAAGCAGGTACGGGTTTATTTTTTATTTATTATATTATGAGAGGACACAAAGAATTAGAGACTGATACTGTGTGCTCTTGGCTTGGTAATAGAATGTGGGTCTGGATTTACCACCAAATTGGAGGGCATGTTCAAGGATATGGACACTTCAAAGGACATCATGATCAATTTTAGGGTAAGTGGGCTAAGGATGATATATGTACTTATCTCATCCACCATGACTGAGTTTATTTAAATTTACGTTTATCCTGTAGGCGAGCAAAATGCACAACAAGATCGGTTCTTTGGATCTCACTGTGAACGTTTTGACACAAGGAAACTGGCCAACCTATCCACCAGCTGAAGCCAACATTCCGGACCAGGTTAGTGAGATGCGAGACTTGGATCTATTGCTTATCAAGGGAGTGTTGAATACTAAACTAGCTCGTTTGTACTCTAGATATCACGATGCCAGGAAGTGTTCAAAGAGTTTTATTTATCTAAGCATAAGGGCAGACGACTGATGTGGCAGAACTCACTGGGACACAGTGTTGTCAAGGCATACTTCACATCGGTAAGGGGATCACTGTCATCATATGGAATGCTTATTGCGGTCTGGATAACCACATTAATGCTGATCAGTATACCCCGTTCGCTTTCTTTTCTCGAGCAGGGCACCAAAGAGCTGCAGCTTAGTTTGTTCCAAGCCATCATTTTGCTATTGTTCAACGATGTGGGCGACTCTGCACTGTCATACAAGGACATCGGGCAGCTATCTAACATTGGTAAAATACGATGCATGATGCGATGGCCTTTCCGAGCAAACCATGCACGCGTATTAATGAACAGTACATGATTGACACTTTTCTTTATCTTCAAACTACTCACACATTAGAAACCAAGGAACTGAGTCGAACGCTGCAGTCACTGGCCTGTGGAAAGTATCGCGTCCTTGTAAAGCATCCAAAGTCCAAGGACGTCTCGGAGACGGATGAGTTCACGTTCAACAAAGACTTTACTGCCTCACTGACAAGGATAAAGATCAACGCGATCCAGCTCAAGGAGACACAGGAGGAGAACGCGTCGACGAATGAACGCATCTTCCAGGACAGACAGTTCCAGGTTGATGCAGCGATCGTCAGGATCATGAAGACACGAAAGCAGCTATCGCACACATTGCTCATCAGCGAGTTGTTCGACCAATTGAAGTTTGCCATTAAGGTATACAAGTGCAACCTGTAACATGTAGCTGGGGACTGATATTTATTGGTAGTAGGAATGGATGGATGGCTAATAGCCTTCCGCTTCTCTTTCTTTCTATAGCCTTCGGATTTGAAGAAGCGGATCGAAAGTCTTATCGATCGCGACTACCTGGAGCGCGATAAGAATGATCAGAGTCTTTATAAATATGTGGCATAAAGCTGCAGGGACCTCCTCCTCTAGTTACCGAGGCACCTATTTTTTGCACAATCATGTACATCGACACCGTTGGCGTATCTCACCCAACCTGTATTTTGAATTGAAAGGCAGAGAGAAAAAATAAAGAAAGAAAAACCATTCATGTTGCCGAAATAGCAAAAAAATCGGCGCATTGTTGTTCTCAGCTTCAGTTCTGGCGTGCAGCTGTCTGTAGCTTTGCGGCGTTGGTGTCGTCGCGGCTGCCCTTGAGGAATGGCATCAGATCACTTCCGCCTGTTCCTTTAATTGAGGGTTCTGCTTGATCCTCTTCGTTCCGGTTCTCTTCCTTTTTGGGTAGTTCCTTGCTGACCTGGACACGATAGTCCTCCCATCCCTCTGGTGGGTCTCTCTTAGCTTGGGTCATAACGTAGCGGGTCACGACCTGGATATGGGTATCTCGGAACAGCTTGATCTGGTGCACACAGGCATCATAGGTAGCGATCAGCTCCTTCGTCTGCTCGTCTGCTTGCTCCGAGTCGACTTTGGAACGTACATAGGCACGCAAGTTGGTAACCTTGGCAAGATGGTCCAAAAAGTCGCGATGAGGACCTGGCATGAAGTTCTTCATCTTGAGCATTAAGGCGTTGGGTGTCTTGGTTTCGGCCGAGGAACCCGGCTCATGGTGATCGATGCCAAAGATGAGATCGAGAGCTGGGAAGAGAGAAGTCTGGCCGCCAGTGCTGCCCATGAGATGTTTGCGCTCGTTGTTGTTCACACCCTTGTACTCGAGACCGTTGGGCAGACCGAGTCCGGCCGCGTTTTCGGAGCCGGACAGATACTTGCGAATCTTCCAGTAGAAGACAGCGGGATCGCATTTTTCAAACATGCGTGCTGAGGATGATGTAGCGAATGGTTATTAGTGATGGGTATGAAAGAAATACGGATACAGATTGTCGATACTGCTGCAAAGGATGGGCTCTGTAAACTCACCCAACAGCTTGCCGACCGGTTCCAATCGGGTCAGGGCAGCCTTGAGATTTACTGTGGTGGCCACGACGTCGTCTTTGCGGGCAGCGTGCATGGCGTTGAGCAGGAACTGCAATGCTGCACCACCTTCAGCCTCGATTGCTATGGAAACGATAAGGAACCATGTCTCGTCGGATGTTCCTGTCATCGTCGACAGCGCATCGAGGTTTCTTTCCATCCAAGGATAAACAAGTTGGGTTCAAAAAGCGTTAGTTCTGAGGGACCTTTTCTTTTTGCGCAGTACTAAATGAGAAAGGAAAAGTTGATTGCATGTGTATACTCGATAGCATGGGTCCCTTGAGGATCCTTCAGCTTCCAGTTCCAGAGATTGCTGGAGGCATAAGTCAGGACCGGATAGATCTCGACCAGGTCTGCGGCTGCTTGCCAGGGAACAGCCAGGGGAGCTGGAATGGACTGATACACCAAAAGAAATAAGTAAGCATACAGGTAATCTATTTCATTCGATGCATACATGCACAAACAACAATGAGGGTGATTCAAAGTATATGTACTTGGGCAATATCTAGACCGCTGCCCCAGACATATGAATGGGCCATGATGCTCAGTAGGACGTATGCACGCTTATGCTCGGCTTTTGTCTCCAGACGACTAACATCCAGCAGTGGCAGCTGCCGATAAAATATAAAAATGGTGTTTAGCGATTCAATCTCGTCCTGTTTACTATGATAATCTACTACCTCCGTTTTACCTGGTCGACACGAGCTCGGAGCTGTCTTGAATCAATCAATACGTTTAATTGATCCATAATCTCTTCCCAGGGCGCGAAATAGGGCTGTGTCAATCGAGCGAGTGGCTGTGGGTATGGGACAAATCCCGTCTTAGGGGATACATCATAATCTTCTAGGACTGGCAAGGGAATCGCATCTTGAGGAGGATGAGGGGTGTTAGCGGCGAGCATAGCGGTGGTGGAGTGAATTTTTTTTTTTCTTTAGTTATCCAAGCTTGAGGTCTAAGACGAAGATCAAGGTTAAAAGCGGTGGTTCTTGAGTTGGGAAGAGAGCAGAGGTGAAGAGAAAAAAAAAGAAGAGAGGCGAGAAATGGAACGACTTGGATGCGATGCTTTATTTCCCGAGAATCAGAGTTTGCAAAAGCTCTAGACACACAAAGTGGGAGCCAGGAGTGCTTTGTACACAAAGGGTTTGTTCGTCAGTGCTACGGCTTTCCCTGTCCATTGCCGAAAAGTCGATAAACTTTGTTGTGTTCTTAGATAGAGTATCCACAATTTGTCATCCTACGCCGAAGGAAGGCCATGGAAGGTAGGAGGCCACCGAGAGGAGGACGCCACGACGTCAGAGTCCTCGAGAAAGCTTAAGACGATGAGTCTACGACGATGCCTTGGCGGATGTGTAGTGTGCCACTGCGGTACTGCCCTTCCTTTGAAGTCCAAGGACGCGCTCAATCGATCGGCCATGGAGCGGACTTGCCAATTTTAGATTAGCGGGGTGAACCAGTGTAACAGCACTCGGACACTCTCTCCGGCTCCTCTCTCTGCACTCCTTCTCCCCTCCTTCCGCCTCCCTCAGTCAAAGGACGCGTCGTCTTCCTTATTCTTGGCCAGAGGACACTTCCTTGAGCGAGTCAACAATGCCTCGGCGGTCCCTCGGAGTCTGTGATTGGATTGGCCAGTTCAATTGCTCCAAACCTATCAGCTTCAGCAGCTTCACTGCCGCCGTGGCACTGCAATTGCAGCGGTGCGCCATACGCAGTGCCTGTTGTACGTAGCAGACTGTCTTCTTCCCCCTCTCCTCTTCGTCCTCGCTTTCTTGCCGACCCCATTGCTCCATTTGCAGTCGACAAGTTATGTCCATTGCCCATTTGTGCGCTGTCTCGATCAGTTGATTCTCTGTGGCTGGTCCTCGGATAACTTTCTCGCGTGGATCCAAACTCAGTCGGCTCTCATTTGCTCCAACGGAACAACATTTTTGTAAGCTGGCTGCAGCCCACTCTCCTTTCACACCTCCTTCCTCCGTCCTCGTCTTCCTCGTCTTCTTCGATGCATCCCACCTCGACTGCTATAACTCACCCTTACCGCCCTTGTTCACATAACACCAGCCTAGACGCGCTCAATTGCAACGTCCTCGCGAAGGAGCCCTTTTGACGCATGCAGATTCGTCCAACATCGGTTCATCATCCTTGAGGGCGATCCCACTTCTTTTTTTTTTTTTTTTTTTTTTTTTCTTAGACTGCAAGGAACCAAGGTAGGCCAGTTGTGCATAGTTACGAGGTATGCGTGAACGAAGAGGACGATCCGAAGTAAGGTTGCCATTGGCGGCGATCGAGCTTTTCTAACAAGACGGATGCTTTGAATCTCTAGGACAGATCGCGGGAGACAGAATTGCTCGATCAAACAGACGTTACCATGCAGACCCCAGGAATGTACACCGCCGAAGGAAACAACGCGAACGGATTCGCCATTCCAAAGCGCTCTCGCCGCCTGTCGCAGGACTCCGCTTCACTGTCGACCCGCCAGACCGACTTGGGAATGCAGTTGGACAGGGATTTAATCATGGCGGAAGAGCATTCGCGACATGCAGACGGCGGATCAGATGCAGCTGTTGATGAGAAGAGGCCAAGGGCACGGCGCTCATCGAACGAGAGTCGAAATGCAGAATCCAGTGGTCCAATGAATCCTCCTTCTGCGACTCGGCACCATCGAGGATCCTCCAACAGCAATGAATGCAAGGATGCAGCGGCTTCCGCACGGCACTATGGCCCCTATCGCTCCACTCTGGATTTGGACAGGAGGACAAGTCAGAAGCCGCTTCCACCACGCCTTTCCGGACATGGCAGATCATCATCGAGCGACATCCATCCGACCCCACTCTTGCCCGTGTCCAATAACACGATCCCCTCTCCACTGGCAAGCCCCATCACCGCAACTGCACACTCGTTAACAGCCCTCAGCATCTCTCAGAACTCAGCCCACAATACCTATTCTGGCCGAAATCTGTCAAGGATTACAGTTCCACGAGAAAGAAAGACGCGGCCTTGTTCGATTGCATCCACGGACACCTTGCTGGCGCAGGAGCGCGCACGAAGCAGTCAAAGCGAGGACTGCCATCAGAACCAACCAGGCAGGCTGTCAGACCCTGAAACTACAACGAGACAGGGGCATGTATCGACCAAGCACTCCTCGAAGGCAGATTCGAGAAACGGTGCTGGATCGTCAAGCACAGGAAACCCCATAGACTTCAAATTGCCGACACTGAAACCCGCTGCTCAACTTCGTGTCAACTTATACAATCTCGTCTCGACTGGTTATCTTCCTGCAGATACTCTGGCCGTCTTTCGTGAACATAGCGCAATTGTAACCGCCAAGGGAACGCTCATCCCTCAGTTCAAGGAGCCGGATGCGATGACTCTCTATCCATGGCTGCAGGCCGAGTATGAGACACCGAGTGCATGGGCGACAGCGATGGTAAAGGGTGGCAGGACAGGCAAAGTGGCAGTCAATGGATGGTCTGCTATCAAGATCCCGATTCAACATGTTCCGGAGCTTAACAAAATGTTTGAGGGCCAGGGTTTGACAGAGGTCTCGCTGGACGTCCTGCGGAAGCGATACTTGGCTGACATGACAGAGGAGGACTCTGCACATGCAGAGGGCGCCTCGGCAGTGTCAAGCACAACCAAAGGTACTTTTGTAGGCCAAAAAAAAAGGAATTCTTTAATTGAACTCGTTATCCATTCCTCATAGCACTGACATTACAATTGTTTACAACCTAATAGACACCGCAGCAATGGATAGAAAGAAGCGAAAGCGGCACGTGGCGGCAACGACAGAGGCAGCAGGCTTGAGAATCTCGACGGAGACCGGTACAGCTACACAGAAAGGCAGGGCAGGGACAACTCGGCCAAGAAAGAGAACCATGTCGGATCTTTCTGGGATGGTCAGCTCTGATTTGTTCAAGGATAGTCAGCTGCATTTGGAAGCAGCCGGGGCGCTCTTCGCCATGCAGGATCCCTTCTCATCACCCGCGCTGGATTCGTCCGGTCATCACCAGAAGAACAGTCAGGGTGGACGACAAAAGTCGCTTTGGCGCAAGCATGCTATACTGCTGGATAGCTTGGCAAGGCATCGACAGGAAAAGGGATTGTTGTGGTCACATGCACCTCGTCCATCGGCATTGCATATGATCAAGACGCTGTCTTCGGTACCAGCCATTGTCCCTTTGGGTTTGACGTCCAGCAATGAGCATAATGAATTCTGCAGTCTGTGCAGTGCATCAGGTAGTGTCATCAACTCAAGCAGTGGACTATCGACGCAAATCACGGCCGACTACCGATTGGGACCGGCCGCACATGGAGAACTTCACGAGCGAGACACCCTGAGACGATGCTCCGACTGTAAAAAGTGCTATCACCTCGACTGTATCGCCTCCAACATTGCTACGGACGGGCATCCATCTTTACGGGCAGAGGATCCATGGCAATGTCCGCGATGCATGACCTGCAGCTTTTGTCAAAACCCGATACACGAGAGTCCCAGCTCATCCACGGTCAAGGAAACAGCATCGACACAATCGATATCGACAGCTGATTCAGGGGATATCCAAGTTTTGTCGTGCGATGTGTGTCATCAGTTCACCCACTTGCAGTGTCAGCTTGTACTAGAACCACCGTTGAAGGATACTATCCAATCCAACTTCTACCGAAACAGGATTGAGTGGGTCTGCCTGGCATGTCGAGAATGTGTAGAATGTGGATATCGAGTACCAGCGGCGGCTAGTACCAATGTGGCGGACGAGGACTCGATGGCGGACTCGGAAGCCAAGGAAGCGAGCATTGTCAACGGTCGGTGGTCAAATGGATCAATACTGTGTCCCTCCTGTACAGTTCTGGCGGAAAAGGGCAATATCTGTCCTCTCTGCTGTCGTATCTACCAGGATGACGATTACGAAACGCCAATGATTTTTTGTGACGGATGTTCACTATGGGTTCATGTCGCCTGCGACAAGGGACTTCAGGACCGTGACTACGAGGAGCTGGGCGAGGACTCAAGGCAGTATTTCTGTCCGTCCTGTATACCCACACCCATTCCCTCCCCAACACACTCGTCATCGTCGTCAATGTACTCTGTAGTCAACTCGGTTGAGCAGAGTCCTTGGCAGGAGCCTTACAGCCATCAATCTCATCGTGGAGGTGGCACAATCGACCATAGCAGAGATGCGTCTTCGGGTACAGATGAAGACTGGCACCATCGTGGAAGGAAGAAGAAAGACGATATTCTGGATTTGATCAAAGCAGCCAAGGAGATTTCGGACTCGGAATCGCAAGCCAACTCGCCCTACAATTCCTACAGCCCAATGTTTCCGTCAACACACTCAAGGACAATGTCGGCTTCACTGGAATCGGTCGCTGAGGTTGCTGCAGCAGAAGCTTTATTGACAATTTTCAGTGGTGCGAGCACGCCAGTCAGCTCGACGCCTTACACATCCTACCCGCCATCACCTTTCGAGCCAACTTTCAATTCTTTCAATGGAATTTACGATCGCCAGTATTCTGCTATCGGCAGCCCTCAGGATCTCCCAATGCTTATGCGGTCCATGGCTTTTACTCCGTCGTCATCAGATCAGGAAATATCGAATTTATTAGCACGGGAATGTCAGGGGACGGCGAGCTGCCGATGTCAACGGCATAGGGACATTAAGTATGTGGAGGACTATTTCAATAGTCAACCACATTCTCGCCCAACTGTTCCATACAATCAAATCGGACAAGAACTCGAGGTGTCCGAGGCCAAGTTGAGCCAGCCATTGCAGCAGGCCACAATTGCCGACTTGGGTGATATCATCATGGAGGAGGCTGAGAGTCCAGGAGAGTCATTACAGCAGGGTATGGATTCAGGCATGAATGAACGAAAGACACTGGCAGTAGCGAATATCGATAAACAAGAGAACTCTGGTACATCGACGGCAGGCACGCCGCTGTCACGGCGGGGACATGCTTCGGCCAAGGATTTGGAGACTGAGGAAGGCGTTCCACGGAGGTCTCGAGTAGAAATCGATACAGTGATCAACTCCGCGGTGCATGAAGGAAGTTCGCGAAAGGACAACTCATAGTGCATAAGCTATATACAATTCTAGCCAGATAGCATTATAATAAGCGCTCATACAATCTCCTAGAGTGCTTTATGGGCTACATCATCGAAGAAGTCCAATCTTTGGGAGTCAAAAAGGAGTTTACTTCATGAATATGGGTCTGGAACTGTGGAGACAAGAAGGCGCATGAACGACAATGATCTCATCGATCCAGTTCATCTAGAAGTTAGTATGAATATTTCTATAAACATCAGTACAAAAGGGAACGGAAATGCAAGTGTTTGCTTAGATATGTTGTGTTGCCCCATAAAAGCATCAACTACACGCAATGATTCGTCGTACACTTCTCGTCGGTTACTTAGTTCCCTCGCCGCGCTGAGAATTTCATGCGGGTCCTGATTTACAGACAACTGCTGCCACTTGATGAACTTCGACAAACAAATTCTCGCTCTTGTGCCTGTGCTGGATCTCTCACCAGAACTGAGTGGTCCCTTGCATCCTCCTGAGGTCCGGCACTGCGAACGGGCGTGACGGGATTACCCTATCCGACTCCTCAAGTATATTGTAGTATTTGTAAGACCTCATTGGATCCAGGAGATTTCCTTGTAAGTGTGCTTTGCCTCTGGGAGCTTTCATCGTTCCTGTCAGTGCTTCAACTTAATTCTATTCGATATTCGTATGTAGTCAGTGTTCACAGACTCTGGCTCCAGGCCCGATTCTCCTTTTTTTTTTTTACTTTGTTTTACTCAATCAGCAACGCGTCGTATTTCACCGTAAACTTATTTTGATTAGAGTTTTTGTTGACGCGTAGAAACAATATTACAGCCGGTCACAATTTAACAGTGCTGCGCTTCAGCGTCAACAATCCGAAAATGCTTACTTGAATGAGTCTTAACAGATATGGTGGGGAGAACAAACATCAAAGGATCAAAAAGCAACGTCGCTGTAAACGTTTGGCTGCCACAAGCCAGTGGTTACAGAGTCAACGCCCTGCATTGAAGATTGAAATGTCCAGCTTTGATTATGTTTGGTAGTATTTTATATAGCTGAAAAAAATAATAATGCGTTGAATGCATCTTTCGATTCTATTCCATTGAAAATCTTGTTCAAACGCGTTGTGCTCTGTCTGAAATCGTTGGGTTCTGCTTTTCCGTCCGTAGGTACGCCTGGAGGGCATCATCATTAATTGCTACGGTAAAGGTCGAACATTACTCTTGTTTGAGGGCAAGAGTCGAAATCGCAATGTTCGACCGGAGGCGCAAGAGAAAAAATGGAGAGCAATTGCCCATAGAAAGGCAGTGCGCGCCGTGGGGGGTGGTCCAACGACACCTGGGGAAGAAAGACATTGCTTGCCTCATGCGGACATGCCACCAATTGAACATATGGTGTGCCCCCTTCCTCTATCAAACACTCCAAGGGAATGACGACTATCGCATCATGGACTTGACTGATTCTCTGAAGGCCTTTGCCAGGAACTCCCACCATGTGGAAAAGCTCCACACAAGGACCCCCTTCATGTCCCTTCTCTACAATTGCCTGCTCGCTTACCAGGTACTCTACCCTCCACCATTGGATCAAGCACTCCCTGCTTGGCTCCCTCGACTTGACAACACTCTGTCCGACCGCAGCATGATCATCCCATCCCTCCAATGACCAGTCTTTTGGCATTCACCTACGACCCCCTGCACGACTCCCGTAGGGATCACTCAACGTTCATGCTGGCCTGCAAACTCACTACTGTCCGTCAGGCTCAAGTCTATGGAATCCTTCACTATTCTCCTCAAGTGGAAAGCCTCTTCTTGAATATCGCTATTGACGGTCTAAGGGACACTCAACTCTTGGCAGCAGCCGTTTCCAAGATGGTGAATCTTCAGTCGTTGTCTGTTCAAACCCTCGGGTTCGATTGGCCAGAGTCAAGGTTCATGCCGACCATCGTCGCATGCTGCCCGCCTCTCTCATAGCGCTCGATATCTGGCTTCACATAATGGATATGGAGAATCGTTACGTAAGTGAGGATCAGAAAACTGAGGAAGAGGAGGAAGCCGAAGCGGAGGCTGTCAGGCACTTTACGCCTTTATTCGGGGAGGAGAATGGAGTGTCCGTCGCGCCGAGGCAAGGACAGCTTGGCCGACTTTTCCGACTGGGTGTTACAGATCTTACTTCTCTTACTGTCGAGTAGATCTTCCTGGTCTTCAAGCAATGCCCAAATCTCACCGACTTCTTCAGTCTAGTGCTCAGCCAAGACGTTGATCCTTTGGATGTCGCAAAGTACATTGACGAGCACCGCCCAAAAGTGAATCGCCTGGTACGTAATAGCAGGTATCGCAATCTCCAGTTGATCATGGATGTCATGAACACCTTGCCCACCCACACTGTCCAAATCCTCATTTGCTTCTGGTTTAACGAATCTTCAACTGACCTGGCCTCCCATCTCTTGAGGCACTCGGCCTCGCTCCGCGAGGTTTATTTGGAGCAGTGCCAAGAATTCAACAACAAGGCCATCCAGTCGATCCTCGTTCACTGTCAAGCACTCGAGGCCTTCAGCCTCAAGTCCAGCGCAGCATGGAAAATCAAGTTTGATCTTGCCGACGCCATAGAGTTTCCATGGGCCTCCACCTGTCTCGAGGATTTGCGCCTGCTGATCGCCATGGACTACATCGAACCCACACCTGAAGGACCTTTCTACAAACGTCTGCCGCCAATCAATATCACTGCTGCCGAGTACAGCCAGACGGTCATGCTCGAGAAACTATACCGCCAAATCAGCCGCCTCGTCAACTTGGACAAGCTTGTTCTGAGGCTCATCGTTTGCAAGCACCCAACCGACATTGCTTCATACACCGAAATCTCGTTCCCTGGCATGCTCTCACTTCCCGTGAAGACTCTGATCGATTTGGATACCTGCATCTCTTGGCGGGCCTCAAGAAACTCCGCCTACTGCACAGAGTCATCATGGCGCGCAGCGACGAGACCGTCAAGTTGATAGGACCGCCTGAAGTTGAATGGATTGTCCAGAACTGGCCGTCACTGGAAGATGTCAAATTCTTTCATAATCCGGAACCAGGGCAACCTGCACCTCCACCGAAGTCGTCCTGCTTTCAGTGGCTCCACGAGCAAATGCCTCGTCTCAAGATGGACTTCAAACGGAAGGAGGCAAACCGGGGTATTTAAACAAATTAGCCCTACTCCTTTCTCGTTTATCGCTTGTTGAATGCCTTGTTGAATGGATGTTTATGGAATGTTTAAGGTTTGTTGAATAATTTTTATTGGAATCTAAATGGATCAACAAGCGTTCAACAAGCATTGAAGAAGGAATAGTCTAGCAAGCGATAAGATCTCGATGGCCCTTTCTTGATGCAAAATTCCTTCTTGCTTCGCCCAAAAATAAATTTCCTCCACATCCACTACTGCCAAACACCCTTCATCCTTGCACATTCACTGCTTGGCCCTTATCACTCAAAGCCATTTCCTTCGCTCCTCCCCCAACCACTATATCCCTCTTACAATGACTACTGAGGACATGGATGCAACGTGTAACCAAGCGTATGTGAAGTGTGCCTTTGTTACTTTTTACATCGATATTGGTCCCCATGCTGACTCGACACGAATCTATCGAATCTATAATCCTGCTGCTGGATCTGTCTGAGCACCTCGAACATGCAGAACATGCATATGCGGTCAAACTGGCCAGTCCAGAATTACCTCCAGGGACTGCTCTGATAAGCCCAATAACGCGCCCGAAAGGTAAATTCTTTTTTTGTTTTTTTTTTTTCTTTTTCTTTTTATTTTTTTTAAAGAGGTGGACTTACAGATAGTCTGAACTAACCGCTGAGTACTTCTCACCATGCGCGCTGATTTAATTACCGCCTACAATCGCCGGCATAGCACATTGGATTTATATGTGCTACGCATCGGCCGACTGAGTGCTATGCAGTCCCAAACTTTGCGAGCAACGTGGATCGCGATCGTTATTATTTGCATCTTTTGCTCCTGCATGTTAGAGGATCGACCAGCTTCAAACACTGGCGAGCTTTATACCACTTACTGGGAGGCCGCCAGTGCGCGCGGATTGCTGGATGATGACTGAATGGCACCGGTGTCTTCAGGAGGTTGCAGGCCAGCAAAGCCCTGCGGCCTTACGCCATCTTTTTGCCATAGTTCTACATCTATGCAGCCCATCCAATACTTTCGAATTATGGGAAGAGTTCGCTGATGATCTATCTCAGGAATTTTTTATATGTTGCTGAAGATCGCTCGACTGATGAAGAGGATGCCAAGCGCACTGCGCTGTTCCGCGTCACCGAAATTTTGAAGGGAGCTGGGACCAGTCTGGCGGTCTATGAAGAGATGCCTCGAGACTTTCGCAACCTCATCGATCGCCAGCCCAACAATGATGAACTTGGACAGCATGCAGAGCTCGACGCTGAGGCAGTTGCGGCTAAGGTAGCTCATGACTTGGATTTCTGCAACGACGATCAAAAAGCGCTGTACGCTGCAATCACAGCAGCGCTGAATAACATGAATGAAGGCGCGGCGAATGTGTTCTTTATTGATGGACCAGGAGGAACGGACAAGTCTTTTTTGTACAACACTTTGATTGCCCACATCCAAGGAAGGCGCGAGAAGGATGTGATCGTAGTTGCGTCATCTGGAATTGCTGCTCAGGTCTTGACAGGAAGTCGCACAGCCCATTAGACTTTCAAAATCCCCCTACAGGTCATGGAAAGCTCAATGTGCAATAATCCTCCAGGCATGCCTCCCCACGAGTTGTTGCTGAAGGTAGGTCAGCCCATCATTCTCCTTCGGAATATGGACGGGAAATCCGGTCTCTGCAGTGGTGCCCGTGTGATTGTTCGAGCACTCCGTTGGAGATACATCAGTACAGAGATCCTTAATGGTCACCTCAAGAGATGGACAGTGCTTATTCTACGCATACCTCTCACGACCCTGGACGACGGATCTATGCCAAGCAAGTTCACTAGGCGCCAGTTTCCTGTCAAGCCTGCGTTTGCCATGACCATTAACAAGGTGCAAAGACAAACACTTGCTCACGTTGATGTTTACCCTCCTCACCACGTCTTTGGTGCTGGGCAATTGTATGTCGGCTTCTCGCGTTGCAAACACCGAGACAACTTCAAGGTCCTGCTCGAAAATGGTGCCATAGATGGAAGGGAGGGCGTTTATACCTGAAATATCGTATGTAGAAATCTACTGAACGTCCAATAAAGCTTATTTATTTTTTTGTCTCAGTGTGCCACGGGCAGTTCTACTACTAGAAAATAAAATGAAGAGAACAATGGGCTTAATCTCAGCTGATCGTAGCTCAGTGTACATGCTGGCTCACATAGCAGAATCTTCTTGTCTTTTGTCTATTCTCAACAAAACTCTTCCTGCCACCTTTTTCCACACAACACACGCAATTCTCCACTTCAGACGTATTTTGCAATGGCCAGCCAGGACGAATATGACAACTATTTCCCTTTTGGCGAGGATGAAGACGAGGACGACAGCGACAACAACTATAGTGGGCCTTCTGCAAGACGATCACCTGTAAGTCTGTAACTCGATATTTTCCAAATGCTGCCCAAAATCTGCTGGCCCTAAACTTATTGCTAACGCGTCTTTTGCGCGCCTCATTGCTTCTGTAGGCTCTCCTGACCCGACGCTATCAGAGTACACGTAGAGAAGGTTTATAGTACTCCGACCACAACAGTCTTATACAAGACCAACTTTGTGGTGGGTCATATGAAGTCTTGGACACGCCAGCGGATGTGGAAATCACAACACAGCAATCGCCGGAAGCGTCTGCAAGGAGCGAGGCCAATATCTATGCTACGTCCTACCGCGGCAAAAGAGGGCCTCCCAAAACTCTTTCTCCTCCCCTTGCAGAACAGCGGCAACCGCCTTTAAATGTCAGTTCAGCAAGGTTTCACCGTTCAATTTCATCTCTTCATCTCCTCGGTTCACCCTCCTCTTCCGCGCAATCCGGTACACCACGAATCCCACAGTTGCTTCGGCAAGGACACATTCATCAACAGCGCGCACTGCAGCCCAATCCACTGTCGCTTCAGCATGGTTAATTACATGTAAGCTTCAGTCGTTATCGGGAGTTCCAAGCTTCCTCCAGTTCTGCCTCCACAAGGACCTCATCCGACACTGCACAGCGTAGACGTGTGCATAGCACTCTTCCCAATTCATTCACTCAACGCATGGTCTACCAAGCACCTGCATCGCCCTCCCGTTCGCGCGTGCCTTCTCTATCATCCCGCAACCTCACCAATGCTTCACTCTTTGTCAGCTCTCCCTGCAGCAAATTCTTTGGAGCAGCACCGACGTGACGTACGAGACGGTCGTAGTGCGCCAGACGGATGGTATCGGTTATATGGCTCCCTCGAACTTAGCACCATACCCAAGCCTGAACAATGCGACGACGCTCCTCCGCCACAAAGACTGTTAGCAAAGATCTTAAGACCGAAGTCCTCGCGCAAGAACACCCAGTCAGTTCTTTGATGATTCGAATACTTCCTCAAGTTTGACCACCACATGAGCCTGGCCATTGTTCCTGATCAAAGTCTGGATGCGAGCCGCGAGTGCAAAGTCCAATATCCGTTCATGAAAGAAGCAGTTATGGAGTGGTTCCTGAACAAAATATAGCGGAAGCGGTCAGAACGCTGTGCTCTTAAACTTTATTTTGCATTGGCCAACCGTGCGGGCCTTACCTCGCGTGCACACAATCTATTTGCCGCTCCCACTGTTACTATGCGTTGGTGCAATAGTGTGAAGGCACCGACAGGAAAGTCTTGAGGTAGTTGCCGTGTCGGAAGCGTGCGACGGAGTCCAACGCGCTAAGCGGGGCGAGTGTCCCTATGGGATACCCTATCAGCTCGGGGAGGGCGAAGTGATGTGAGGGATGAGAAGATGAGTATGAGTATGAGTATGGAGAGACTGAGGGAGGGAGGACCAGGGCTGATTCCAGCAGACATGAGCCCCCTTTGATACCTGGATTGCAGGCAGACTTGATTTCCACCTCGATTGCACGGACCAATAAAAGAATCTGCTTCTGCAGGCACCATGGATACGCGTTTTTGAGGATGGACGCGACGTGACGCGGCGAGCGAGTTTTTTTTTTATTTTTGTTTCTGTGAGAATGGATCATAGACGGATGGTTGGATAAAGGACATAAATGAGCAGGGTGTTTGGTGGGTGCTGGTTGAGCATCGGCCAAATTCTACTTTGCTTCAGGTGACATACTTTTTTTTTTTTTTTTTTTTTTCATTCTGGATCAAAGCGGACTATCCGAAAAAAAAATCCTTTGCCTCACTCCCCCACGGTCTTACTCTTTCACTTTACACCACTTTTTTTATCCCTCACTTTCAACTTCATTGCTACACCTTTCCTTTCCATCAATTTCCTCTCACAAGTCCTGATACGATAATCAAGCGAAAGCAGAACAAGGCGCCAAACAGACCGGTTACAGAAGTATATTGCGCACAACTCATCTCCTTCGACCAGAAAACATGGACAATCAAGTCTTCTCCCAGCCAGGACCAACAACCCTCATTCCTCCGAGACGCCTCTCTCTCAATGGAAACCACGACCGTGGCCACCAAAGACATTACATCTCAACCCTGGGCACCAACGACCTCATCTTTCCCGAAGCCACCCCCACCGACAACGCCGTGAAAACATACTACTCCGGAGGGGCAGGTTTAGCACAAGAGGACCAAAGAGAGCGACCTGTCCGGCGACATTCAGTCTCAACAATTCCACCGCGACATGCAATTCATATGCCGGTGATGAAAATCGACCCGTCCCTATGGCGCAAAGAGCAACATCAACGAGAGATTTATCGGTTATTGCATGAAGACCGCGAGGAGGGGTGGATGAAGCGGAGGGGGGTTAAGAATGTGATGGATACGATGGAGGAGGAGCCCGAAGATGCGAGCGAGGCTATGACGGGCGTGGTTGTTAATGCGGATACGGGCGGGTTCAGATCTCTATCTGACGAGCGTGAGAAGGTATGTATTGTCGATAATTATTGGTGTTTTTGAGGGAGGGGAAAAAATGAGGCGAAACTAACGTATTGCGTATTATGCATGATGTGCGTGAAATAGGAATTGATTCGTCAACAGGTTCGACAGGAATGGGCAAAGCTGGTGGAGGAGCAGACGAAAGAATACGAGATGATGTTACAGCAGGCAGCGGCTGCATCCGCTGCAAAAGCACAGGAGCGAGAGCTTGTTCGACGGAATTCGTGGCCGAGACAACTGGGACAGCAACAGGTGCAATTGAAGATGCCTAGTCAGGTGTTACACCCGACCATGACGTCGATGGATCCTTTACAGCAACAAGTGCAGATGCCGTTCCAACCACCGGCACCGGGTCAACAGCAGGATCAACATGTTGCGAGTATGATGGGACCGTTGTCGAATCCGAACGCGTGGTCGGCTGCACCATTGTATGCATTGAACACGCGTCGACCGTCCTTTACGGAGTATCGAGGGTGAGGATGAGAGGGTGGTATATGGAGATCGCGGTGGACACCTTTTTTTTTTTTTTGCTGTGCATGGTCATCTTTATTGCTCGCAACTTTCCATTATCATTAGTTTGTGAATAAACTAACAAGAAAATATGATTTTCTGGCAATGCGTCTGCTTTTTAGTGTAAATTTCTTTTTACTAGAGAAAGACTAGACAGAAACGAGACGCGTGTCTTTTATATTCATTTGTCGAAGGTTGTTCCTGATCATTTACCACAAACAAACAAGAGCCCTCCCCGGCCGTTGAAAAAGAAAAAAAGGAAAGAGAGCAGCTCCTCCACTTTTTTTTATTTTGTTTGTGTTGCCCGGTTGCTTTTGTTTGCGCCTCGTTTTTATTGCACTTGCTTTGACTGTGGTATGTATGTATGTATGTACAATGGACTATTGCATATGGGCCTCCATCTCCGTACGCTCCCCTCCTCCTTCACCCCTGTCTCGGATCCGTCCTTTGGTCTCCTATCTCTTTAGTCTACTTGAGCACCGCGTGTGCTGGCGCTCATGGCTCTCACTATTAGCTTTTTTGTTGTTTGAGTTGTCAGTCTGTTTACACAAGCGCCCACACTCTTTTTTTTTTTTTTTAAAAAAAAAGCACCGTGGATAGGACAGAAGAAAGGGGGGAGACATTTTTGGAATTGCAAATTGCCGTGCGGAAAAGGTGCAATGTACCATGTATGTAATCACGGTAGCGTTTATAGGGTGTTTCCGTCGACTTTGATCCATGGGATGAGTGTCGATATATGAATGTGTGTCTCTGATGGTACAGTTACGAGGTATAACAGGGCACCTCCGTGTTATATTGGGTGTAACACATGTACTCATGTTTTCTTCGAGAAGAGATACGATTTCCCGCTGGATCGATAATAAGCAGGATATGCCCTTGTACCCTTTGTGTTCAATTGAGACCGACGCACATCTTCGTTATTTTCGGTGTGGTGGATTGAGGCGGATGCAGCTGTGGAAGCGATCGATAATAGTCTATGTATCTACTGCAGACGGAGGGTGTAAAGTGTGTGTGTGCCTGGATTCGTTTGGGGCGGACGGGGGGGACGGGGGGGGAGGGTTCTGGGCTGGTATCCAGTGGCCAACATGACCCATGTTTTCTAATTGAAAGGTGTGAAACCGAGAGACCAGCGTCTGCGTGCGCTCTCGTCTCTTTTGTCTCCTCGCTGATTCCATTCCATTCCTCATTCGCATCCTCCTTTGCCTTCTCATCGTCCTTCTTCTTCCCCTTCCTCCTCCTCCATCCCCATCTCTTCCTCCTTCCTCCCTCCCCGTCTCCTCCTCCGTCCTCTCCTTCTTCGCTAGCACTTCCTCTTCCCTCTATCCTCCTCCCTTTCCTCCCCTGCCCTTCCCTGACCATCCTCTCCCTCGTCCTCCTCGTCCTCGTCCTCTTCACGTCCAACGCCCCTGTCCACAGCCGCCTTTTTCTCTTTTTCTTACACTCATAGCTCTCATTCATCCCCTGTCTTACCTTTCCTCTCCCTCGCCCCCTCTTTTTCTTCCTTGAACGTGTTCCATCCCAGCTCCTTCTTTAGACATATCCTGTCCGCCGCTTTTAACCTTTTCTTCACGCCCTCCTGTTCCTGAACTCATCTCATTCCTGTGGTTTGTCATTCCTCCTCTTCTCTTTCTTCTTTTTCTTTTTCCTTTTCTTCCTTCTTCCCTTTCCTTCCCACACTCGACCCACCCACGCGACATAGAAACATCGCACGCTTCCATCCCCTCCTTCGTCGTATCCGTCCTTTTCTTCTTACGAACCAATCGCACCAGCAGACACCTCGTCTTGCACCCTCAATTTTACCTCTCCCCCCCCACCCCCTTCTTTTCGCTTTTCTTTCTTCAACCGACAGCGGTTGTGGTTCTCTTCACGTTAAACCCTATCCTGCCCTGTTCTTCCCATCCATCCTTTACCCGCCAAAACATCATCTACAACAACGACAGCATCCCGGGAAATAAGAACAATCTACTCTATTCATTTCATCGAACCTAGAACCTGAACACCCCTTTGGTTTCTTTTTTCTTTTCCTGCCCTCTTCACGACTCCGCCAACTTCCCAGCAAACAAACAAGAAAAATGGCGCTTACGACACAACAAAACCAACAACGATCACATCAACCCTCGTCCTGGTGGGCGAGGACCCTTGTCACCCTCGCCGTCCTCGCCACAGGAACCCAGGCCGCCTGTATCTCTCTCGGGGGCTCCACAGCGTGCCCATCCTATGCAGGATTCCAGGTGGACAACACTATCGTCAAGACCGTTGCCCAGTATGGTATCATCATGCCGGCCTTCACGAACGTGGCCGAGTTTGACCAAGCGGTGTTCAACGCGACGGGATTCCAGACGGCGTCTGATTGTACGGGCTACAACAGCACGGTCCGGATCCCTTACCAGAACACGGTACTGTGCACGATCGCGGTCCTGGATGCGACCTCGCTCAAGTGCAAGGGCGGGTCGACCAATACTAATACGACGGGGACGTTGTGTGATTCATCCTGCACGCTGTACCAACAAGGGTTGAGAGCGATGGTCGATAGTCGTTGTCCAAAGGCGACGGACTCGGTCCAGGGTCTGGCTGATGTTACGACGATCTGTTCGAGAAAGGATCCTGCCTCTTGGGGGGGACTTCAGGATACTTCGTCGACCTGTGTGAATTCGTTGCAGAACGAGATTGCCACTTGTGGTATGTTTATTACTATCTTTTTTCCTATTGATTATGATTTGTGTGTGTGTGTGTATGGTCTACGCGGACGATTACTTTTCTTTCTTTCTTGTTAACGTTGGGTAATCACTGAGAATTTTCCCCTCGGAAGAAGGAAAAATAATAATCTCGGGTTTACCGCCAATTGCTATTATTTTATTTCCCCCCCCCCCCTCCTTCCCCTTCCCTTCCCTTCCGCCGGAATCGACGACCGTAATCATGTTTTGTTTTTTTGTTTTTTTTTGTTTTGATGATTTAGGGATGGAAAAAAATGAGATTGGGGGTTCTTGCTCCTTGTTGTTATTCTTGTTCATGGTCATGGTCTTGGTCTTGGTTTTGGTCTTGGTCTTGTTACTATTTTCAAAAATCCCTGCATGACCCAAGTGGAACTTCTCCTTGGGTAACGCTGGTGGAAAGAAGTGTTCCTGTGTATGTACATTGCTGATTTCTGTGCCTGAAAAATATTCTTTTATTCTTTATTCTTCAGCACATTCGCAGATGTTTCTGTTTGTTTTATGTCAAAAGTTGGGACATATTGCATTGCGGGCTGTATATGTTTCGATCTATCTCATAACTCTGACATCTAGACATCAAAAGAGAGAGAGAGAGAGAGTGGCGAGTGGCGGTAAAAAAAAAAAGAAAAAAAAGACGAAAAGGGCTGAAACAAACTGCAAGGGGAGATGCATACATTTCTGTGTGCACATGCAAATGAATGTTTTAGTCTCCAATTTATACAACGCCGTAGGAAACACAGCACTCACTTATTTTTACACAAACGTTTCAATCGTTTAGGTCTGGGATCGGTGGTCGAGAAATGTACGTTCTGCAGGAACAGCACCAACACAACAGCGGAATGCTGCAAGGATATGTCGCAATGCCCCGCACCAAGCCCAACAATCACAGGACCGAGCACGACTTCACCCTATATGACTCCACCCACCAACACCATGACCCACGGCAACGATCCTCCTTCGTCTAACACGGGATCCTCCTCAAAGACTTTGGGCGCCATCATCGGAGGATCCGTCGCGGGCGTGCTCGTGCTCGCCATCGTGGCGTTCCTCTGCATCCGTCGGTCGAGGCGGGCTACGAACCCGAAGGGAGGCAATCTTTCGCGTCAGGTCTCGAGCGCGAGCGGTCGGTATAATATCTCGGCGCCGAAATTGCAGGAGGAGGGCCTTGTCTCGGCAGCACCGATCCCCATGACAACCCTGCCACCGATCAAGGCAGAGAATTCGTCGTTTGGGATGATAGGCGCAGCTACGGGCGCGGCTGCTGCAGGCGCAGGCGCAAAAGTAGGAGCGGGACGGGAAGCGACAGGCAAGCAGTCGTACTGTCAGGCACTGTATCCTTACCAGGCCTCGATGGCGGATGAGCTGGACTTAACGCCGGGCGATATCATTAATGTGCAACGGGTCTTTGACGACGGCTGGGCTGTGGGTGTGAACATGAACACGTCGAACGAGGGAGCCTTCCCGGTGGTGTGTGTGATGTTTGTGGACGAGAGCGCGTTGGATGACGACTTTGAGGACATGAATATCCATTCGATGACGCCGATGACGTTGCGGGAGGAGGACGAGGGCAGACGGTCAACGTCGGGACGGAATTCGCCACGATCTTCGTTGCCGTCGCGGTCATCTTCACCGGTGCATCTGCCGAGGAGGAATTCATCGATTCGGGATAGTACTGTGATTATCTCGGGATCGAATCCGATGACGAGCAGTCCTCTGGCGGGCGGACAGGGCAGTATTGGAAGGACGAATACGCCGCCAGTTATTAGGGACACGATGATGAGCGATGCTAGTTCGATTAACCGTTGGTGGGGAGGGGAAAAGTAGGGGAGCGCGATTGAAAAAAAAGTGGATGTGTTAGGCTGTGGATACGTATACTTGACCAAAAAAAAAAAAAAAAAAAAAAAAAAAAAAAAAAGATAAAACGCACTTATGAGATGCGTAATCGCTGTATGTTTAATACAAAATATATCTAATTCCGATTCTCTGCTGCCGTTTGTTCTGTTACCGAGTAAATATGCATGGGCTGCGCGGCTTACAGTCAACTTAGAAGAAAAACTCCCAGTGGACGACTGCAAGGAGTCATGGAATGTTGGTCTACGCCCAAGCTTACCAATCCAGCTTATGAACGCGTTGACATCCATCCATCAGAGCAAAATGCTCTTCCTAGCTTGGAAGGAAGAAAGTGGGGGAGAACGATATAGTTTTGGTCCGCGAGCTAGGCGCTCCTTTTTTTAATGTGTATGACGCCCATTGCTCAGAGGAAAGGAAAAGGGGAAAGGGCGCCAGAATCTCGCTAGAGATGCAGTATGACGTTTTGCTACGAATGCACTGCACTGTGAGAGCAAAGAGTCATTGGGTTCATGTCTATAGGTCATGAAGGTGCAGGTTGGTCCGGATCGTTCTCTTGTGTGGGGTTCATTTTAACTTTGTCAAGTGCAGACAGTAGAGCATTGGAGAGCGATTTGGTTAAAGCGGGGAGTTGGGACTTAAAAAAAAAAAAGTGCGGGAAGGAAGTCTCGTCCAGCATGCCACCGCCCTTTGTTGGTGTGAATGCGCGTCCATGATAGACTGCGCCGCGCCATGCGCACAAAAAAAAAAAACACTCCCTCCTGTATCCCTTTGTTTTTTGTGTGCCGTGTGTGAAGGACAAGGTCTATGGAAGGAAGCAAAAGCGATCTCATGCGGTATACGCATGCCGATGGTGCATGTACTCCTACGCGCAGCATGCTGCAACCCTGTGTGTTTTGCCTGCATTTACTCCTTTGTCTCGGTCAGGTGGTACATACTTGCGATGGCCCTGAACTTCTGTGCCTCTTTTTTTTTTTTTTTTCCTTGGCTATACGACAGGTCGCACAATGCACACAGGTCGACAGAACTCTCCTTCCGCCCCTCTCTCCTTGTTTTACAGCAAGATGAGGTACAATATTCTGCAGGAATGTAGATATGCAGGATGCAGGTGTCCGTATTTTTGTAATCTATCATGCTATAGGTGGGTGGGACCATAATCCAAACTCTCCATGTTCCGGTGACCCTATTAAGGATCTTTCTTGAAGTGGAAGTGTGTCGATAGTGTTCTATGCTGTGGCCTGGCCCTGACATTTCCGGACGACTGTTTTCCCTCCATTTCGTCTCGTCTCCCTTAGAACGCTTTCCCTTGGCAATCATGCATGCATGTATACCAAACCTTGCATGACTTACAAAAAAAAAATTGGGAGAGAGAGAGAGATAATAAAGATGGAGATGGAGATAGAGACAGAGTCAGATATAGATAGATGGATAGATAGAATGAGAGAGAGGGAGGAAGAGGGAGGATTGTGCAATTTTTGCACACCTTTGGGGAACACGCGTGCAATATGAGAAACATTGAGTGGTTGACTGAGCAGATCCTTAAAGGACCAGGCTGAGGACCGCGCATAGCGAAGCTCTCTCATCTCGCCGACGCTCAATTGCTAATGTTGTTAATTATTGGTTTTTTTTTTTTTGATCGAACGACGGACGAAAAGGACATACATGTAATGTGCATTTTACGCCTTGACTCACACCTCAACATCAACACGGCAGAGAGAGAGGGAGACACACATACACGGTTGACAGATAAATGAATAGGCTGACTAGTTGACTGACTAGTTGGCCAACTCCCTTCCCCCCTTTATTCCAAGAGAAAAAGAGCTGTTGTTTCTGTTGGGTTTCTGCAGCTCGTTTTTGGTTCGGTTCTGTTTCTATTTTGCTCTCAGACAAAAAAAAAAAAAAAAAAAAAAAAAAACCATGACAACGACGACGACTGAGAAAAAGAAGCAAAGCACGCAGGCAAGTTTGTATGATCTATAATGCTTTGCCTGTTTTTGTAACGGAAAGAATTAGATCGTTGACCGTTTATGCAAAGACAGCTTAAAACAGCTGTTGCGATGATATTGATGCTGTTGTGGTTGGTTGACGAATGGTCCAGGGGGGGGGGGGTGGGGAGGGGGGGGGAAGATAAGAATGTGAACCGATGGTGATGGTTCTTCAAGCATGTACAGTTAGGATAGAGTACGACTATAGAGACGACGTGCTCGACTTTGAGCAATACCGTAATTGCTCACAGTCTTAGTTTCTTTGCTTTGTTCGCAGGACGCAAATGCGGAGGATTCTACAGACTTGTCGATGCCGGTGTTGATATTCGGAGGATGGATGGGATGCATGAATGCTGAGCATAGCGAGGGAGAGAGAGAAAGAGAGAGAGTGTGTGTGAATGTGTCTGAGAGAGAGACATTTGAAATGAACTGAGCAGCTCTGTCTGTCGGTCCTGTTGGTCCTGTTCTGGTCTATTGTTTCCGTTCTCGTTCTAGTTGGTAGCTAGTTTGCTCGCTTGAGCGGATGTAGCTGTTTTGGTCAAGTCAACGGGAGAGACGGCAAAGCCGACGCTGAAGAGGAGGCCAGGCTGACTTTGTTGAAGGTACGCGACATTGGGAGAGATGTACGCGCAGGTTGGTTCTTGGTTAGGCTAGGCTAGGCTAGCTGGTTGCATGGGTGTGGGCGTGAGTGTGGCATGCGCATTAATGCGATTGTGACAGATTTGGTTACGGTGTGGAGGGGGGTGTCGATGGTGGTCAGGCAGGGCAATCATTCGATCGGCAATAGTTTATTGGTCTTGGGTTATTTTATTCTGTGTATATATTATGCAAATAGTAAATATCCAAAATTGAATTGGTCTTTCCTCCAATGAGGAGCGGAGGTGCACACTATGCTATGCCTTCTTTAGGCCTTTGTCCGTCCAAGCAGATGTACCCATTGGCATCCCCATATCGGGGGGATGGAGGGAGGAGAGGGAAAGCGAGGCGAGAAAAAGACGACATTGTCTTTTTTTGTCCTCACTCTTTTCATCCCCCATCTTGATCAACCGCCCATCCATCTGTTCACCCACTCATCCACCCATTCGTTCATTGACCCATTGACCCTCTCACTCAGACCCAGTCTTTGTGTGTACAGCTGTCTGATACGATCCACGTAGTCCAGTCTCATTCCTTCCTCCTTCCTTCCCTGTAAGTCCTTCCCCCCAACCAACCAAGCAGCTAAGCAATTAAAGCAGCCAAGCAATTAAGTAGCCAAGCAGCCAGCCAACCAACCAGGCAGCCTAATCTGCTGCTCCTCCTTGCAATAAATATAAAGGTCGCCCTCCCTTCCCTTTCTCTTTTCTCCCTCGCTCTCCCGCTCTCCTCCTCAACCGCCTCTGCCCTCGCCTGCACCCTCGCTCCCACTCTGGGCTTCTCTTCTCTGCTTCGCTGCTTCTCTGCTTCTCTGCTTCTCTGCTTCTCTTCTTCTCTGCTTCTCTGCTTCTCTGCTTCTCTGCTTCTCTGCTTCTCTGCTTCTCTGTGTCTGCCTTTGACCGCACATCCAGACTCTCTCTCGCCCTCCTCCTCCTTTTCTTCGTCACGTCTACGTCCACGTCCACGTCCACAGTCTCGCTCTGTCTCGCTGCATCCCAAGCATAGAGCGCCCCCGAGAGCAGCCAGCACCTCCATTGCCCAACCTTACCTTCAAACCCAAAACCCAGCCTATTTTACCGTCCGGCCTCTTTTTCCTCTTTCTTTTTTCTTTTCCGCTCTTCCTCCTTTCCCTCCTCCCGCTCGCTTACCCATCCATCCTCCCTTGCTCGTCTGACCTTTTTATCTCCTCTTTTTCTTTTTCCCTTCCTTCTTCTTCTCCATCCTCTGTCGGGTCTACGACTATTTTAACTATTTAAAACCGCTTACTATTGTACTGTTGTTTCGCCTTATTTTTCTGCTCCCCTCCCTCTCTCTCGCACACACCTGCTCCCTCTCCCTTCTAATCCTTCTAATCAGCAAATACGCTCTCCTTGCCGCTTTTCCACACAATGCAGGTGGAACAACCCCGCAGGCTCGAGAGGATCGCCTCAGCGTATCCCAAACCAAGCCCCCGTCGCCCTCAAGACAGCCAGCAGCAACACAAGAGAAACAAAAAGAAGACTCCTGCCCAAACAGGACCCCTCCTCCACACCGACAGCCACTCCAGCGACGACAACGATTGCCGCTCCGACACCAGCTGCACCAGACACTCGAACCCCACCTCCCCCATAAGCCCCGTCTGCAACACGTCCACTCGGCTTCACAAGGGCCCCACCACAGGGCGGAAACCGCAGTCTGCAAAGCTCTCTCGACACAGAGATCACCTGCATCGATCTGTGCTGCACGAAAACGCGTCCATGTCTCAAACTCAGACGCAGACGCAGACGCAGACCCAGGCTCAGTCAGTCCAGGCCCAGGCACCACGATCTTCTCAAGAATGTCAACGGGCTCCCTCCCTATCCCCTGGAGCAAAGCGCGCACTGGGGCGTCCTCGTCAGAATGAGCACTCGCACTCGCACCATCAGCGCCATAGTCATTCCCAGGCCGACCCATCTGAAACCTTGCGAGCAACCCTTTCTCCTCGTGTCACCACAACCGTAACAATGACAACAGCAGCCTCAACAAGGACAACCGCAGGTGCCGTATCCAACAGAGCAGGCTCGGCAAGTGAGCCGGACGATGTCGGCCTGTGCAAATCGCCAAGCTCAGACTCGAAACGCGCAAGGGTTCAGAATGGATCCGGAAAGCGATCTACAGCAGCATCGGACACTAACAGAGGCAGCGCCTCGACGATGCAACAACAGTCTCAGCAGGAGGTCGTTGACATTTCGAGCGATGAGAGCGACCATGGCGCGTCGAACGAGGGACAGGATCTCGACAATGAACGTGACCTTCAGAAGATGCTGGCTGATATGCAGGGAGCATCCAGTCACGACCAGGACAACGGTCACTCCTCAGTCACAGGTCCCAGCGCGTCCGGCGCCGGTAGTCGGCGCGGCTCGCAGACGCTCTATCATTATCACCATCAGTGCCAGCACCACCAGCACCGTCAACAGGAACTGTCGAACGGAAATGGATACAGAACCCCGACAGCATCCAATGGATCCAATCCTCGCAGCAGCCATCAAACTCATACGCGGAATTTCTCTTCGCCCTCGCTCTTGGACTCGTTCACGTCGCCAGAACCGATGCTCTCGCCCATACAGTCGTATTTCGGATCAGACCCCAACTCACCCGCCTCGACCTTTTCCTTGCCGAGTCATGATCAATACCCACGGCTTACAATCGATCCGTCCGCCACCATGGATGGATACCACGGCTTTGCAACACACCCATGGAGCGAACAAAGTACTACCCCATCGCGCGCTCTCTCTCACCGCTGGACTCGTCGACTGAGCCAATCGGATGCATACCCAAATGTTGCAAACAGCGCCAACAGCCACAGTAGTACAACCCGACCACGACCCGCCAGCAGCGTGTATGCATCTTCCACCACTGATCGACCATGGCAAGTAACCTCGGACATAGATTCAGCCCAAGCACTTGATGTGGACGATTCGGTGCAGGGTGCTCTGGATGATGAGACCATGGACAACACCTATAGCGATCACGAGTCCACATACAATCATCCTCTCGACCACAATCGCAATTTGCGCACTTCAGACTACGGCGACGATATGGACCATAGTCCAAGCCTTCGGTACAGCCATCGAGCATCAACGGTTGATGCCGAAGATGATGAAGAGGATAACGACAGTCATATGATCGGCTCAGATTACGAGGTCGAGGACGATGAGGACAATGACGATGGTGATGACGGTGACGATGACGATGACGGTATGGGCGAGGGGTACGACGTAGAAGGGGTCTTGAGCACGAATTATCTGCAGGAGCAGCTATTGTTCTCATCCGCATCAAGTCGAACGAACCATACATCGGGTTCACAGAGCGCACAGACGATTGAGTCTGATGCTGCACTGGCACGGAGACTTCAAGACGAAGAATACTCGGACCTGCTGCGAGAAAGAGTAGGTCTTGTCTGCCCGCAGCCCTCATAGATTAGCAACGGCAACAGTTAGATTTTAAAAAATACATACTAATACAGCTTTTTTTTTTTTTCCTTTTCCTTTGTTGTTCTCATTCTGAATATTTGTTTCCTGCGCCACTACAGAGGAGGATCACGGATTTCAATGCTGACTTATCTTCCCCTTATTCACCATCAACGCGGTACAGTCGATCCCGTCGTCGCTTCAATCTTGAAGCAGAAGGTGTGGGTCCTTACCACGGTCCGTGGAGGCCGGGCTCGCGCGAGGATCGTTATCCAAGGTCATGGGGTCCCTTCTCGGACGCGCTAAGACGAAGTGAGGAACGTCGCCGACATTTCGAGGCGTTTGACAGGACATTGGAACGGACTTCATCCACAGAAGCAGAGGGCGCTAGATCGGGGACTAGTTATTCGCAAGGAAACCAAACTCCTAGTTCGCGATTGAGTAGGACGGAGCACAGCCGTAGTGGCGAGACGACCTCCACGAACATTTTGGGGCTGGTATCGGAGCGCCGATCGGCCCTTGTTGGATTGCTTGCTGCGAATGGGGGCCGTTACGATCGTCGAGGAACAAGGGAGCGATCAAGATCACCATTGCCTCCATCAGCCTTTACAGCCGCTTCAGAAATGGAGCGTCGGGATCGGGACCGGGAGAGGCTGTGGACGATTATGGCTGAGATCATGGAACGTCGCCTGAACAGCCAAGGGAACAGGTGCGTGTTTTCATCAGTGAGTGGGCCATATCAGTCGTGTGAAAATGCTCATACTGATATTCTCTCCTTCTCTCTCTTTCCCTTTTATTCTCCTCTGCGATTTGTTCGATGGATTCTTCAGGGCTATGGACATGATGTGGGGTAATCCTGAGGACTATGTGGTAAGTCATTGCATCGCATTGCGAACTTGTGCAAACTTTTATTTTTGTTTTTATTTTTCGGTTGCCTTGGAGGACTTTGTTACTAACATGTTCACTTTTTGTCTAAATCTAAAGAATGACGACCAGATCGATAGTAGCTATGAAGGATTATTGAGACTGAGTGAACAGATCGGGGACGCAAAGCCGAAAGGGGTTTCGACCCAGGTCTTGAGGAGGATGGATAAGCACATTGTGAGCTGGAGACGTATGAAGCAACGAAATGTTACGCTGACAAGGCCGTCCGAGTCCACACTCCGACACTCGAGGAGTCTTTCATCCGCAACATCTCCCACAGCTATGGGTTCGACGCGATCCCTGGGCAGTATGCAGTCAACAAGGCCGATCTTGCCGTCATTCTCATCCTCTTCAGAGTCAACATCAACATCAACATCAACATTGGCTTCATCGCGGGATTCTATGTTGTACTCTGGATCCTTGTCCGGATCACAGTCGGTTTCTACGCTTTCGTCTCCTCGTTCTTCTGCTGGGTGGACAGTCTTGGCCAATGATAGGAGCGACCCCTCTATGGAGGAGGCTTCCGATGAAAAGTAAGGCGACTTTCTGCAAAAAGAATAGCAAAAGCTGGTGCGATACGAGAACAAGTGTATCTAATCAGAATCAACTTTATATTTCCCGCGGGTATTTTTTTTAAAAAAAATAGTTGCTCGATTTGTCTACAGGTGTACGAGCTGTCGGATCAGCTTCGCCCATTGCCTTGTCGACACGCCTTTCATGTGGAGTGCATTGACACATGGCTGAAGAGTAATGCACAATGTCCGATCTGTCGTCAGGAAGTGACGGCGACTTTGGTTGATACTATGCTGTAGGACAATTATGAAAAAACTGTTGGTCTACGTACATTTAGACAGACGGACAGAAGACTTGGGAATCGACTTGGAAATCAACTTGGGGAATCGACTTTGGGGGAGGGGTTTCAGGGGTGACACTTTTGACTGGAGAAATTCTCCTTTTCCTTTTTGCATGTGTGGATGCATGCGCGGCGAAATAAAAATAAAGACGTTACTCATTTGTGGATCTTTGTGATCAGCTTTTTTTTTTTGTTACGCAGGGTAGGACGATGAATGGTGAACTCCAATTGCAGATAGAGTTTTATCTTTCTTTCCTTCTTTCTTTCTTTCTTTCCGGCTCCCCCACCTCTTTTTTTGCCTCTTCCCCTTCCTCATCTCTCTCCTTCATTTATTTATTCATTCATCCATTCAACGGATTCCAAAAAGCAATGGCGACATTCGAAGCTGCACCGGCATCAACACAGGGCCTGCCGAACTATGGCACGATCGCCACGCCGAGGATCGACCTCTGTAAGAAACCAGGAAAACGAATGAGCTACCCAAAAAAAAAAAAAAAAAAAAAAAAAAAAAAACACTGCTTCGAATCAGGATCAGGAGGGGAGGGTGTTGTTGCAGTGCAAGCGCACATAGCATAACACAGCTTTTTATAATATAATGGAACTAAACCATGCTAACTTTACTTTTTCTTTATTATGTATCATCGACTTGACTGGAAACCTGGACTCGACCCCTCAAACAGCGAAACCATACTTTGACCAGTCGACGTATATGGGGCGAGTGCGGCATTTCATCCAGGTGACCTCGCCCTTGAACCTGTTTGTGAGCGGACGAGGATTGGAGGATGCCAAGAACCTGATTAATGATTATAACACGGGCAAGATCCCTGCGAATACTGATCCTGCGAAGCTCTGGAGGGCTAAAGAGAGTAAGTAATTTAAGTGGTTGCTGTTGTTGCTGTTGTTGCTGTTGTTGTTTGTTGTTATTTTTATTGCCTTTATTGTTTTTATTATTGTCTTTACTGCCATTTCTGTGTGAGCTATGGAGACATGGAATGGATGTATGTGGTGGTTGGTTGGAGAATGTGGGGATTGCTTTTCTGTGGGGGGGATTTGAACCCGTGGGAAACGAAGCCCTGGTGAAAGTATTCTCCGCACATTCGGCGTACTTTTTTTTTTTTTTTTTTTTTTTTTCCTTCTCCACATTCTACACCCCGATTTGAGACCAATTGACGAAACTAATATGAATGCCTATACTATATCGCTCACCCACCCACTCTCTACCTCCGCTTTTGCATAGTCTGCGACTCGACATTGCACCCGGACACTGGAAAACCAATCTTCCTCCCCTTCCGGATGTCCTGCTTCGTACCGACGAACCTCCTGGTCGCTGCCGGGATGCTCATGCCGAATCCCACGGTCCGCTCGATCATCTTTTGGCAATGGACGAATCAATCCGTGAACGTGGCCTTCAACTACGCGAACGCGAATAAGACGATCGAGATGAATATGAAGGAGACCGCTTTCGCATACATGTCCGCGGTCACGACCTCGTGCTTTTTGGCCGTCGGCTTGAATCAGCTGGTGCCGCGGTTGACGTCGATCTCTCCAGGCGTTAGGACGGTGTTGGGAAGGTTGGTGCCGTTCACGGCCGTCGCGGCTGCGGGAACGGTGAATGTTTTCTTGATGCGCGGAAAAGAGATCAGGTACGTTACATTATTACGTTACAAAGATGAAAAAAGAAGGCGAATCCGGGAAGGGATGAATGAATCAAGGATGCGTTTGCAAATATGCGTCAGGGCTGAGTATCTTACGACTTGAACACTTACCGTTTCGTTCTTTTCGTTTTATCCGATCGTAGCGAGGGAATTGATGTATTCGATCATGAGGGCACATCCGTTGGCAAATCCCAAAAGGCCGGTCTGTCCGCGATTTCGCAAGTCGCGATCTCTCGAATCCTGACCAACTTCCCCGTACTAACGATCCCACCGTTGGTGCTGTCGCAGTGGGAGAAGACGGCTTGGTCTCAGAAATACCCTCGGGCGGTCTTGCCCATCAATTTGGCCGTGATCTCCCTCTGTCTGATGACGGCCCTCCCGCTCGCCATCGCGGCCTTCCCGCAGTACGCGAACGTGGATGTGAAGACTTTGGAGGAACGGTTCTGGAATTTGAAGGATTCGAAGGGCGAGCCCATCAAGACCTTGACTTACAACAAGGGGCTGTAGTCCTTTTCTTGATTACTATCTATTCTTCACTCTTCTCTCTTCTCTCTTCTCTCTTCTCTCTTCACTCTTCTCTCTTCTCTCTTCACTCTTCTCTCTTCTCTCTTCACTCTTCTCTCTTCTCGTTTCAGTCTCCTTTCTTGTTTTATTTCGTATGTATAATCCCGACCATAAACATAGAATTTTGGTTGTTCAAATAACAACGCTGCAGTTTTGAAAACATACATTTATCTGTATTGTCGATTCATGTTTGTCGTGTACTATTGTAATAATCAAGTATCTGTGGTGTATCATCAAGGGAATATAGGTGGATAAAGAACAAGATGCGGACTAAATAACAAGACCCCTCCCCTCGCTCACAATCGCCTGGTCAAATACGCGGCGACGAGCGCCATCACCCCTCCGAACCTGAGCACCCATCCCACCGGTTCCGGGTCCCCAGCCGCCATGACCTTCATCAACCACGGCGCTCCACCATCGCCCCCGGGCACAGGCTGTGGTCCCGTCACCGGTGGCCTTTGACCCTCTCGGGGGAATGATCCGATCATCGCAAACAGACAGCTTGCGATAATGGCGTCAGCGAATTGTGGGAATACAATGTACATGTTGTGGACCCCCAGCACCAGGCCTGCATCGAGTGTTGGTCCGCGGTGTCGGCGTTCGTTCTCAAGTTCCGATTGCGATAATCCACGGTTTCCGATCAGTCTATATGTCGGGCGACGGTTGTGTTCCTCACCATCCTCGTTGTCATTGTGATTCTTGATGCTACTCCTGCTGCTGCTGCTGTTGCTGTGAGACCGAACACGCGCTGGTCGAAAGGCATTACTGCTCTGCCCTTCATCCAGATGTCTCGAACTTCCATTGATTTCCAAGGTGGACACTGGTGAGATAGTCCCGTACCCTGCATCATCATCATCCAGCAGGTTCTCGTCACTACCCTCAAGTCGATCCTTCATATCGCTAATGATCTCCCCGACCATCGCAAAGGGAATCCACATTGCGACCGCCCATGGGACACCACACAGCGCAATGACCCCCGTGGCCGCCCAGAGATCATCAACAAACCAGGTCAGCCCCATACAGACCGCGAACCACGCCAACGACATCGTCCATAGGTTTCTCAGCGTAAACGGGTTCCGGGGCCAGACCTCAGGTCCGATCTCTTGTGGGGTGATCTTCGGGATGACGATTCCGCAGACCACGGCGACACCAGCCCAGCAGAGCAGGGCGAATGATCCGGCACGCTCCGCTGTTGTCTCGTCTCCACTGCTAATGCTGCTGACACCGCCGCCAGAATAGTTGAGAATGGTGATGAGGGTGTTGTTCCTGCTGGGGTCGTCGGGCTGGACGTCATATCGATGAAGGATCTCGCCGACCCAGGTCGTGGAGTAGAAGAGGAAGGGGAACCAGCCCATCCATGCGAAGAACTGGACGTTGCAGATCCGTTGAATTTCCTCCGGCAAATGACGGAACGCCCTCCAGATGTTTCCCAGCGTGCTCCACACCGATCTAGTTATTATCCAGAGGAATAGAGTGTATGAGTGAGTAACGAGCGAGAGAAGGAGAAAATAAAAGACCCCACCTTCCTCCTCTTTCTACAGATGTGCAAAATATCGAACCATGGCACAAAACTTTTTTTTTTTTTTTTTTTACCTCTTGCGATCCTCCTCAGTCGGCTGGTACTGCATTTCCTTAACGCTCGAACAGCAGATCGCCAGACAAGTTCCAAAGACCATCATCGCCAAGTTGGCCAAGATCTTAATCTGGGAATCTCCCAGGTAAGGCGAAAAGTACTTTACGAGATCCAAGTACCCCGCAAAGAACCCGACCACCGATCCAAGGTTGTTCATCCAGCCCGACCAGGCGTTACAGACCTCTTGTTGTTCTGTCGGTGGGATGTCCATGATCAGGGACCGACAACTCGCCTGGACAGCATTGATGGAGAAATCCAGGCAATAGAAGCCAAAAACTGCGAATCCGATCGTCCAAGCTTTTACCTAATTAGAGAAAGAAAGAAAAAACGATTCACGGGGGTCAGGAGGGGGAGAAGGACACTGTTGATTAAAAAGAATGTCAAGGAAGAAAAAGTATAAGGCATGGTGAAGACTATAGATCCATCGATCGATAGAGCCAAAAAAAAAAAAAAAAAAAAAAAAAAAGGCAGACCATGGAAACCTCCCCTGCTTCTCTGCTTCTCCCGCAGGTACCTCCCCAATCAATCACACACACACACACACACACTTACCGCCGAGATCTGCGCAGCCGCCATCTCCTCAGCATTTCCTCCATAAACCCCCCGCTGCTCCGGTCCTACAACCAAGACCGCCAATTCCTTCGCATACGCGACCATATACATCGAGAGCGCCGTCAGGACCGCGCCTATCAGGATAAAGGGTCGTCGTCGACCAATCTTCCAATCCAACGCGTCACTGAACACGCCCACCACCGGTTGGATCACCAGTCCAGACAATGGACCCGCGAGCCATACGAGCGGCGTGAGAGATTTGGGGATCCCAAGTGAGAGGAGGTAAGGGGTTCCGTAACCTAATTCCACCGTCCCTATAGAGTTGAAAAGGCAGGCATGAAAAAGCGGTTAGAGGGGAGTGATTAGAGAGGTGAAGTAAAGAAGAAGGAGGAAGGGGAGAGGGAGAGGGAGTAGAGTGTTTGAGTCCTGGATGGGCGAAGCAAATGGCATGCTCGATGTGGGGGGGAAGGAAAGAAACAAAGAAAAAAAAAATCCCAGCTTCTTCACCCTTTTTTTTTTTTTCACAGGACAACAGTGAGCCGATGAAGACTCGCACTGCGCTTACAAGTGAACTGGACCCCGAGCATGCATATCGTCAACCGAGCGATATCGAGGATCGAGAGACGATGCTTCCATATCGAAGACCGCCTCATCGGAGGCATACCCGGCCGCCGTGGTGCCGGTGCTCCCGTCGTCGTCGTCGTCGCTGCTGTCGAGGGCGGCTGAGGAATGGGTCCCTTTTTCGTCGTCTTCTGCAGCAGAGACTGCCGCTCAGGCGTGCCGCCGTCGGACATTATATATGTATATTTGTATATATTTTTATATTTATGTTTTGCCCTGACGAGAAGCCAAGGAGGGGTTTAAAGATGAAGAAGAAGAACAGACGATCCGCAAGAGATCAATAAAAAAAAAAAAAGAATCGGATGTGAATGGAAAACAGGTGAGAGAATGGAGCGAAGTGAAGGGGGAGAACGTGTGAATGAGGAGGGCTTCCAGTTGACGTAATAGGGCAAACGCTCACATCTCCACACCCCCCATCCTGCCTGTTTAAACTTCTTGCGGCTGTTTTTGTACGTTTATTTCTTTGCAATTTGGGGAGTTTTTTAAAAGCAATTCCAACAAAGGTATCACTCTGTTTGTCCAGAGCACCTTGTGTCCTCTTATCCTTGCCGATACTGCTGCTGCTGCCTTTGCTGTTGCTGTTGCTGTTGCTGTTGCTGCTGTTGTTGCTGTTGATAATGCAGCTGCTGCAACTGCTGCATCTGACGAAGCGTCATCTTGCCCGAGTCACGACCAACCGTCCCCGTACCACCTCCCCCTTGATGACCTCCTAGTTGTTGCTGCTGTGGCTGTGCTTGGTAATGTCCATTAAGCTGCTGCAATGATCGGTGGTGTTGCAATCCTCGAGGTTGATGTTGATCAGCGTATTGACCAGCGCCGTGATGACCCTGCTGCGATTGTGATTGACTTTGTTGCTGTTGCTGTTGCTGTAATAGTTGCTGCTGTAACTGCTGCTGTTGTTGAAGCTCCAGAGGTGACTTTCCACACCGCGCCAAACATCTCAGCATACTATCCATCGAAGGATCCAGCGTCATCCGCACACACTTGTACTCTCGATTAATCCGATCCATCTCCTTCTGGACCCTGCCACGTCGCGCCATCTCATCCTCATCCACATCTTGCACATTCTCGCGCTGCAACCACAGCTTCTGCTGTGTTCTCGACAACGTCCCGGTCTTTGACCCATTGTTCGTCAGGTTCGACTGTGCCACTGCCGCCGCTGCAATCGCCGAGGCTGCCGAGGCCGAGCTCAAAGCTGAGGCCGAGAAGGGGGATACTCCACCTGTCTCGTGCAGGTTCTCGTCCGAGCTCGAGGTCGTCACAATCGTCGGGGGTATCAACTGATTCGATGTTGTGGTCGACTTTGGTGCAGACGAGCTCAACTGAGGTTGTGACGGCGAGGCCGGGTAGAATTTCGATGTAAAGCCTGCACGCTGCTGTGGTGAGGTCGCATTCGATTTGTCATGTCCGCCCTTGGGACTCCTCCGATTACTGTTCGGCGATCCATTGGCGGCGTGATGTGGATGGTGGTGATCGTCGTCCTCGGCTGAATGCGCTGCAGATGCGGTAGCGCCCGTAAGGAATTTAGAAACCATCTCAACCGCAGGCGAAGGTTGCATTGTAGGAGACGATACTTTGAATCCCTGGTGGCGTGAGCTGTCCGAGGTAGTGACCGAGGGCGAGGCGTCCGTACCAACAACGGCGGTATGCTTTGGGTTGATTGCCATGACAGTGTGGGTCGTAACCTTGGTGAGCGAGGGCTGTGGAGTGACCGAAGTCCTGGGATCGAGCAACATGGACAAGCGCTTGGATGCCGGGGACGGCCTGGTTGGAGCACGGCTCTTGGGCTTAGTAGAGGATCCAGACAGGTTTTGGGACTCGTGGATGCTAGCGGAGCTCTTATGGGTTACTCGCGAAGGTCCCTCGCCATTCGAGACCACTTCAGGGGGGTTGCTTCTGCTCTTCTCGAGGGCATGACCTGCACGTTCGCCGGATGGGTGTATTGGATGCTGATCCTTAAGCGGCGGCTGCTTTGATCCACTTTGGCTTTGATTCCCCTTGCTGCTTTCGTGTTGTTGGTTGTTGTGGGAAGGATTGGTGGCGGCAGTCTTGGTGGACTGGCCTTTCTGATCGCCCTTCTGCTGGTCTGCAGTGGTCGGGTTCGAGGATTGTGTCCGGATCTCTGCTGACTCGTGCTGTTGAATATGCTCATGTGAAGAGGGCTCAGGCTCGGATTCTGCTGTCGCTGTCGCATGATACCCCAAGTCCTGGTTGTGTTGCAACCCAAGGTCCTGCATCGAAAGCGTCAATGTCGAGTCAATAAGCGTCTTTGCTAACGAATCTTCCTCCCGGTCATGCTGTGCGTCTTGCACTCGGCTCAGTCCTTCGGCCTGTGACCCGTTCGCAACCTCAGGGGTAGTCGTGGCAGCTGCAGCTGCAGCAACAGCGGCGGAGGATGAGGATTGTCGACGGCTGGTGTGTCGGTTATGTGAAACAGAATGGTTTCGGTGCAATTGAGCGTCGTCGTCCTTAGTATCCACCCCTGCAATCGTCTCCTGATCATGATCTTGTCCCTGACGCTGTCGTTCGCCCTGTACCTGGACCTCCTGCTCCTCCTCGCGACGACCATCCCCGACCTCGAACTGGGCCTTTCTTCTTCGCTGTTTGTTGGTGTTTAAGGTTCCGTGTGCATTCTTTGAGGAGACGTCGTGCTGGGCGCCATTGGATAAGGCTTCCTTCGTCATATGGTGCGTATCTCCTCTCCTGAGTTGCACCGAATCCGAGGGGTGGGCCGTGTTATCGCCTTGACCTTGACGGAGAGTTTCTGGAGAGGACGCTTCCGAGGGACGGTCATTGATATCCATTTAGAAGCAGAGAGGGAACGGAAGCGGAAAAAGGAGAGTGGGGAGAGTCGTGAAAAGAAGACGGAGCAGATGACGGAATGAGAGAAGAGAAAGAAGGAAAAAAAAAAAAAAAAAAAAAAAAAACGATGTCGTTGCAAGTAAATCGGAGAGGGAGAGAGACACACACACAATGGGCGATGGGAAAGAAGAGGAGGCGTGTCCGGTGTGGTGAGGATATGAATGTCCGTGTTGTGTGGGTGTGTGTGGGTGTGTGGGTGTGGGGCAGAGGAGGAAGAAAAGGGGGTGATGGCGGGTGGTGATGGATGTTGAAAAAGGACGGACGGACAATGAACTCGCTCGGACTGGGTTAGCTTTTTTTTGGTTGGGAAAATTGACCGCGTGGGAGTCCAAAAGGGCTAGCCATTGAGTGGCTTTTGCAAGATTAGATTCGACTGCACTTTATTCCACCACGCGCGAACTCTCTTCCTTACCCCTGGAAGGAGAAGATCCACCCAAACTGGTCCAACGCGGTGGATACCCAGACTAGCTTATATAGCTTATATACAGGTATACAGGTATACAGGCATATAGGCATATAGGCATACAGGCATACAGACATACAGACATACAGACATACAGACATACAGGTATACATCCTAGATCTCTGAAAGGCGTTTCTTTCTTTGTCCACCACGTGCACGCCTGCTTGCCTATCAAATAACGCGTTCTTTTTATGATTATATCTCAACACACTATGCCGCACTAGAGACCAATTGGATGATCTATGGGTTCCAGAACTGCTCCCGCTCGCGTGGTTCAGAAAACCCACTCCTCGTCGAACTAAACGAGTTCAGGCCCACATGTTGATCCGTCCTCCTCATCCTTCCCTTCCCATTCTGGTACGACATGTAGTCATCGTTGCCCCACTGCCCCTGTCGCCTTCGTCGTCGAAGGACCACCACCCCCGCCACCAGTGCCCCTACTGCCACCACTGCCGCAACCGATACCATCGCCTCTGTGGGAACCGACATCGACTGCGGATATCCCTCGCCCCCTGGAGAGGGACCGGTGGTTAGTGCTGCAGAGCTGTCTACCGCGGGAGTTTTTGTCTGGACTTGTGTTTGATCTCCTTTGTCGCCATGCTTTGAAGGCGTCTCTGAGGTTGTACCTAATGCTGGTGCCAACGTTGTTGGAGCTGGTACTGTTGCTGACCCTGCGTGCACACTTTCGGCGCCCATGGTTCCTTCAGGATGGGCCAAACTACATGATCCTGACTCTACATTGCTACAGCTGCCCGGATTCCTTTGTCTGGAAGGCTTTGTCAAGGAAGAAGGCTTGAAAGTTGCACTGGATTGCGTCGGACTGGAATGGGTAGCGTCTACAGTTGTCGAAGGTTTTGTAGACGAATCAATTGAACTGGAGGTTGTCCTGTATGTATGAGGAGCGTCTCCCCCTTCGCGAATCAGTTCGGCTGCTACGCCGACCTGTGAAGGATTTCCTGAGGACAGCGGTACCGGAACACCTTCTGCGAATGTCAACCAGCCTGCTGTGAGTGTCGTAAGCATCCCTGTGCTTTTTGTGGTGAAAAATGGCGACCAGGGCCGCAAACGAAGGCTTCGGCAATAACCGACATGGACGTTGAACGAGGATCGAGAAGAACCGAATGAGAATATTGAGAGGGCCATCAAGAGATAAAATAAAAATGCGTGCAAATGCAATGTGTGATATGAAGGGCGAAATGTGAGTCCATGCTGTTGCTGGCAGCGACCAGGACGTTGTGGACTAAGTCGCCGGGGCGCGACTTCTTGGATTGCCATGGTGTTGAGAATAGCGCGCGTGGTAATAACACAGGGTTAAGCCTGTCAGCTATGTCGAGGGCGAACCGGAATGGATTAAAGGACAGAGAGAGAGAGAGAAAGAGAAAGAGAGAGAGAGAGAGAGAGAGAGAGAGAGAGAGAGAGAGAGAATGGGCGGCGTGAAACGAGGAAGTGTTTCCCACTTCCTCGAGCGTCTGCTTGCTCGTTATAAAATGGGTGACAATCAGAGAGACAAAACGCGCCCCACCTACTTCCTTTTCTTCTGTATGCCTCCTTTTTTTATCGTGCTCACTGCTCACGATTCTTTGCTTTCCTGTGTTGATCTAGTCCATGAACCCAGCAACTTGCTTCGTTTTTTTATATGACTACGATCATCTTTAATGACATAGAGACCAAGGACAACTGCTAACCGGCGCAACGAGCCGACTCGAAAGTGAACCAACACGATAGCATTGATGTCTCACAGGAGATATTGCCTGGTCCTTGGCCTTGTGCTATCCTGCTGTTCATTTGCCCTCTTAACAGGTTTCGAATTAATCTGTTTGCAGCAGAGAACGGAGAAGACCCAATTTATCCGTGGAATTAAAGAAACAAATAAAAAAAATGCAGACAAGCTGGCGCCAATCATCACCTAACAACCTTTTGCAAGGAGACATGCACAATAAATAAGAAAGGGAGTGCTAATCAATCAAGGAGGTCCCCGATCTCCTCGAGAGAGCTACGATTCCGAATGAGCAACACAAGGTATGCTCATAGGCGAAGAAAGTCAAAGGCATCAAGGCACTGCCTGTGGGATGTGGGAATGCCACGAGATATACGCACTGATCAACTCCGCTGTGGCCTGTGCCATTCGCAAAAACAAATCTCCTTGAATATACCCTTGATCATCATTAACAAATTTATTTTCCTTGTGGGCAAATACAGGAGAAAAGGCTGTAATATGTTTGTTCACGCGCTTTAGGGGGTCAGGCGCTTGGGATCGCGAGGGAAGAGGGAGACGCGTCGAATGTTGCCAAGGTTGAGGTAGAAAAAGATGACGCGCTCCAAACCGATTCCTCCACCTCCGTGTGGCGGTGCACCCATGCGGAACGAATCCACATAGTCCTTAATCGACTCAGGATCGACGCCATGGGCCTTGGCACGCTCAATCAAAAAGTCGGGGTCGTGGATACGCTGAGCACCGGACAAAATCTCTTCACCACGCATGAAGAAATCGTACGAGTTCGAGTACTTGGGGTTCTTGGGGTCAGGCATCGTGTAGAAGGGACGGACATCCAGAGGGAACTTGTCCAACATGAAGAAATCGGTCTTGTACTTTTCCTTGACCAGTTGTCCAAGCTTCTTCTCGTTCTCAGTCGTGAAGTCGTCATAGTCGCCCATCTCAACACCGTTCTCGCGCAAAAGAGCAACAGCATCCTTGTACTCGAGACGAAGGGTCTTTGGCAAGAACTGAAATTTCTCGCACGGGTACTGACGATGCACAATATCAAGATCAGTAGCGTATTGGGTCTCCAATCCAGTGAAGATATGGACAAAAAGCTCGTCAAAGATGTCCAAGATCTCGTGGTAATGCTCCTCAAAGGCCATCTCCATATCCAGTCCAATGAACTCGGTCATGTGGCGATGAGTAAACGAGTTTTCGGCACGGAAGACACTGCCAATTTCGAAAACGCGCTCAAAGTCTCCGCAAACAATCATCTGCTTATAGAACTGAGGGGACTGGGCCAAGTACGCATCGGCTATAAAATGCAACGTTTTCAGATTTGTTAGGATAAGCCCCGATGATATGGTGTATCATGCCGCGTATAAATGCATGGAGAGGACGAGATAACTTACTGTCAAAGTATTTAACCTTGAAGACGTTGGCGCCTCCTTCAGTGGCAGTACCCACAATTTTGGGGGTGTGGATCTCCAAGAAGCCCTTGGACTCAAGGAACTCGCGGAAGAGTCTGGATACACCAGCCTGAATACGGAAAATGGCCTGGTTGGTGATGGTCTATTTGGAGTAAAAAAAATCGGATGTGATGTGAATAAAATTAGCCCTCCGGTTGTGCAGGAATAAGTCCAGATGGTACGGTTAAAGGTTTGGCACGTCCTCCACAGCAATAGTCGATCACTTACGCGGAGGTCGAAGACACGGTTCTCGAGACGGGTGTGCAAGTTGACCTTGCTGAATTGAACACCCTCACGCTCAAAGTCAGCCTCGGGGCGCGAAGCGTCCTCGAGATTAAAGGGAAGACGACCCTGGGCCTCGCTGGTAACGAACAACTGGCTGATCATGATCTCTGCATCGTGAACAGTGCAGCTCTTGACGGACTCCAACGGCTTAGAAATAGTGCCCTCGATTAAGACGATCGATTCTGAGGGGATGTTCTGTGCAAACTTCACCATCTGCTTGCTGACGGTAGTCTCATTGAAAACAACCAAGCCCTGGACGGTGCTGCTGTTCTGGCGGAGCTGGAAGAAGCACATCTTGTTGCCTAGAATGATACAAACACGTACAAGACCACAATATTATCGGTCAGCGCTGTGGAGAGATTCTGGGTTGCTGTTCCAGAGGCTGCTACCGTCTCCATGTCCAGGTTATGTAGCCTGCTCCTGGAACTACATCTTACCAGTGGGGCGGGAGGTTTGAACGCGGGCACGGATCCAGACCTTCTCATCAGCACGGGAGGCGTTGATATCGGTGAGGCGCTCATGCTTCAAGCCTAGAAAACAAAATGTTCAGGTTCAATTGCCTCATGAGTTCCGCTGCCAGCTCAAACTGAACCACGGTCGCCTCGATGGTTACCTGGGCGATCCTCGGAGCGATTCATTGGCTTCTTCCCGTAAAAGTCCTTGGAGTAATCCTACATCAAACAAACCAAATAAGAATATCTGTAAGCCCTTGCAATCCTGCTCCGCATTGCGACAGTCATTTTGGAATATAAAACGACGTTAAACATGCAATATGTCACGTACGACAACAGCGTTGGCCTTGGTGGCCGCTTGAGCAGCGCGAGTAGCAGCGTCCTTCTCGGCCCTCTCCTTCTTCAGCCTCTCCTTCTCAAGTTTCTTGAGAGCATTCTTGGAGAGGGGCTGGCCATTTTCGCTATGTGATCGTCAAGACAAGTGGATCGAAGATAAAGAGTGAGCTCTGGAACGTCGCTGTTAACGCCACCGCAAAGGCTGATCAAAGTTGAAACGCGATCAGTCCGGTGGTTTTCGGCGTTCAGACTACACTCCCGAACAATGAAAACATACTCGAGGACGACGTCCTGAACCTGCTTGGTGACCTCGTTGATCTCTGCGTTGTCAGCCATGGTAAAGTTGTGGGTGGATGTTGGGGGAAGAAGGGGAGTGGAACTCAAATCCGTCATTTATATAAATAAAAAAATCACGTACGGACAGTCACCACGTACATGGCACGACTGCGGCAATCGTGGCATATCGCGGCCCAAGTCTTTGTTCATCATCTTTGGACCTCATCAACATCAAGGACATCCTTCTGAAAAGGGTCGAACTGACTGAGATATCGCTCAGAATCAACACAATTGCAGTGGGAACGTTGTCTTTTTGAACATGTTAGCAGCAGGGCCTTCAGGTACCAATGATTTTTCGCACTTGTGACTCTGCGTTGACTTGGAGTGACTTGAGTAAGCGTCAAAGTCAACTTGCCTGTTGCCAATCATGTACTCAACTTGTTCGACTTGGATGAACAATAGGGTTCTATAATGCCCCCACAACCAAGGGAATGCTTCTCGTCGTAGGAGGACTATCGCTCCTTTCTTCGATTTTTCAGATCAAGACCAGTCTCCACCTGCAACTCGTGCCTCACCTCACCACACATCACCAGGTGATTATCCGGCAACATTTCTCTATTCATGGGCGGAGCTTCTTGTGGCAACCCTTGTCATGCCACTAACGCAAATCCCATTGCAACCATTGTAGTTCTGGCGCTTGATAACATCGCATTTTGCATTCTCAACCTCGACCGAGGTCCTATTTGCAGGACTCATCATTTATCATCTCAGAGTCATTGAGCGCCTGTTTGGACCTGCGAAATATGCGGTAATCTGAAAGAAAAAAATCTTTCTTTCCTGAGCGAATATTGGAGGATTGGCGCAGTACTAAGAATTGAATGCACTCAACTCGCGTTCTAGGCGTTCTTGTTTGTTTCGGCCGTCGTTTGCACGTTTCTCAATATAGCGGTCCTAGTCACTGGCGCAGCATTTGGTCTACATGTCCTACCGGGTGGACCCTACGGCATCATCTTTGCGGCGATATATCAGTTTTACACTCTTATCCCGGTCATGTATGAGTTCAAAATCTTTGGAGTGACGTTCACAGACAAGGTCTTTATGTATGCCTTCGGAGTACAGGTAAGAGGCTGTATTGATCTCACTGCTGGAACCTAGATTTTGCAATGTTGCAATCTTTGGAGCTCAAATACTGACAGGAATATACCCCTATAACTCATCTGTCAATAGCTCATGTTGTCACATATGTCTGGATCCATCGCATTGAGCATTTGCGGACTTTTGGCGGGAGCGATATACAGGAGCGACTTTGCGGGGACCAGGCGCTGGAGATTTCCAAAGCCTGTAGTGCGATTCACAGAGCGATTTTTGCTTCCACTATTTTCCTCTTCACCAGCTATCCGGTCAACCGCAACCACATTCGAGAGTCGTTCTCAAACAAGATCCCCTGACCGATCGGCGCAGACCATGCGGGTATGGACAGGAGGAACTGAAAGAAAAGAAAATCGCCATGATCCAATTCTCTTTACAAGACCTTACTAATCAATTCACCGTATCTTTCGCTTGAAATATCATTAGGAGTATCTGGATGTCCTATCCACAGGAGGAGCGCCTCAAGGCGCGACACCTCGGCCACCTTCAGAAGAGCAGATAGCAACTCTTCAGGCCATTTTCCCTACTGCAACTCAGGACCAAGCAATAGCAGCACTCAACTCAGCTAACAATAACCTTGATGGAGCGGTACAATATCTCCTGGACAACCAACCCAATGCTCCTCCAGCCCCTTCTTCATAATAAAGACGGTTATACCCAGTTACTGAGCTCATTGCAAACAATGACAAGGTGCTGCAACAAGAAGATAAAACTGCAATCGCTGTCTTAATAAGCGATCCTTACCATTGGGACGGTACAGTCCATGGAATGGCATTCTCTGTCTAGTTGTCTAGTTTCCTAAAAGCAACCACTAGTTGTGTAGAATAGTATGGGCAGTTCATGTTACGACTTTCTGGGACTGCAAAGCGTGGTGTTCCAGAAATATAGTGTTTTTTTTGTCGATCTCTTAGTAACGGAGAACGATAAATTGTTTGATGTGCCTACATACATGGCATCGCGGAACTTGTATCACTTATCTCAGCTTTTTTTTTTTTTTTTTTTTTTTTTTTTTTTTTTTTGGCTTCCTCTTTATGGTCGCTCACTGAGGCCATAGGATGGAACAATACTGTTGGCGCAAGAGATTCATTGCACTGCAGTCCAGGCATCCTTTCTGATCCTAATAGAGAGTGCTCAAGGACAAAGCTGCAAGCAACTTAAGGTTTCGACGCGTCTTTCATTTTGTTACACCAAATGAAAAAATAGTAATCGACATAAAAACTCCACATTTCCTCTCACCTACCACTGGTTTGCTATCGACTCCACCATTCTGACCATTTTTACTCCAATTATTAAAAAATAAGACGTCCCTCTTACCCTACCCTGCATTCATTTTTGGTCGATGAGTGCATATGTTCTTGTTTCCTTCTTCCTCTTCCTCCTGTAGCTCAATCGTTGAAATAAAAGCAGCAGCGCTAGTCGACTAGACCTAGCAGCAGTAAGAATAGACGTTACATATTTATATTGCATTGGTATGCCTTCGTACCAAACGCAAACCCGACCTGCAACAGGAGTGTTTACTTGAAGGTAAGGTCTTCTTCCTGCTAGACTCAAGAGATGTCTATGTTCAATAATTTGTAGGCCTTCGCAGCGTGACTCAGATTGTGCATATCATCTCGACGTGCGACATGCATGCAAATGCCTTTTGTCCTTGCTCTTGGGCCCCCTACCCTCTTTGCCTGTTATGACCTGAGCGGCCCTATCCCCTTTGAGGCCCCATACCTTCTCTTCGCTCACCTGCCTCAGTCCTCACTTTTTTTTTCAACCGGCGGGCCCGCGTATGGTTTGTCTACCCCTTGTCATAGACATCGCTCCAATCAAGATGGGTCTCAGGGTGCTGCCTATTTTTCTTCTTTTTTTATATAGTAGCACTTGCCATAATGTCCTGCGCCAGCATCTCTCCACTGATAGCCCTAATGGCTGTCTTCATAGTCTACAATAGGGTCGAGCTAAAGGTGGGTGATCGAATTAACAAGAATGCTGTCTGTATGGTTCAACGCTTTTTTCTCGCTTTCTCACTGGACCTTCCTGTGTCCCATTTAACCCACCGTGGAGAGAAAGATACGACGTGTCTTCTTAGACAGCTTGTAGCTTGAATTGGTTGTCATTCAAGGCGTACCAGTTCCTGGCAAGAGAATTTATATGAGATAGCTGCACTCCCTCCTGACAGGAAGATGGAAATCAAGCAATTGCGGCGATACTATGCAGACTTCCAGGCAGATATCTATCAGCCAAGATCTATATCGCGCATGTTAGCCTTTTCTGTCTTTCGACTGGCTTCTTTTTTCTAGTTGGGATGAATCTCTCTCGGGAGCGGTATCCAAATGCGGATGCCAGGTCCTTATCGAAAAAGCGATATATATCCCTCTTGTCGTATGCAAACCCACCTTTTCGTCGCCTACGGTTCCCTCTTCGCCGATACTCCTCCGCCTCTGCAACTATTCCTAGTTCACCCTTTCCAAGGCTTCTGTCCATGAGCCTTAAGTCTGTCCGATGCTATCTATCTATCGACCAGTAATCTTTGTCCCAACCATGTATCCACTTATGATTGCCGACCCAACACGTCGAAACATGGCTGCTGCCTCGTATCCGTTCCGGGACCGCGGCTCGACCTCAGTTCACTCGGTCTACTTTCTAGACACCCGAACTTGGACCTGAACCTGGACCGTATCAGCATCTAACTTTGTACGCGGCCGAAGCTGCTGTGTATGCGCCTTTACCTGAAACTGGCTTGTTGTTTGGGGAGGTAAGCTGACTCTGATTTCCTCCTTCGGTCGAGGAGAATATGATGATGTACTCGCTGAGTGCACAGAACCGGGTTACCATTTTTGTTCCGTCAGGATCGTCTGCTGGATCTGGATCAAGCGGCTATCCCGGATCAAGAGATCGAACCAGCAACGACCGTGACTCGAACAGCCTGAAGACAAAGTCGATTGGCCTTATTCTGGCCACTGCAACTGTTAATTCCATCTTGGCGCTCGTGGTCATTGGAGGCGCCATCTTGGTCATTTGCAAGCGGAACCGGCGCCACCGTAACCTCAACACCAACCAACGCAATTCTACCTAGCACAATATTTTGACAATTATCAACGCCGTATTCGGCACCCTGAAGACACCGCTTGCGGTTTGGAATTAAAAGGCACTAGTAGATCTCGAGAACAGTCTCTATACCACTAATACGAGTGTGGTCTTCTCACCTGGCAAAGAAGACTTGGAACTGTGGTGTAGTAAACGAGAATCATTCGGTTGGTCTCGCAAAATTGATATTAGACCACAGGGAAGAGCACCGCCCCAGAATAAAAGAATAAACGGTCTGGTTCCTAAACCAGAGTCTTCTTTCCACCTAAATCATTTGTATCACACATTGCATTCGTCCAGATTGTCCGGATAACACCGCATCATTGACTGGTACTGACTACCACCGTCAGCAACCCACGCAACACAATACAATCAATAGGAAATGCCGACCCTGACCGACCATTCGCCACCTTAGCACCGTCAATCGCTCTTATTTAGACATTGTACTTGCCCTGCAGCGCTTCCCCGATCATCGATCGTCTCGTCATCGGCTTATCCTCGTGAAACGGCATTATAAAGGTACAACGGAGGCCCGATCAGCGAACATTGACATACAACGACTCCAGAGGGGCGAACTTCATTGTCACGACTCCTCACCTCATCGGATATCACATATGCGAACTCCTTGTACCTACCCCAGTCATTCCCAAAGGAATAGTCCTAGCTCGTACCATTTAGCTAAACAGATCCCCATATTTATTTCCTTTCGTTTTCGTCTAGTTTATTTTACCTTTGTGTTGATACGAACCAGTAAGTGACCGAAGCACGCCCTTGCCGAAGTCCTATTCGCGTAGTGTCTCCTGTAAATAGAACTAATGGTAGAAGTTACAGAACTCGTTACTAGCCCGAAGTGAAATAGTTTCCCAAGTTCGAACTTCAATATCTTTTCATTGCGAAAGAGTTGCCCAAGTTCAGCACGTACACGGCAGTAAAGACTATGTACGCCGAGGGTAGGGACATCTTATTTTCCTATTTTGCCACTAATGTCGCCAACTCAACCGTTCCTTCCTCTTAAAAATATTCCACTCCGCATAACCCGCAGTGGCAATGGCAGCGACAGCGATATCTTCGGCAACTACACCACTTGCAATGACAGTCACACCGACACCGACAGCGACGACATTGACAGCGATGTCAGCCTGCTGAAGTGTAGGATATCTGCGTAGAGCTCATGGGTGAAGCATGGACGGAAGAGGCGGGTAGATGGTAGAGAGATGAACAAAGCAAAAAGGCAAATATTTTTTTTGACAGAAAGAGACAGAGAGACATGCCACGCTGGTCGTCATTTGTTCCCACCAAAAAAAAATAAGAGGATATGAGCCAATGGCATTGCGCATAGAACTCGGGTGTGGATGCCCAGATTCGATGCTAAAAAAATAGCGCGAATCTTTTCGACACAAGCGGCGATGCTCCAATAATCAAGACAACGACGACCCCTGTGATTGGTATTACTCAGACAATGATTGTGACGACGTCCAAGAATAGCTCAAGTTCGACCAAGGTCGGATCGATGGTACTGACAAGTATGAGACCCGACTACTCCAGCAGTGGCCAACATTTATCGGAGCTGCATGTCGATAGATTGTCTACGTCGCGCAGTATGACGGTTTTTACGCGCAATGCGGATGAGTATGAGACGAAGACACAGGGTAGATGGTCAGAGAGTCAGCAGCAACAGCAGCAGCAGCAGGCGTACCGACAAAGACTGGAGCGGAGTTTGGGAAAAAAGAGTCAAGGTGCATACTAACCCATTAGTTTTTACAAGGATCCATCTGTGCTGCATACTGTCCCATCAGTGTTGTTTATGTGACTTAAACAACGCAGACTTGATTATTATCTCGACAGCACTTATCTTTGGCCCTCTTGTTCTCTAATTTTCTTTCTCTGGCGTTCCTCCGAGTTTAATACGCATCATACAATCATGATAAGCAAACAGTTATTTTTGAAAGAGACGCCTGGCTTCAAGCGTGCATACGATATGATCATAGGGATGCGTGTGTATGTGTGTATAGACACTTCGTGGACCTGGCACCCAGGAGCCCATCAGACAGCGCCTGCATGTTGGTTTTTAAATGGTAAAGTCAAAAGTATATACAACCATCGAGTATTGAAGAGCAAAAAAAAAAAAAAAAAATGCGAAGACTGAGTAGCGCACAATGTTTTTATTCAGACTTGGCAGGCCATCATGCACCTCTCTACCTCATCCATTGTCGCGCTGTACAAACCAATAATCTAGTGATTTTCACAGGTGAATTTTGCCAAAAGACCGGAAGGAACTCTCGTTCCCAGCGCCTCAGTCACGATAGTTCCTGTGTCTGGCTGGAAGGCAGCTTGGGTTGGGTTGTCAGTGGCGCGCGGGATCAGTTATATGTCTTGGTCAATGTTGGGAACGACGTTCTGATTGGGAACCTCGTTGTGATTAGGAACCCCGTTGTGGTTGGGAACTCAGTCGACCTTAGGAGCCCAGTCGTGCTTGGGGACCCAATCGATGTTGGGAACCACGTTGTTCTTGGGAGCCGAGTCAACGCGTCAGTGGTCTCGGCGGGCCTCGCCTAGATGGCGGGGATAACGATCATGCCAAGGGCGAGGGAAGTGACCGACAGCTTCATGAATTGAATTGGATTCGAGGGATAAGGGAGGCGAGGTAAACGGTGAATGTGTCACTGTAGAGCAAGAGTGATGGCGATAGGGTAACCTTTTATACGGTCTCAAGTATAAGGTGAGGGCGAGGGAAGGGGGCCCGAGGGTACCCTTGCGCCCGCTGAGCGCCGAGCTCTCCTTCGACGGGTCAACGTTACACGGTGATGTATTTGCCCTCGCAATCAATCGCCGTACTCAGTTCATGCGTTTTCGACCCTTCGCTTGTGAAATCCTTATTTTGTTGGAACATCGGTTACACGAATTAGAGAATCTCACAGCCCAAGAGTGTATTTGCAAATCCGCCAGTTCCTGGGCTGTCGTGTTTTGGTACGGGTTTCGAGGGCAAATCCGTAACGCGTTTGGACTCCCTAATGCATACATTTGGAGGGCGAGGGGGCTACGCTAAAAACTGATTTTCTGACCTCTTCCTGTGCACACAAATGGTGGTAGGTCTCAACAGTTGGAGACGGTATGACCCATAACAGGATCTTAAGAGAGAAAGGCGCCTGAGGAAGAAATACATATAATTCTGTAAAGGTTTCTAAGACTGTAGAAAATCTCCCTTCGTCCCCTTCTCCTGCTCTTCACTGCGCCTCGCTGTAGCCGGGAAGTCAGGAAGCAAACGATGAGCAATTACCTTCGCCACCTGAACGAGGACACAGAGTCACGCGTCCTTGGAGAAGATGACGATCATAGTCGCCATGTACCTCGGTAATAAAGGACATACTGCCAAGACAATCTCCCTAGATCACCGGAGTATTTATCAAGAACCTGATGAATCGCGCGTCCGTTAACATTGTAAAATATTCTAGATATCCTCGTAAGTTAGAGAAGCTGGATATGCGCCACAGTCGACTGGGCCACTGCACAGGAAATTGTCAAACATCTAACTAAAGACGTTCACCTCGACACTGTCAAATGAGCATTTTACATAGATCGAGATACTGGAGTCGCGTTGCGCTCAAGGCACAATTAGCGGGTAAGAAGCGCAAGACAAAAAAAAGACTCTGGCTTGCTCTTCCGCCCAGGAACTGGCCTGCAAGTGACTGAGCCGGAGTCCTTTGAACGGATGAATCGAGTTTTGAACTCGGCAAGGATTGGCGTCAAGCGAAGGTTTGGCGCAGGTCCGACGAGAAGTTTTTGTCCACCTGCTTGGTTACCCACATTCAAGTCAGAGTGCATCCCCGTCATGGTGAATAACGCCTTTATTCCAAATTCCAAGTCCGAAGTGATCTTCATGCTGAGGGGAAGCAACCCGCCAAAGACTTTATTGAGATCGTTTATGAGAGTGCGTTGGAGGCATATGGAAGTTAGACTGGCCAATAAACTCCCCGGATTTGATTCCGATCGAGAATATTTGGGAAATCATTAAGAATACCCTCCAGAAGTACGAGGTAATGCCGAAGAAACGAGGCCAAGATGATTGAACGTATCATGAAAGTGCGAGAGGATTATTTCTGTAGGAAAAATGGAGGAATTAGCTACCAGAGCGCGCCATTTACTCACGAAGGACGCATGTCTGATCCGCTTGGCAATATCCCTGATTCCAGTTTCTTTCAAACTTTTTCTCTCTTATTTTTTTTCTTCTTTTTCTCAAAGAGATGAAAACATTGTCAGGCCATATGGATGAACAAAGGCAAATCCCATTCTCTGGAGATGGTATAAAGATCCATTCATAGATTGATGTGCTTTGTCTATGAATAATCGTCTATGGTATATTGTCTATGTCGAGAAACCCACTTTATTGCAACCAAACATTCAACCAGTGATGCGCGTTTAGTGACCTCCTATTGAACGGCAGAAAACACAGCGGAGGAACATTTAATGACATTGATCTCAATTGCATTACCATTTTATTTTATTTTATTTTATTTTTGGTTCGCGACAGGTAATGAAATGAAAATCAACGTACACTTAAACAGCGACGGTGGTTGGAATGACCTCCTTGGCCTTGACAACCTTGGAGGGGTGTAGCCTCTTGCTGTACTTTCAAGACTTAGATGAGAGGCTTAGGCTGGGACTCCTTAGGCTGGACAGGCTTCTTGGGGGGAACGGGCGTCTTTGAAGGAGCAGGCTTCTTTGAAGGAGTAGGCTTCTTTGCGGGAGTAGGCTTCTTTGAAGGAACAGGCTTCTTGGAAGGAACAGGCTTCTTTGAAGGAGCAGGCTTCTTGGAAGGAACAGGCTTCTTGGGGGGAGCGGTCGTCTTAGGGGGAGCGGTCGTCTTAGGGGGAGCGGTCGTCTTAGGGGGAGCAGGCGCCTTGGTGGTAACAGGCTGCTTGGGGCCGACGACGCAGAGAGGAGCACCGACATCCAAGTTAGCGCAGTCGCCGCGCAACTTCAAGTTCCAGCGACGCAAGTCAGCGAAGGTGATGCCGTTGGCCTTGGCGCTGTTGTCCCAGGAAAGAAGTAGGTGAATGGGAATATTAGTTTCCGGCTCGTTTAGAAGATCCGCTACCAATTTTGCACTGTTACACAAGGGCCCTTGGCAATGAACGGAGGTGGGTACTTACAACTGGTCGCAGCCGGTGTCGGTGGGCTTGACAACGACGGTCTTCTGGCAGCCCTGGATGGGGACGGGGATGACAGCCATGGCCTGGGAAGCAACGGCAGCAAGGACGAGAAGAGTAGCGGAGAACTTCATATTGATGATAGGTTTATAGTGGGGTTGAGAGGTTAGGGTATAAGGGTGTAGGCGAGTGCTGTAGAAGCGAGTGAGGGATGTTTGGTGGGTTTCTGGAATGGGAAGTGCGACTTAAGGAATCAAAGGGGATGGACAGGAGGATTCCTTTTATACAAACGGGCGACATTAGGGTAAAGATAGATCATTAAACTGAAACCTTGAATACAATCCCTAGTATTGGACACCTCGAGGAGCTCCAGTAATAATTTAAAAAGAGAAGGTTGGGGAAAACACGGGGGGTGAGCCCTGCTTAAAGTAGACTGAGCCTGTGGGTGGTCCCTTGTATTCGATCGCTAATTGGCTTTCATAGAGTGTGGGATGTGACACGGAGTGCCTAAGCATTTCCCGTTACGGTGCGCTTGCCAGCATGTTATGCTCTTTTTATATCAGAGCCAATCCAAATTTGAACATTTATTTTTATCATAGGCGTGCATGGGTCGCATACAAGAGAAAGTACCCGCTTTGCATTGCTGAGTTGTTTGTTGATTTAACGAGTTCTCCGGGTAGCCTTCGTTCACAATCGCGTCCAACGCACGAATAAACAAGCTGTTTCCATCCAATATATCAATCAAAGCTCCTAATCTCCCCAGGAAACTATCCTCTAGGGTGCACACACGCTCTATTATCCCCAGGGGTTTGCGAAGGAGGGTTTGTCTTGGAGCTCAAGGTCCTGCTGCATCCTTTAGAGTTGTGAGATTAATAGCCGCTGCGGTACCCGATTTCATTAGGAAAGAAGTTTTCAGAACCCATGTTGACCAGGCTATAAGCGAGCCTGGGATAATGGCCTTTGTGTGGACAAAAGGGACTCGCTCCTATATAAATATGTACTCCATGGCGAGAAAAAATAGCACTTGCTAATCAGATGATTTAATTTAAAAGGCTTCTGTGAGTAAGCATATCCAGACTTGAACCACCTCCAGTGCAGGACTGCAAATAGAGACGCTCAAGAGGATAAAATTCATATTGACCTAGTATTATAGCAAGAAGACAAGTCGCGTAATGGTGCACCTAGGATGCTACGATTTGGTATGCTTAGGTGCCTGTAATCTAAACCCTCTTGTATCACTAGATGCATGCAACTGTAAACTAACTATGGTCTACCGAAGATTTGCTCGAATGGCCATGCGTGTGTGTGTGTGTGGAGGGGATGAGATCTTAGCAGAGGACATGAAGCAATCATTTTTGCGATTATGTTTTGTGCTCCGTCGCGACACGTATTTGGTCTAGTAGTAGAGCAATACATGCTCTCAATCTGCCTTCCAGATGCTAGTGCCAGCGATGGCATGTCTGCCTGGGACTTTTATGAGGCACCATCAGAGGCTTTATTGAAGTACCTGAAAAGTTCTGGTTCCCCACCATTCTCAAGCTCTAGAGTGAAGGTGGACAAATACGAACTCTTTCCATTGAACGTTGACCATTGGCCCAACATAGCTTTTAGCTTTTTACTCCTCCAAAAAAGAAGTTTGGTCCGAGCCTTTTTTTTTTAACATGAAAAGCAGGGCTTCCAAAGTAGCCAGACAGGAGCTCCCAAAGCGGCCGTGCAGAAATTCTAGCTATTGTTGGAGCCAGGGAGACAGCGCGATATCCTGGGTCCTTGGAAATCACATTTGCATTGCTCCCGTGATGGTTCACAAACCTTATTTTAATGTTCAAATTGCGAGATCGAGATCCTGCTCATGAGTTGCTCCAGCACTGCTACAAGCCACGGCTTGGACAATGCAGCCTTTGGTACGCCTGCGCGTCTGGGGATCTGGCGCCAATAAAAAAAAAATTGACTACAAGGGAGGGCGAAAGGGGAGAGCGGTCAACAGACAATTCTATCGGGAGTGAATGTTGCTTCACCTCTGTGAAAAGTGACGAATAGCGACGGCAGGCGGGCTTTTTTGGCTGCAGTTCACCCAATGCTCTTGATCAGTCCTTACATTGAAGGAACTTGCGCACTAATACACTTTCTGGCCTTAGATGCCTCGTTCATCATATGGACTATACTGCTTTGATGGCTTGGAGTCTCTTCCTCCTGACATCCTCACCTTTACGAGAAGATGCTTCATGACCTTACCACTTCGGCTAAAAGGCACATCTTCGTATTTTGTGCACAATGTTGTGCTGTGTTTGTTGAGGGATCTTATGAGCAATGAGCAATTGGACGGACCAAACGCCATTTGTTTTGAATGTATCGTCCACTGCAACGCCGAGGAGACTGCTATGAAGAAAAACATCCACAACCGACTCGGCTTTCATAGCACAAATTTTTTCGAATTCTAAGGAAGCAAGCAAATTGAACATGGTCTATCTGCGGAGCAGAAGAGGTCACCGGTAATAGGCGAATGATGTCTGTTTACCAGGGATTCTAGAGATCGTAGAAGATCAGGGCATCGC